TCCAGCAGTGAGTTTTAAAGGGCTGTCACCAGTCAGTTGGAGACTAAAGTGAAAGTCCATTATGCTGGCCTGAGCGGCTCAAAATATGGAAACTATTGATCGGATCCTCTGCACTGCTAATTAAAGATGGCCCACTATTTGTAAAAAGTCAACCCAATTATCAAATGAGCGCATGAGGCCGTTGGTTGATGTGAAGGTTGCCTGCCTGTTGAGGGGATGTTTTTCCAGACTTTATTCCAGCATTGTTGGAACTTCCCACTGTCTTTATACTCTTTGTACATATTCACGTCTGACTCTTTGTTGTTAGACATGTGTTGTCTGAATACACACAGTTTGTTTTGACTTAAACGTGAATGAAATTGTTGCTGTTTGGTTCACTTCTTTGCACTTCTACTTACTTCTGTTTTTAGCTTTTATTTGTATTTAGGCCTGTTTATTTATTTGTTTGTTGTGGCTCTCCAAAAGCGACCTAATGAGAGCTTGTATCAGTGCACTGGTTCAGGGAGAAGCCCCCCCTGTGGAGGTGGGTGACCCATGTCCCCAAGCCCCGGTGCGAAGCGTTTTCATGCCCCCGCCTCTGCACTACCACCATCACCATCTTCCCTCTACCTCCCTATCTGCTCAATGGGCAGCAACATGTGACCTGGACTGTGTGTGTGTGTGTGTGTGTGTGTGTGTGTGTGTGTATATTCATGGTTGTGTCTGTGTTTTATGGAAAGATGAGGCCAACAACACAGAGAGACCAGGCCAAGTCAAGTGATACTGTCCACAACAAAAGCCTATACATAGCAACACAGACTGGCCCGCAGGACGAGTACAATGTGTTTTGGCTAAAAACAGAGACAACCCAGCCCTGCAGACAGAAAGAGAGAGAGACTGTAATAGACAAGATAGTAGTGGAGTTCTTTATTTAATGTTTTTTTTTTTTTTATTCAACCTGCCAATTAAATAGAATAATAAAGTGCCTCTTTATAGCAGAGGGGGGTAGTGTGTGAGGATAAAAAGTAAATGAGAAATTACAGCTGGATTAATAACAGACTTTAAAGTGAAAAAAACCCACAAACACTGTGACAAATTCATAACAGAATAAATCATAATTTGCCATACATGTGCTGTAGAAGTGCTAAGAACAAAGTGGAAGAATTGCCAGCATGTTATCCCTCAAATCCACAAATTTGACAAAAAGACCACATCACATCCTGATGCCTGATGCCAGGGGAGAACAGTTCTGGGAAGAAATTGAAGAAACCAACGCAAGCCACAGATTTCCCTTGTCCTGAAACCCAGCTCGTCTTTTTTTAGTGCTCGACCAGAACAGCCTTAGTCACAGAAAACTGCACCCAAACTTTTTGATAGGGCATTATCTGGATGGCCACTCGGTAATCAATGTTATCTTTTTTGCCGTTTTTCCTGGATCCAGGACCCTTGTTCTTTTATTCTTTATTGCTGCGTACGAGGACTATATTTGGCTCTCCAGTGCTCTACCAATAGTACTTCTGTCACATGGCAGTCAGAAAGCGCTCAGTAATTATAACCTAGCTAGGTTTCTGCAAGGCTGACTAAAAATACTCCCACATTGTTGCAGTGATGGGGCAGAAGATTTTTGGAGGTTTTGTGTGTGAATAAATGTCTGTGTCTGCTCTGCTCAGAGGAGAGAGGTGTGTTTGTGTGTGTGTGTGTGTGAGAGATACTCATCTGTATATTGTATCTGTGTTATAGAGCTGAAACAGAATTTGACTCATTTATTAGTCGATAGTAATAGTAATTCAGTTCAGACTTTCAAGCAGTAATTTCCTGATTCTCTTTGTTTTATATGGTGATAGCTGAATATCTTTAGGTTTTGTCTGATATAACAAGCAATTGGATGACATCACCTTGGGTTTTTGGAAACAGTTAATCAGGAACATAATCAGCAGGCTAATGAATGATGAAAAATAAATAAAACGTTTGTTGCTGCTGTAATCCAGTAAGATTGAACATACATTTTTAACACATTTCCCACCTTGTAAAACATTTGTCAAGCCTTTTCTGAGAATGATTTTTAACCCTACATCGTTTCTTCACCTTCTAGACTTGTTCATGTTTTTTTTCTTTCCATTGCTTCCTTTTTGGGTACCACCAGCAGTCTCTAGGCATAACTGACTTCTATTGTCAATAGATATAGTTATCATGTCACTCTGTTCCGAACCTAAGTGTTGGGAAGCCCACTAGGAGTTACTAGTTAAATCTAGTGGTTAATGAGACCATTGCCCAGGTGAGAAATGAGAAAAGATTTAATTCTACACAACAAATTGTTGTCTTTCTTGTGAAATATTAAGTAGTTTTACCTCTTCAGACCTCTTAAAGGTCTTTACATGAAGAAATCTGATAAGGGAAAATTAAACATAGTAGATTAACAACTACTATGAGGGGGTGCCAGGAGACATAGTTTTGTTTTAAAGGGGAAAAAAGTTTGGGAGCATCAGATACAAAAACCTTTTATGAAAACATTACTCTGTAGTGCTATTAGTAGCCATAAACCCGTCAGGCTGCCTATAAGCTTCAGGTTTTTGGTGTTAAAGGTCTTTTAGAGAGGTTAAAGTTCAGGATGAGTTTAAGGTCTAAATCATCAGTTCAGTTTTGCAAAAGTAACAACCGTCCAAAGGTCAAGTTGTAAGTTAATAGACAAGGTGTGGACCCCTTGTGGGAATTTTTCATACTGAATTAGACCTCTGAGATGACTTAGCACATGTACCTCCTCTAGTTAATAAGTACATAGTGTAGTGTGCACTAAAATAATAGATAAGGACTTCTTTATGCCACATTTGTCATTTTTGTGACATTCTGATAACTAAACAAGTCAATAAAAACAATTTGTAGATTAATCATTAGTGTAATATAGTATGCAGTTGTAGACCTAACTTTAAATGCTCCCCTCCTTTCCTCCATACCGTATGTGGTGTATCTGGTGTTACAGTAGATGCATCTACTGTATATGAACTCTGTGTGAGAAAGTCTAGTGCTCTCTCAGAAATAGCCTTACTTCTCCTTTTGTGTGGACTGTGAGAGGCCGAAATGAAGTCGTGTGATGAAAACATTATTGTCAGAGCACATGAGCGGAGTCTCAGTTATCTAATGGTTCATAATAGAGCGTTCATTGTCTGTTATTTAGCTCTACATGGGCGTGTTCGGTGTGCTACTTTTTATGGTTGAATTGAAAATGAAATGACAAACCATCCCTGGCTGAAACCCTGGTTACTGATCTTCTTTGCGTCAGGTTTCCGTGTTGACTGTCTTGTGACATGCTGAAGCCACAAACGGTACGGGTAAAAAATGTAGGCTGTTTGGTCCACATCTGTGTCCTACTTACTGGATTCACTCACCAACTTCAGCTTTAGGCTTGGAACTCTTCTCCTCCAGAAATACCTGACGCACCTTTATCTCCTCTGCTGTGTTGTCTGCTTAATTTGCTTTCATAGTAAAATATACCTTGCACTATTCTCTCCACTGTAGTTTTATTTACTTTTCTTTTATTTACTTTTTGTGTTATTTAGGCTTTGTTCACACTGCAGGCCTTAAAGCTCCAATTTATTTCCCAAATGAGAATTTTTTTTTTTTGATTCACTGTTCACATTATCTTTCAAATGTGGCCTGTATCGGACTCCAGTTGGAACTAGTCACTGCCTGGAAAAGCTCATACTTGCCAACCTCTCGATTTTCATGGGAGACTTCCATTTTTCATTGCCCTCTCCCGGTTTCCTTCCAGGGTCCCATTTCTGCGGCTTTATGGCAAAGTTTCCCAAATTTGTTTCCTTGTCATTGTAATCATTACAGTTTCTGACTCTGGAGCGACTTCAGAGTCGCATGAATTCCGATCTGATTGTCCAGACTGAGGTAGCACTTTTGAAAATCCAACCTGTGTCTGATTTGGACCACATATGAATGTGTCCCAAATCCAAACTGGAAAAGATCAGGTTCCATGTGACTCGGGCTGTTCACACTGTTAAAAAACAATCTGATCTGAGTTACGTATGAGCAAAAATATCTGATTTGGGTCACTGTGGCCTGCAGTCTGAACGCAGCCTTAGTGTCTTTTTGAGAGTAACACATTTTCATGCTGGCAAACATATCTGTAACATATGTATTTTTAAGGGCATTTTGGCTTGGGGCTTCAGTTTATTTCGAACTCTGTAATGGTCCACTGTTGCTTTATGGTATGTTTTTATTTTTATTTGTCCAGATGTAAAGCATATCATATCATAATGAACCATGTCTCTGCAAATACCAATAATGGTTTATTAAAGTCTATATACATTTTGACCAGCGTTGCAGGAGTCCTTTTAATTATGTGGTGCCTTCCTTTAACGGGGCCTGTGTGACCGTGTGTCCCCAGCCCCGTTGTCCTGAGCCTGCTGTGTTGCAGAGAGGCCCAGCTGCTGCTACTGCTGCTGCTACTGCTGCACATCTCTCAGTAGTGAAGAGATGGCAACAGCAAGCTGTCTAACCTCCACAATAACCGCCTTATGTAATCACTCTGGCTAGAGACAGACCAAAATAGCCCAGACTGAGCAGCCCTGCCCTCTTGTGGCAACCAGCTGACTTAACACCGGCCTACTGAGCCTCCAAAGGGAGTCAGACATGGCGGCTGCCTTTTGCAGCATCCGGTGTAACTCACATGAACGTTTAAATAACTGTTCAAACTGACGCAGCACAACAGATAGGTCTAATGAATGATGTAGCATTCGTGACGTATGATCAGATTTAATTAATAGATAGCTGTGAGAGGAGCTCTGGTTCCCTGTTTGTTATTTGGTTTTGACTGTTTTGGATTCAGTATATCAGACTTATGAAATTATTTTTAGAAATCAGTATTTAGGGAGACTGATCTCATTAATTGCCTAGCTTTCATGCGTAGTGACAAATTGTTTTATGTAGTTGAATCTTAATAACAATCACATTTCTACAGCTGATATTAAAGTATAGACCTTAGTCTAAATTTGTTTTTTTTTCTCTCTTTGCAGTTTCCTGGACAGAATTGACTCTGTAAGACAGAATGACTACACACCAACAGACCAGGTGCGTCGTCCCTTTAATGTGCAAACTTCGTAGTTTGTAATTCCCCTCCAAAAGCTTGCTTGCTTTACTGAATTGGATACATCTTCGTTTCCATGTTTTACAGGACCTGCTACGCTGCCGAGTGTTAACTTCAGGGATTTTCGAGACGAGGTTCCAAGTAGACAAAGTGAACTTCCAGTAAGTCTTTCTCAGCTTTCCCTCAGAAGTGAAACCACACAATGAAGGAATGTTTTTAATATGCCAGTATATTGACTAATTATACCGATTGATAGTTCATTCTTAATTGCATCACATTTTTCTGAACAGTCAGCTTATTCAAAGACATGCTCCGTCCAGGCTGATAATTCTCCAAACATTTTTCATTTGCCACCTTAGTTTGTTTGCAGCTTATATATAAGTTTAATAATTTGAGAAAAACTCTGCCTACATACATTTGTAATCATATAATATGACCAAAGAAGCTCTGGAAAACATACTTTTTTATGGCTTGTGATTTTTATCACTAATATTATCAGTAATATAAATCAGAAAAGATAAGGCCTGCTTCCAAACACAAAACATCCGAATTTCCTAGAGTCAGCCACCAAAACAGAAACAAGAGGGATCAAAGACAAAGTGCCCGAACTTAAGGAAATATCTTGTGTCTTGTCCGCATTCTTTCCTATGCAGCAACGTTTCCTAACCCAGTCACCCATTCCTGGAAAGGAGTTTCCCCTGGCATTTTCCAGTTTCTGCAAATAATTTAGCGCGGTTGTACCAATAATCCCAGTTAAGAATCCCCCCCTGGGTGTTATTGCTATATTTACCTTGGCCTCGTGTTAAGAGCCTGAAGTGTCATAAGTTCGTACCCCCTAACAGCAATGTGTCCTTGGAACAAAACACTAAACCCCAACCAGCTCTGCGGCTGGAAGCTGAGGTGGAAAAGAACGTCATCTAAGTGCCTGAAATGTTAAATTAATCCTCTGCGGTCCACTGGTGTGATTTCTGAGCCAGTTGAACGTTATTGACCATTGGTTGAAGTTATAAGAGCAGCCAAAAAAAGTTAGAGTAAATGTTTCGTAACTGCTTTGATGATGTCAGATGAGATGACCCATTTCCACAGTCACAGACACAACAGACTTATTCTACCATCTGAAACGGGCCTTTGTATCAAATTATATCATCCCAAATGATTGATATAAAAGCTCTGGGACATGACTTCCCTTTGGGTGTGCCTTTTTTTATTATTCAGCTTTGATGACTTCCAAACATCCATCCACGGTCACACAGGCCACTGAGTACGTGCATATAATGCTGTTCTTCATATTCTTTGTTCCCAAATTGATTTTTAATGTTTCCAGACTTGTCGCATTAAGATCTAGGATCTCGTTTACCACATCCGAGATTAGGAGCAGAATTAGCTCAAGACAGAAAATCTTTTGTGATGATTAAAAAAAAAAAAGTATCTGTATATGAATACTTACAAATGTTCTCAGGCTGGCCAACTACAGTTCAATATGTACCTGACCGTCACACTAGAGAGATGAACTCTTTGATTACATTTTGATTATTGTTTCTGAGTCTGACCCAGTATTTTGTCTCCTGCATAGCATGTTTGATGTTGGGGGCCAGAGAGATGAAAGGAGAAAATGGATCCAGTGCTTTAATGGTGAGACTTTCAGCCTTTTTTGTTCTTGTTCTTCTTTAAATAGCCACACTGTACGTCCTCGCCCAACGACTCGGTCACCTCCTGCCACGTATTTTCTACCAGCTTCAGCATCACGTCACTTTATTATTTTTTGGGTTATTCTTACACACATGTTTAATGTCGGGTTGATCTGTCCTGATGTAGTATCTCTCTTCTCCTTCCAGACGTCACTGCTATCATCTTCGTGGTGGCCAGCAGCAGCTACAACATGGTAATAAGGGAAGACAATAACACCAACAGGCTACGGGAAGCCCTGGACCTCTTCCGCAGTATTTGGAACAACAGGTGAGTGAGAAACATGAATGAAGCTTGAGCCGAGTGGTTCATTCCTTTCATCTGAAGCCTCATGTCGGGTCCAGCTGCTGCGTTGCTCCTTTCTTATCTTGCTTACTACAGTCCAAGTTCTTAAATCAACAATGTTCAACAACAACAAAGTTCAGTGAGGTCTAAAGGTGTTGCATGAACTAAGTTAGAAGCCTAAATTCTTCTCTTGAATACTCGTCTCCTTTTTACAGAAACAGAACCATCTTCCTTAGAATTAATATAAAGAGGATTGTTGAGGCAGTTTTCCTATCAGTTTTGGATTTTGGGGATGTCATCTATAGAAGTCCTGCTCCTTCTAGTCTTAAACTCCTAGACATGGTTTATATTTCTGCTCTCAGATTTATTAAAAAACACTCCCTGCCTATTTGAACAGATTTTTATTCTTATCTGTGTTTGTCCTATTTATTTTTAACTCGTATGTAACTCGACATTATTGCAAATGAGGGCAACTTCAACGGTTTAATCTCTAAAACTCAACTAAAAGGGACGTCTCTGTATTTGTCAACCAAGGTACTGTTGTCTTTTGTTCTTTTTAACAACTGTCCATAATAACATTGTATTAAAGAAACTTTTAGAAATGCAGACTCAAGTTGATAGGGATAAGATGCACAAGCCTCCTGCAGCATTCCCAAACATTTAAATTTAACAGAAAAGCGTTTTATACACTTTGAGTCCAACCAAATATAAAGAAAGAAAGTCGTCTTTTGGAAATCCCTGTAGCTGTTGAAACAAAATGCTGGTCAGCCAGTAAGTTGATCTAGAAGTGGGAAAAAAAACAAATTTCCCTAACGATACGGTACCCTCATGGTTAGGAGTAAAGGCGCAGGCTGCGATCCGCATTGCTCCTAGTTCGAGTTCAGCTAGGTGTTGTGTGCCGTTCCCCAGCTCTCTCGCCCATAATTTCCTTTTGTGTCTTTACTGTCAGACTTGCTAATGATGGTTTAAAAACAGCAACAAAAAAAAGAGTTCCTCCCAAGATGCATTATTAACACATCCCCATGTCATAGAAACTAAACTCATGTTCTAAGGATTGACTCTTAACTCTCTTTGAGGAAATTAAGTAAAGGGGGTCTGAACTGTTTTACTTCCAAAAAGTGTCCATGAGAAATGTCTGAATAATTGTGTTCTACATAATTCAGTTGTTGTTAATTAAGTCCAGAGAGCTGAAATGCAAATCCCATCGTTCCCCTTCTGATGTATTCACACACATGAAAGAAACTTCTACTGTTTCTTTAATGGTGTTTGTGGATTTGTTTTTTCAGATGGTTACGCACTATATCGGTCATATTATTCCTGAACAAGCAGGACATGCTGGCTGAGAAAGTATTAGCTGGAAAATCCAAAATTGAAGACTACTTCCCTGAATATGCTCGCTACACCATACCAAATGAAGGTTTGTGCCCCACTGAAATACCAGAAGTACTAATAGGGTTTCTCTTTACGTCGGTCAGTGTTAACTGTGAATCCCTTGTCCTTTTAGCAACTCCTGAACCTGGTGAAGACCCAAGAGTGACGAGAGCTAAGTTCTTCATCCGAGACGAGTTTCTTGTAAGTATATCCCTGTTTCTGGACAGTTTGAAGTGAGCTGAAGTTAAAGGGTGTCCTGCCATGAACGGCCTTGTCCTGTTAATTCACAACTCAGTGTTGTACGTGGTGCTGCCAAACACAAATGCAGACATTTTATGTTGCTTTGAACTTGATAAAATATTTCTGCTGATTGTTACCGTCTCATGAGGACAAGTTGTCTGTAGATGTGCTGCTGAAGAACAAAGTTTTTACCATCCAGTCATGTTGATGGACATGCCTCTTGGCACCAGATGTGGGGCTATTGTCTGAAATATGTTAGCCTCCTTTGTGGTCACAAAAGCCGTATTTAGCACAGGTCAAATCAGTTATCTCAGTTTCTAGTAAGGGCGGTACTACAGTTGAATACTGTAAATTTCTCACCAAAATCTGCTCCTGTTTCCTGGGAAACATACCCGCAAGACCCTGACATTTTTTACATGAATGTATTTGGATGTCTGTGTGCGCTTGGATACAGAATATAATTTGTACTAAAACAAACACGCCTTCTCCAAACTTCATATATTCGTCATATTGTTTGTATAGTCCACTGCAGCAGAATAACACCAGGTCAGATTTATTAGGATGGTCAGATGCTCCCAAATAACCAATCAGCTGTTAAATAGATCGATAAATTATTCTTTAAGGTTGGCCTTTTCCACTTTTAATAGGAATTGTTAAAATGCCACAAATGAAGGAATGACAACAGATGTTTGATTATCTGAGGTGCTGTTCATTTATTGCAAAGAATCTTGGGATAAAAGTGAAATATTTCCTAAAAGTAATAATTTTACAATCATGGGTAAACTTCAGCCCTTGACAGTAGACATTAAAGTGGGCGTGTGCTAAAGTAAATGAGGAAAGCCACAGTCTGGACTCACTTGATATGAAAACCACAGATGGTAAATGACTGAATGAACTGCTCAGACGCCTCAAAGCTCACAGAACTCACAAAGTCACAGGGACAGGAAGCAGTCTAATTTGAAACTTAAACTAATGTGCATTTCAGAAGGTCAAAGATCAGAAGCAGCGACAGACGTGAGGATTGAAGGAATTCAGAGACTACTCTTAAGGGTTAAAAATCACCATCAGAGGAGCTTAGGTTATATTTCATCCCCCTAACGTCTGTCCTGTCTGTTCCCCTCAGCGGATCAGCACTGCGAGTGGCGACGGCAGACACTACTGCTACCCTCACTTCACCTGCGCCGTGGACACAGAGAACATCCGGCGGGTGTTCAATGACTGCCGGGACATCATCCAGAGAATGCACCTGCGGCAGTACGAACTCTTGTGATGGGAGACCGCCTCCGTCAGCCTTCTGTGTTTTTCTCCACCATTCTGCATCCTTGACGAACCCTTCCTCCTCCAGCTCCTCCACCTCCACCTAACCCCTCACCCCTCCTCCCTCAAAGAAACCCTCAACAACCCTGACCACCCCTCCTGTCGAGGACTATGAAGTACTACTGAAGTGTGTCAAATCCTCTTCCTCTTCTTAACTTCTTAGCTTTTTGTACTTTTTTCTTTCTCTGAGACCGATTCATCCCCATTTCACCGACGTGAAAGGAAGATTGGGGAACAAAGTTGTTGCGTGCCGCTATATTTTTTTTTTTCTCTTCTTTTACTTTTAATCCTTCCTTTTGAAAGCCTTGATTTTTGTCATTCCACTAAGCCTTGGGCTACCTCCTTTGTTTTTGCCCCCTTGTGTCTGTCTGTCTTTTGGCTTTGACATTGGACCTGGACTGGTGGGTGTGGATACATAAAAACACACCTACAGGACCTCACTGTAGAGGCAGTGTGCGTGCGTGTGTTTGTATGTAATGAAGAGACGGAGGATTGCCATATAAGCGCGCATGTGTGTGTTCATGTTTGTGTGTCACCTGCTGGTTTAAAGCTGGCATCACCACCATGACCCTTACCCTCCCCCACCTACCCTTTCTTTTCTTTTTTTCTTTTTTTTTAAATTTTGCCCCGTCACCCCCTCCGGCCTGCTTCTTCTCTCCGCGTGGAAGACGACTGGACGGCGACAAAACCCGGAGAGCAACGGGAGTGGATGCAGGGGAACCGAGTGGATGAAGAGATAAATGCACTTTGCATCAGGTTCCTTAATAACTTTTTTTGTTGTTGTTGTTGCTGTTGTTGCTGTTGTTGTTGTTGTTGTTGTTGTTGTTGTTTTTTCTCCAGAGGAAGCATACACACAATGTAGCATCACAATATTTATTGCCCTGTCACGATGTTAGCTTGCCGAGCTGCAGGGTGCACCGAGCAGCCGAGAGACATGTGGAGCGAAAGATTAAAGTGGGAAGGGGCAGGAAATATATGACGACATGAAGACTGATTTAAATGAAGGAAAAGGGACTGAGCTCTCCGCACCTTAGCCCTGATGCCTCCACGGACTCGGACCTGCCTCCTTTTTCCACACAAACCATCCTTTTAGCTTAGAGATACTGATGGGAGGGGAGGGGAGGGGAGGGGGGTGGTGGGGGGGAGAAAAATGTATTGTTCTCTTTTTTTGTTAACTTGTACACTGTGCAAGGTTGAATTATCCTGTACAGACTGTAAAATGTAATATTATTTTGTACAACTTAATTGAAAGAAAAACAAATCTACTTGTAGATCTTTGTGCCTTGATTATGGCTGTACCTGTAAATGAGCTCAGATGTAAGTATGTTTTCGACTGCGCTGTACAGCTTGATGTCAATCTCTATCAGCAGCAGAAGACTGCGGGTAGGGGACTTTCTCTGTAGAGTTTAGTTTTTTCTGGTTTATAAAAAAAAAAGGAAATGCTGTTTAGTAAAAAATAAAAAATAGGGAAAAAATCCTAAAAACCTGTATACATTATGCAAATTAACCACTTACCTGCAGTGAAGACCAGATGTTGCAGCGCCATGCCTTTTTTTTTTTTTTTTTCTTTTGTTGTTTTTATTTTTTCCTCCTTTTTATTTTTATTTCTTTTGAACTTCACAGCTTTAAACAAACATTGGAAATCCATTGAAAGTGTCCAAATTGCAACCTGGTGTTGTTTTAATAGGAACCAACGTTTTTTCAATATGAAGTGTGTCTGAGATCTGTACTGATGTGCGTGCCTGTGCGCATGTGTACATAAAACAAACATAGACTCGCAGACGCATTGTGTGTGTGTGTGTGTGTGTGTGTGTGTGTGTGTGTGTGAGGGAGAGTGTGAGTGTGAGTGTGCGCTGTGTGTAAAATTTTATAAATGTATGTACATGTAAATTTATAGGTCTATATAAATATATATGTACACTTATACATGTTTAATTATGTGTGTGCCTAGGTGTACATACCTATGTATGTATACGGTAAATATGTATACATACACACATAGGAAAGCATGTTTAGAATGGAGATGAATAAATGAGAGCGTGCAATATTAGTAATTCTTTGGTCCTTTGGAGCCATACCCAATGGCACAGGCACTATGAATGTGTGAGCAGCACCCAACAAGACAAGCTCTTCTCCTTGTACAAACAGCATCAGCCTTTTCTTCTGCTACAGTACACGTCTATCCCCAAAAGCGAGTGAACTGACTGGAGGTGCAAAAACCTTGTTTGGCCTGGGAGGATGATTAAATGACATTTTTATTTTCTTTAAATAAAGAGGCACATTAGAGGACTTTGCTTTATTTCCATCTTGGTGTCCAGTTGTGTCCAAATTTGTTACCAATGAGATTTGCTTTTGTTTTGCTTTTATGGATGCACTGTGGTACTGTACATAGATATTGTACAAGTGGGCGAGTAGGGCCGGGTACATTCAGTATATTTACTGTGTTCCAGTGAAATTACTTTGGTATAAATATAGACCCTTTTCACATTTTCACTTGTTATAAGAGGAAAAGCACAGGTATCACCTAACATTAACGATGTTCTATTCAAGTGTCCCAGTCAGTCGTGACAGTGAGCAGCATGAACAATACCAGGACCCTGAAACTGGAGCAACTAAATGAAATTCAGCTATCATTCATTTTTATTATTTCCACCTGTGCTTTTCCTACTGTGACATGTCAAAGTGTTTTCTGTGAAAAAGGCATATTGAGATATCCTGATATGATGTGGTTATTCTTATTTAAAGGCCCCCTCAGGCCCTGATTAGACCTCAGCTCAGGTTAAAGCTGGTCCCAGGACTCAATGTACACACGTCTGACAAAAGTGTAATGTAGGTGCAACTGAGCCAACAGTAGTCAGGGAGATGTCAAAGGGGTCTAATCAAGCAAAATAATTGAAATCACCTGTGCGGGTCTACTGCAGGTGTTCAGGGTCTCCAGTGAACGTCAGTTTGACTAACTGTAGAAAGCGTTTTCCTTTGCACTTCTCATGGAGCGGACCAATGCCTTAAATCCAGGTTAATATCTTTGACCTATTTTCCAGATTAGATCTGTCTCAGGCACAAAGAAGATCAGGAGTGCACAATATGGAGAAAGTGATCCCATCAGGATATGTATAATTTTACATAACTATATGTATCATATATACAAATGTATTGACAGTTGGGTTTTTTTAGCTTTACAGGTTTGTTTGAGTAATCAGTTGTTTGAGTAATCAGTTAGTTCATCAAACAATTATTTGGTGACTAATTAATAACTTGTTAATGATGGAAGGTTTTTAACTTCTCAAATGTGAGGATTCTTTACAGACAAAAAGAACCGATTGATTAATTGATAACGAATATAACTGTCAGTTGCAGCCATATTCTTGAATAATCCAGTTATTTAGATACCTGAAAAATCAAGTACTTCATCATATTGATGCAAAGATCATAAAAATCCAATATTGCTCATTGATTGGCAACATTGCATATTACAAATATGGCCTATTACAGAGATATTAGTGAGTGCCAGCACATTATGAAATGTCAGAAGCTGACACATTTATATCTCACAGTATACATTTTCAAATTTTCCAACCCTAAAGAAAAGAACAAGATTTTTTAAGCTTTAAGACAAGTCAAATGTGAAAAGAGGACTGTATCTCAGTATCAGGAACATGTCCAATATTTATATGTATTCTTTTTTATTCAACATGATTTTGCATTTGCAAACACATATTTGTGTTTAAATCACATTCATTATATTTCCACAACGTGTCCATCTCTGCTGCCACTCCCCAGGTTTTAACATCCCATAATATTTAACATTTCATCCACAGAGTGACATGGCTTCAGGTGATAGATTATACCGAGCCATAGTGGACATCGACCTCTAGTCTACACTATAACTCTCTAAAACAGACCCTAAGATTCTGATTTATGATCTACAATTCCTCAGAAACGTTTTCACAATTTGGCAAAAACCCTCACAAACATTTGGCACAGAAAGTCAGCAATAAATAGATTCAGATATGCATCATAAAAACATTATTGGACATCAATAACATAAACAGTGTTCAGAGTGTGAGACGATCAGTGTGTTTACATCAGATCACAGTCAACAATAAACCACCATCTGACTTTACCACCTTAATTCAGACCACAGAAGGTTAGTATTTACATATGTACTTGTTTGATTGGTCTCTCTTAATGCCACGTGTGTTTCCTTCATAATGATTCAGCCAGCTTTTGTAAAGTTAGTGACTCTTCTGTGACTGAAAACTTCCTGATTCTTCATTCTGGTAATGCATTAAGCTCCACCTGTTTGGCACTCGCAAGGAAGGTAAACAAACACAAGTGATGGTTTGTAACAGCAATTTGGCCCACATGTTCTTCATCATCATCATCAGTAGTGATAAACATTTGGTCCTTTAAAGACATTTAAAATATATATATATATTCATGTCCTTCACAGTGTCGCAAAACATTCGGACAAACAAATCGAGGTTGTATGAACAGATTTCTGACCCGTTCAGAAGAGGAATGTCACATTTGCAAATCCTCACATCAGGTGTTTACCAACTACAGTGAACTCTCCTTCATGGGCTCTGCGCTGGGATGTGGTGCGCTCTGGGTAACGTAGTTCACAGAGACTTGTGCTTCCCCAGTAGGCAGAGGCTGAGACACTGCAGCAGGCCTTTCATCCACAAACAGTGAGCCAGGAACAGCAGCAGCAGGCAGGCGCCGGCCGAGCAGTAAACGCTGATCACCGTGCTCTCCTCCGGCAGGAAACACTTGGACAGAGTGTAGCTGCCCGGTGACACCGACGCCTGAGAGCGGAGAGGGCAGGGAAGAAAAAAGGAGAACAAACGTTTTAATGGTGATAATCAGTGTTAATATCAGCACAGGCGGCTGCTTAGGGCCCCTTAGCCACCAGTGGGCCTCCAAAAACAGAACATGTGAACCCTAATTTGGTTCCTGCTGCATATTTGTAGTATTGAAAATTGCAGTCCCTGATTGTGAAGTTCACAATTTGAGTTTTTTGGAATAATAAGAAATAACACATTTTTGGAGGAGTGGCAAAATATTTTATTTTATTTAGTAGCTGTTCTGGAGCTTTCAGTTACATTTATTGTAGATATTCAAATTCAAAATTTTACCCGAGTAAAACAACAAATGCATAGCATGAAAATATATTTAAATTACCAAAAGTACAAATATATATTCATAATGGCCCATGTTAGAAACATATATATATATTATATTACTGGAATCAATTTAATGTTTTAGCTGGTACAGGTGGGGCTAATTTAACCTATTTTATACACTGCTGGTTAGTTTAATCTGTAATACATCACAGTTTATTTGTAGATTATATACTATGTATTAATAATCTGAATCTACAAAGTAACTAGTAAAACAGCTTTAATTATATGTAAAAGAGTAAAAAGTACAATATTTTCCTCAGATAAAGTATAATGAAATGGAATTACTCAAGTGAAGCACAATTGTAGCCTACTTAAGTATAGGCTAATACTTGAGTAAATGTTCCTAGGGCGTAGTTACTTTACACCACTGGAACCATGACAGTAAACCTGCGGTCCAGACAGCTAAACAGTGAGCTGAAACTCACTATATAAAGAGATTTGGGTAGAAATTCCCGGTGGGTTCATCACTATGAGAAGACCTCCTTTCATACTGTTATTTAACACTTTGTTTCTATAAAAATATTGATTATATCTGCTTTAAAAGTGTTATTTTTCTACGCAGAGAATGAATTCACACACTCTAATCTATCATCTGTTCAGGTTATCTCAGGTTATCAGGTTATTAATAATCCATGTTGGAGCAGAACTCCTCGGTGGATGTTGTTCTTACGCACCAGGATGAAGCTGGGGTTGTTTCTGTTCCTCCAGCTGAAGGACGGCACGCTGATTTCTGGGTACTTGTTGTCATGGAGAACCTCACATCCGCTGTGGGTGTGCCCGCTCAGGATGAGGCGGGGCTTAAACCACTGCAGTAGCTGAGGAGAGACAAACCCACATCTACCTCAGAGACCAGTTGCCGCTCGCTTACATCATCAGTTTCATCATCATCATCATCATCATCATCATCTGCTGTGTCTGTATGGGAATGTTTCTGACAGCAGACTGTTGTATTGTGTTTTCATTGGGTGAAACCGCTTCAGAAGAGATCCGTGCTTTGAGAGAGAAGGGGGAAAATAACCCAGCAGAGGTGGTGTGATGAGACTGCAGAGTACTCACCCTCTGTGAGGCCTCCTTAGACAACACGTCATACTTCTCTCTGAACAGCAGGTGTCGCTCTTCAGGCGGTGCAGCATCCATTCCTGTGCAGCCGGCATCGCTCACTCTGTACAGAGGATAGTGCTGGAGAGCAGGGAAAACATGATTACCATCTCTTCAGCTGTTCTGATATCGGTGGCTATTCATTCTAGTATCTCTGTGGGCCCTCCTCACATGAGGGCCTTGCATTCTCAGTCCCCTTTTACCCCCCAGTCCTACGCCCCTGACCCCTGTAGCTCACCTAGTCAAGCACGTATAACGCTTCAGGGCTGCGTCCTCACCACTCACTGCTGCAGGTCATCCCTCTCTCTTTACTGTGGCTGTCTAACAGGGCAGAAATGCCACACAAACTGTCGATTGACAGTCAATCCTAAACAATCAATCTGATAGCCGAGTTATTGATTCTGTAATTTATCAAAGCAAAATACCACACGTTTGCTGGTTCATGCTTCTCATACATGAGGATTTTCTGCTTTTTTTTATGGTTTATGCGATTGCGACGTTATTTTAGGCTCTAGGAACTTGTCTCAGTGGACGTTTCTCACCATGTTCTGACACTTTAAAGACCAAATGATTAATCAGTTAAATGAAAAAACAATCAACAGATTAATCAATAGTAATCAGTAGAGCTGGCCGTGGGTTAATTAATAAAACAAACAAAAAAAAAAACATGAACAATACAGCCACATGTTTAACATCAGGCAGAGTGGCCAAAATTCAGTTCTGTAACTCCTTTTAGATTTCCTCTTTTGAGCCATGAGTGGGTAAAAAGATTGTTAAATTCATCTTATTCTGTAGCGTCTGACTGTATCTCACATGTATATTCTGCGTCAGCTTGTTCCAGCGCTTCATTAAAGCTGCGATAAACAGTATGATGTTTACACTAAGTGAAATATTCAAACCCAAGATGTTTCACTGGCAGTTGCACTCCATCAAAAGGATTACATATTCTAGATGTCTTGTGCATCCTTTTATACACGTTTCTTCAAAAATTCAGCCTGACATATTTGTTATCTTTAGAAACTTCTGGATCTTCACCAAAGTTTAAAATAAATTTCTGTGGGTTTCAACAGTATTTGGATCCACAACGTTGAGTGTGTACTGTCAGCCGGGTTTAACCTGTAACTAACAACTATTTTAACAATAGTTGTTTCATTGATCGGTACATTTTATTAGATGAATCTGTTCATTGTTGGGTCTGTAACTGTCAGGAAATAATGACAAATGCCTTCAAATGCTTATGTTGTGTGAACGTTAAAAAAAAAGTAATTTAAGGATTTCTTGTTGCCAATAATTGCAGGGTTGGTGGTTCAATCTGAGGCCTCTCCTGTCCATATGTTTGCTTGAGCAAAAGGCAGAATTGCTCCCAATGTGTGCTTATACAGGGGGGAGGGTGAAAGCAAGCTTAAGACACAATCTGTCAAATGATGGTACTGTAAAAACCCCAAAGGGATTAGATTTACAATGATGTGAAACAGAGGGCTGAACTCAAAAGTCCCAGCAGAATGAAAATTGCTTCAGCACAAATTCTTTCCCCACTAAATGTTCTCATCAGAGCTTCTCATGAAGAGCGAGTGGAGCCCTTTCAGCTTCAGGTTTTCACACAGACAAGAGAGCACATGCAGAGTACACTTGGTGTTTACCTGTAACATGATGGGCGGTGTGGGAGGATAGAGCTGCGAGCCCTCACAGCTGTCCGTCACTCCGCTGCTGGACTGAGAGTTCTGCAGAAGAGACAACATAAAGAAGTCATCGCCTGACTTGTCCACAAGCTCACAATGCTTGTTATTTCATGTCTCCCCACTCCTGCTGTTTCAAGAAGACTTGTGCTGTTTGCAATCTGCCGCTGCACTAATCTTACTGCTTTTACTAACATTGCATGTGTAAAAAGGACCGAACACCTGCTCCAGGTGTGACTGAGCTTTGCATAAAAGTGTATCTTTTCATTTTGCTTCACTTGACTCGAGTCTTTTACACTTCATGAGTGCGCTCGAGGTGCTGACAGTGTAAAAGTGTGCTGCTGACTTCCAGAAATGTTCCTCCCACCTGAAGAGAACAGTTGAGGTCTCTGGAGAGTTTGATCAGCTCCTTCTCCACCGACTGGCAGATGGGACACCCGTCGCCATGCAGGGCCACACTGTTCACCAGCAGAAAACTGAAAAGGGAGGCAAAAAAAAAAACAACCTCTCAGTAACTCTGGCATGAAGTACAGAAGAGCTGCAGTGAGGCTGCAGTGACACATCATTTCATAATGTTTTTTATTGTATAGCTGCACTGACCTGTTTTTAAAGAGGTTTAAAGATAGTGCGTTGAGCTTAAAACCACACCCAGCACATTCAAACAAGGTTGTCTGGTTCCAGTTGCTCCTTAATATGGATCGTATCATATTCACACCTATTCTCATGTGAGCTTCTCAAAGGCATTTATAGACAGTATTGTGAAAATACATATCTTTACAACGAGGTATAATGTTTAATAGCTTTTTGCATGGGTGAAATGTATAAAGTAAGGACAAAGGACAAAAACTATAACTAAATATATAAAGAAAAAATATATCACTTGTATCATGTTTTACTACCTTTATATATTTATATATAAATATATATATAAAACTATAGAGTTATTTTTGTGCATTATAGTAATCCCACTAGAAAACTCTCCATCATATCAAATTATTTGTCTATATTGGAGTTGTCAAACCGTATTTTCTTAAATAAAGTGAAATAAATGATAGAATATTAGATTAAAAGAATATTTCAACCTTACAAACAAATCACCTTTTTTCAAGGAAATGAATATCTGGATCTTGAGACAAAAAAGAAGGTAGTTCGCCGCAGCAGAATTGATAAATATTAAAATTTTCTTTTGAAATAAGTTGATTTGCAGTGGAAACAAGATTTTTTCACTTTTTTAAGGAAAGTCAGGACTCAGTTACAAACTCTGAGGACTTTCAGGGCACGATGACAAACAAAACAAGGCTGAGATTTTAATGTGGATCCACACTGATTTCAACTACAGTATGTTCAACAAGAGAGTGTGAACAGAGTAGGAATGCAGTTTGTTATTTGTGCCTGTTAGCAGATATTTAAGATATCTGGAACAACTTTCTGTTATCTTTTTTAAAAGCTCCTTTTCTTTTTGCTTCTGCAAATTGCCTCAGGGGATTAAACCTGTGACCTTCCAGCCTGCTGAGTCACTTTCCTGCAGCTGTGTCGCAGGTTATCCTGTATGTTGCATTCTCCTGTCACTCACTTGACTCCCTTTTTGGTGACGATCCTGGTGGAGGAAGCGTTGAAGACCTTCTCGAAGCGCTGCAGCTTGAACCAGTCCATCCTGCAGGGAGACACAACGCGCTCGTCACACCGCAGCAAAAACCTGCTGCTCAGTCTGTCACGTCTGTCTGTCATATGCCGTTACATAAGAGCTGTGCCACCTCACTTCCTGCTGAGCATGAGTCAAATCAAAGCACACATGAGCTGCTGCATGTCTACATAATCCCACGTTTCTGAATCGCAGGAATCAAATGCTAAACTGCATGTCACTGTATTTGCTTTCACTGCTTCTTCCCCTGAGAAATTAAGAACAACAACAACATTTCGACAATAAAATGCAAACCGGTACAACACCACCACAAACATACACAGCTTTGCCATACAATCTTATAGAAACTAATCACATGAGTTCTCCACAGGAGCATCGTGCGTTAGATTGCTTTAAAAATTGTATGTGTGCTTCTTCCAGGTCTTTTTCTTCCAGATTTGTTTATGTGGCTTTCTCACTTTATCTTTTAGAAAAATAGCAAAACAAAATCTGTTACATACAAAAAGAAATCATGAAAATTGTTTTTATCATCAGTTAATTGTTTTTATTACCATTACTGCAGTGTCTTAATTTCTGTGATTCGATTGCACTAACATTTCAAGTTCACATCCACCCTCCAGATCCACATATTTATTTAAATGTTATCTCCTTAAATGATTATCTAAATTGAAATCAGTAGGACTCCTCCAAACCAAATTTAATGTGAGAAGGAGGAAAGAAAAACGCTCTGCCCCATAAAATAATGTTTATTTTGTTTGGAGATTTATCTTTGCTTTGTTCTTGCAACATACCGAGAGTTTTAACCTCTTAAACTTGTTGACAAATTAAACAATCTGAGGATATAAATCCGGTTGTAAATTAGGAGCACAGAATGCAAGAATATGGTTGACTCGTGACTTCTCTCTGACTTTGCTCTTTTGACTTGAGATGCCCTGATATCCTCCCTAAATTAAACATTTTGTTGTAAAGCTCTTCATTTTCCTGACAATAAATATACTTTGAATCGGCAGCCATTCACACTGCACAGAGATGCGTTTGTAAGAGCAGACAGACAGACAACAGATGACGCCTCATTATTACACTCACCTAAAGGATTATTAGGAACACCATACTAATACTGTGTTTGACCCCCTTTCGCCTTCAGAACTGCCTTAATTCTACCTGGCATTGATTCAACAAGGTGCTGAAAGCATTCTTTAGAAATGTTGGCCCATATTGATAGGATAGCATCTTGCAGTTGATGGAGATTTGTGGGATGCACATCCAGGGCACGAAGCTCCCGTTCCACCACATCCCAAAGATGCTCTATTGGGTTGAGATCTGGTGACTGTGGGGGCCATTTTAGTACAGTGAACTCATTGTCATGTTCAAGAAACCAATTTGAAATGATTGGAGCTTTGTGACATGGTGCATTATCCTGCTGGAAGTAGCCATCAGAGGATGGGTACATGGTGGCCATAAAGGGATGGACATGGTCAGAAACAATGCTCAGGTAGGCCGTGGCATTTAAACGATGCCCAGTTGGCACTAAGGGGCCTAAAGTGTGCCAAGAAAACATCCCCCACACCATTACACCACCACCACCAGCCTGCACAGTGGTAACAAGGCACGATGGATCCATGTTCTCATTCTGTTTACGCCAAATTCTGACTCTACCATCTGAATGTCTCAACAGAAATCGAGACTCATCAGACCAGGCAACATTTTTCCAGTCTTCAACTGTCCAATTGTAGTTTTGCAAATTGTAGCCTCTTTTTCCTATTTGTAGTGGAGATGAGTGGTACCCGGTGGGGTATCAGTCGGCCCATTCTCCTCTGACCTCTAGCATCAACAAGGCATTTTCGCCCACAGGACTGCCGCATACTGGATGTTTTTCCCTTTTCACACCATTCTTTGTAAACCCTAGAAATGGTTGTGCGTGAAAATCCCAGTAACTGAGCAGATTGTGAAATACTCAGACCGGCCCGTCTGGCACCAACAACCATACCACGCTCAAAATTGCTTAAATCACCTTTCTTTCCCATTCTGACATTCAGTTTGGAGTTCAGGAGATTGTCTTGACCAGGACCACACCCCTAAATGCATTGAAGCAACTGCCATGTGATTGGTTGATTAGATAATTGCATTAATGAGAAATTGAACAGGTGTTCCTAATAATCCTTTAGGTGAGTGTATCTGATGTACAGACACTTGTAATTGTGTCACAGGAATAATATATAAACTCAGAAACGTTCTTAGAAACACACATAATACATACAACAACAAAATTCTCATCACAAACAACACAGACAAATATATGATTTCCTCTTGTAAAACTTATATTTCTAAAGCTAAGAATGAACCTTTATGTTCAATATATAGTAGATACAGATACATTTTTTTCTATTTAATAGTTTAATCTGGCAACAGATTTGCTGAGGCGCACATAATGACTGGCTAAGGACTCAAAATACAAAGTTTAGGACTCAGGGCTTACCTGTAACTCACAAAACAATGAAATCATCCCAATCTTTGCTTTTATAATTTTAATAATAACAAAATAATAATAATAATAATTATAATTATAATCTTTGCCTATAAGAAGTCACATTTAAGGACACTAAGTAAAAAAAAAAAATCAAAATTGGCCTTAAAAAAAATCAACCATTTTAAGTTTTTATGTTATTGTAGAATGTAAACTCCTTGGGTCTTTAAAGGATAAAGCTGGCGTTAATGTGTGTTTTTCTTACCGTCACGAAATACCACTAAAAGACCAAAACCAACAAGCTGTTACTCCGTGTCTCCATACTTTCCTACTAAAGGCATAAGTCTCTCAAATTGGCTCACAAATAAATTCTGTCATTTTTTAAAAAGGCTCAAGAAATTTCCTAAAACAGCCAGGCACTCAAACAGGAGATAATATGCATCTGTCAGGGACTATTTTTAACAGTGGATTAATACATATTTGGCCGGAAGGTGTATGAGGAATCAACTCTAATTACAGTCCACTGCCCACTTGATTGTAATAAGGCTGTTTGTCTTTTAATTTGTCCTTTAAAAACTCCTCACAGGTACCTACAGACCTGACTGCTTTTACTGTGTCCAACCTCACAAGATCTCTCTAGGCCAATAATCAAATGTTTCCTCAAAGGTCATGCTATGTGGACAAAGTCATTCTGTTGTAATTGTTTGCTGGCTCTGCAGTGTGCTAGTATGAGGCTTGAACCGACAGCGGATCCCTGTCTCCTCCAGTTACAGAAACATTGTGAGTGAAAGAGAAATAGACGTCTGTTATCAGATGCGTCTGTAACTGGGGCAGTGAATAATAACACATCATACTGAGGTGTTCTGAGGTCTGACAAGTGAGAAATAGTGAAATCAAAGTCCTTATTTTATCACGACTCCCTTCACAAAGTCCTTCCCTGAACCCTGCACAGCTCAAAGTGGATCAGCCAGCAACCAACAATAAAGGTTGAACAGTGAAAACAAGAAGGCTGGGAAACCAGTTCTTACTCATAATGGAATCCAATGTCGTGATTTCCAACCAGCACAACCAGTTCTGTGTCAGTGGTGTGTCTGAACATCCTGTGGAAGCGGCGCACATCGTCCTCCCAGTGCTGCAGAGAGAGAGAGAGAACAACACAAACACAGCTGAAGCAGGTTTCAGTACAGACAAAGTTCCCCCGGGAAGCTCAGGAGAGTTAATGGGGTCTCTGAAGGTCACCCAGCAGCTTTGATTCAGATGCACTTGCAGGGGCCCAAAGTCTCCTGTGTGTTTATGTAATGTTTTTCATACTGATGTATCTCTAAATGACTCCCCGATGCTACTTTTAGCTGAAACTGTTCATCACAGACAAACATTTATTGATTTTAGCAGCTAAGATCTGCAGATATGTTTCTTTTTAATTGAATATGTTTCAGCTTTGGACACTTGGTCGGATAAAACCGGCAATCTGAAGACGTCAATTTGGGATTTAAGAAATTGTGATGGTTACTTGCCACTATTTCTGAGCATTGTCAGAAAATAATTATTAGTTGCAGCCCTACTTTGTAGCCCTTTTTGTAGTAAATCTTTCTGTGAATTCAAAGCTTTTAATTCTTTAATAGGAAGCCTGAAACTACTGTAATGTAAATAATCAATGAATCTTCAAAGTCATGTATCAAGCAAAGATTGCATAATTTTACATATATATATGTGGGTTTTGGACAGTTTTTTAGAAAAATGTGTGGTGATGGAGCAGTGGACAAATGCCTTTGGTGTGAGAGACCCGGGTTCAATTCCCCACTGTGACACATCCACCAATGTGTCCCTGAATAAAACACTTAAGCGTGTGACCTCTGACATAAATAGCAATTGTAAGTTGCTTTGGATAAAAGTGTCAGCTAAATGAATTAATGTAAAAATAAACAAGCAATTTAAAGACTTTGGGAACGTCAATTTTCTGATGCGTGGACCAAATGATTAATCGATTAATCAAGAAAATAACTGACAGATTATTAGAAAATGAAAATGATTTTCTGAGAAAATAAACAATTTCAAGACATCATCATTAGTCAAGAAAGTAATGGACAGATTGATCCATAATGAAAACAATCTCTAGTTGCAGACCTACTTTCAGTGTTTCTCCTTCTGCAAATTCAAAGATTTGAGCGCTTCCTCTTGCAAAAGGTCCACAGAATAGGCTACAAATGACAGAAGACTTGCCAACCAAGAGAGAAAATAAAGGAGGTCGCTGATGAAGGAACACAGTAGATTTGCGGAGATTTTGCTCAACACTTCCTCTTTCTTCTATCTGACTTGATGGATCCCGTTTGACAATCCAGTAATAGATGTGTGAGAATTCCCAGGGGATTCTCACCCCCCACCCCCAAAAGCAGGATTGACAAACCCTGGAGGGCAGAGAGGCTGCAGGCTGCTGCTGCTGCTGCTGCTGCTGTTGTTGGTGGTGTTTTCCTCAAACCCTGCAGCTTCTCGGGCCTGGATGGCACAAGATGATGAGGATAACCAGAGTATAACGGCCTCTGCTCTGCATCCACACAATGTTCTCTCACAAGCATCACCACCACCTCCACCTCCACCATCGGCATTATCATTATAATCATCATAATGAGCACTGTGGGTCTGCAGACAAAAGCAAGAAGGGAAAAAAGGGGGGTTCTACGTTACCTTCTGCGAGCTCCACTTGCCTTCGTCGAAGATGTCCCCGAGAATAAACACTATTTCGGGCCTGAGCAGCCACAGAGCTGTCTGGAAAGCCCTCTCCATCTGCCATTCCCTGTGCGTTTGGAGACAAGGGGGCTACGCGTTATTTGTTGTTTTTGTTTACAAATCACTCATGCAGAGCCCGAAGCGCAGACGGGTGGATAGAGAGAGGAATCGTGATGTTGAATGGAAAATGACATTATACCTCCTCAGCTTGTCGAACCAGTGTCCCCCGACGGCTCCGAGGAGGTGGGTGTCCGACAGCACCATAGCGCGGACCGTTGAGTCCATCGGCTGGCCGTCGATGCCCTCTCCGCCCCGTGCATGGCTGATCTTCGGCCAGGCGCACTTGAGGATGGTCGGGTAGTAGATGAGAAACTCGCAGAAGAAGAAAGCGCCACCGACCACTAAAGTCAGCAGCACCGCAACCATCCATCTGACGCTAAACCTCGGCATTTCTTTGTTATTCGGCGTTTGGGATGCCCTGAATTGGCGCACTGGCGGTGATGGAGCGGTCCATGAGGCATCTTCTCCCCTCTTCCAGACCCGACTGTTTTAGGTCTCCAGCCGTGTGATGCTCATGGCAAGTTGCTCTGAGGCTGCGCCAGATAAAATAGAAAGGGTCCGTGTGGAGGTGATTCACAATACGAGATTTAAAAAAAAAAGTTTAAATTGTCCCCTGCTTGTGGTGAGAGGGGAGCAACCTGCCGCTGATTCTCGACCTCAGCTCCTCTCAGCTCCTCACCCGTCAAGCTGGAAACATTTCCGGAGATCGCTTTTCAAATCAAAGGCATGTGGTTTTGTTTTTGGTAGGCTAACTAAGTAGGCCTACTCAAATAGGCCTACTGTACAATTTTATGATACTTGTACTTTACCTGAGTAAGCTATTTCTATTTAATGCTGATTTTTTCAGATGGGATTCAGTCATGTTTATTGCCAAGCACACCCTCTTTGAAACAAAGAGGGTGTGCAAAGAGAAATAGCAAGCAATAAATACAAAACAATGCGCACCATCACATGAGGCAGCCATCAAAAATTCCACAGGCCTGCATTTATTTGACAGCTTTTAATTTGATGATAAAAATTTTACATCCACAACATGTGAGTTTAAAATGCATCCTTATCGACAATCTACAACAGTAAATGGTGCCATTGTACAACATAATATGTAATATCATGAACATAATCATTGGACATTTTAATTCACCAAAAACACTTACCTATTGTTGAGACTGACATTGTACATACATAGCTACAATATGTGCCACTTCTCATACATATCTATGTACAACGCACCAATAATCAACCTTTCCTTCTTTCTATTTTTGGGAATTTTGTATCTTTTGGATTAGTGGATATATGTTTATCAATATGTTTATACTTGCACCTTTAATGATATTTTTTGATTTGCACTCTTTCCTATTTTGTACTGCAAATGCTGCACAACAATGTCCCACAGGAAAAATAAAGTTCTATCTTATCTTCTATTTAGGCCTACATCAATACATGAGTAATCATGATCCAATAATGTAGTGTACAATCATAAAGTATTCAAACTTCAATCAGTATTTTTACTTTTGATACTTCAAGTGGGTAACATTTTGCTGACATTTATAGGCCTACCTTTAAGTAATGAAGTAAGATTTTAAGGCCAGTACCTTTAATTATTACTCAACATGTATGAAACATGAAGACAGTTATAGCCCATAATAGAATTTAACATTTATATGTCAAATTTGTAGCCTACTTATACTTCCCAGCACTGGTTGTGGCTAATAAAAATGGATCTTTAAGGAGAAAACATGTTGCCTGTCAATTTGCGGTTTGTCAAATGTTTAACACCTGCTGTTTAGAAGATTCATTTACACTCATGTAAATCGTTCAACTTACGTAACATTCTTTTTATCCAGCGGCGGCCAATTAAACTCAACTTAAAAGCAAAATCAGCCAACTTCCGGTGTTTGTCTCCCTTACACCTGCTAACTTGACCGTCGTGTTTGTGCGTGTGCGTGTGCGCGCGGAGGCGAGGACAGGTGGAGGCGGAGTTCAGCGGGAGCGAGAGAGAGACTAAAAAAACATGAGTACTAAAACTTATTTAAAAGATCCAAGTTATCAGTCTGTAATGTACAAAAATATTGATAAATACTGTTCTGATCAGTGATGAGAGAACCTGGCTTCTGTACTAACAAATTGAAAGGTGCCACAAACTATGGGACAACTGGGATTAAGGGATTATGAGAGCAGAAATCCAATCACCAGGAGACTGGCATGTGTGTGCATCTATGGAAACCAAGGAGGAATTTGATTCACCCTTGAAATGGTTCTGACGAAAGTCTTACCTGCTAAACCAGTTAGTTTAGAGGCCATACATGTTCTGCTTTCACGTGCGAAGAGGAGGAGCAACTTTACGCCTCTTTACTCTTGTCCTGTCCTGTCCTTCACCCTGACCCTTAAACATTTGCTCCAGCAGCAGACATCCAGTGTAAGATCTGATTCGTGCAGGAGGGAAAAAGTAGAGCACTGCAGCAGCAGCAGCAGCAGCAGGGGAAAAGACGCATGACAGTGTGATTAAAGGCAAAGGCATCTCAGTTTTCCCACTTATGATTTGCCATCATGAAGAAACTTTTTTGTCTCTAGAAACCAAACAGGATGGAGATTCAAAACTCCAGATGTGCAGCCTGGCTTTTTGTTCCACTGACAACAGACGATGAGGACATGAAGAGTTATTTGTAATCTGCCCTTCAAATTGAGTGAGAAATCACTGAAAAGTTCCAACGAACACCACACCAACGATTTGAATTTCTAATTTGGATCTACTCTCCTTTGAAACAACCAAGCAACACGGTTCACACTCTTTTATATTAAAAATCCTGCTTAAATTCACAGTCAGGGTCTTAGCCACCATTGGGGACACCGAGGTCATGTACTCAGAAGGTTATTCTGAAAATTTGGAGGGATAGCAACCTTGGGGGACCTTAAAAATTTTTATGCTAATGTCAGATTGTTAGGCTAGTAGTCAGTATTTACATCCTGGCACCATTGACAGGGCTTTAAAACACAATTTAGACTTTTATGTTAGGAAATAAAACGTTAAAGGTTGTGGTCCCTGTTGTCATGCAAAATTGTTTACTAAAATACTAATTTCTTTCCAGGGCTGCAGCCAAGATTTGACACATACTGAGGTCATGAGTCCAAATCCCCCCCAGGAAGTGTATTCAGTTAACTGTTAAATTATTTTAACTTTTATTTTGAAGGAGCGTAAATATATTCATATCACTGTAGGAGCACACTGACTCCTAGTACATTAATTCAAAGTACAGGGTACAGAGACAATAAATACATTGAATATATGCAGTACATTTAAATGTATTCATGATATAACTTGTTATTGATATCTTCCCATAGTCTCGACTGTAACAGACATTAATGTTTGTGTGTAATAATGGAAAAAAAGAATGCATGTAGATATTTTAGCAGTTTTATTTGCCTATTTTGATGTTTTCTTTCATGTTTGTGATGTTTATTTTGGATGAATCAGCTTCCAATTGAGTTTTCATTTTACACTACTTTAATTGTATACAACTTTATAGTTGTGAGATTTGTATCACCCTTAAAAGGGTAAAAGACTAAAACAACAACAACAACAACAGAAAAAGAGTGGTCCAAATCTGTGCGGCCTCATGCCGACTCAAAAGCTGTAACAGGCTGCATGTAAATTACACACAGAGCTAAAGCTTTATGAGACTGCCTACCAGAGTTACTTTACCTGTGGTAGCCTAATCTTTGCTGCCTAGTAGGTCAAACAAACCTACATTTCCTTTAATGCTAATGAGGAAATTATAATAACTGCATATAATATGATTGATGACCAGCTATCCTTTTCAGACCATGTTGTTCAACATCAGAAAAATCACAATATGCCACCCAGCTTCTGGTACAGGCCTTGGTTACCTCTGCCAAATGAGTAAATGTAAATATAAATATTATTCTAAGGATAAGTGTGGTAATACTCTACCCTAGTGTTATTGTCAACAAATGCCATTAAAACAGACTAAAACTAGTGTCTCTCAATACTTTCTGACTACTCTTCCCTGTCTGTGTATCTCAACCCCATTCCCATTGATTTGCTATTTAGAGGTAAATCTTTAAATGGGTCATAAATACTCAGTCTCATTTAAAAAAAAAGTTAAATAATTTCCTAAATTTACTAACGGACACTCTATTTTTAGCAAATGTTACTCAAAAAGGAAAAAATAGCGCATTTATTGGGGACTATTTTCAGATTGATACACATTTGGTACTGTAGTGAGTCTGTACAGCATCAGGACAGTGCATTGATTGACTGATTGATTCAAAAGAACTACAGTGTGTGTTCATTATAATGAAGAAACATGTCACCCAGTGCAACACTGAGCTCTCTGATGTGTTTTCAGTTGACAACAATAGAGCTCCATGGCACAGAGGAATAAAATACTGTATATCAGGCAACATAAGAGGTACTTGGGTCAATTAATTGTTGGCTTTGTTCTTTTCAAGTATTTTCAAGGAAACATACAGAACATCACCAGCCGCACCAAACATTAATTAATAAATAAATAAATTAACTAATCAAGAATTGTATTGCTGGCATTGTGGAAAAGGCTTTGAAACAGCACTTAGATGTTGAGAAATAAAAGTTCTACACAATATTATTAAACAGCTGAGTCTAAAAACAATAACATTGACCATGAGGGAGTTTTTATTTGTAGGAAGGAAGGATAGGAAGTTCTGCTTAGGTTGCAAAAACCTAAAATGGGGAAAAAAATTGGGGAGGACATGACCTCAGTGTCCTTAATGTCCCTCTTTTATACAAATCTGCAGTAAACACTGATCCATGCAGTCATTAGAATAACAAATGAAGGCGACAAGGATACATTTCCATATGAGTCAGGTTTGTGCAGATGTTATGCAATGTGAAAAATGTGTATAATCTCCCCTTTCCTGAGCCCTGCCAATGTAGTTTCACCACAGGTGAATTTAAACGTGTGACTCAGCTCACCGGCTGTTTCAAGGAATAAATAGTTTCCTTAGAAATGTATGATAATGGATTGGAAATGAAGAGCCTGCAGTTTTTGCAGACTGAGTTATTTTGAGCTTAAAATTTAAATAATGTCTGTCCAGGTTGCATTTTCGGACCTTGCCAGGCATCAGAAATGATTTACTGACCTGAATATTTATTTAAAATTAGTGTCTGAATGTGCTCGAGCTTGTAAAATCCATGTGGATAGTTCTAAAAGTACTTTAATCTGCTGCTCCAATAAGCTTTTACATGTGTGTTTCTATGAATTATGAAAAATGAATGCGTTAATGACAGGTTTAACATGAGCAGACATCAAAATGGAGCTAATCTTTCCTCCTTTAACTTAAAGGAATAGTTTGATATTTTAGGAAATAATCGTATTCATTAATCTTATATTTTCCTCTCCATAAAGAAAATATGTAGCTGGAACCAGCAGCCGTTTAGCTTAGCTTAGCATAAAGACTGGAAACAGGGGGAAACAGCTAGCATGGCTCTGTTCAAAGCTAAAGAAATGCACAAACCAGAACCTCTAGAGCAATGAAGATTTTACCTCTACTTTGTTAAAAAATGACACCCTGTGGTTTTACAGGAAGTGGTGGGACAAACTATTTCTTGGCCTGAACTAGTTGCCTGGCAACCAGCTGAGACTCCAGGAGGTTACTGCTCCATCCAAGAAATAGTTTGGCAAAAAAACCCCCAAAAACTTTCGGTTTCAACTATACAAATAACCTATTTCCTAAAATGTTGAACTATTCCTTTTATTTTTCAAAATGATCAACAACAAAACTTGTTGAGTCTTTCTATCAGTTTATTAGGAATCTACGTTACAATAGGGTCTCCATATGCACAGTTTTTCTCAATACCCAGGTTGAACCAATTGCCTTTTCGTCCTTTATAGGCACTGGTAACTATTTTTGCCCAGCCGTGTTCTCCCTGAAAACAAAACAAAATAAATATTATTTATTCTGAATGCACAAAACACAACATCAATGAAAATGACTTCTTAAAAACACTAGCTGTTCCTGTCTGAAACAAACGGAATGGATAAGAGAGTGAATCCTTGACTTGCAAAGGAGTGAAGTGTTCAAATTGTAGCTAGAAAGGTGTTTAATGTGAGGCTGAGCCAGCTGAGCAGGTAGGGTGTGTTGCAGAGCGAGAGAGACCAACCCAAAACTCTCCCCAGGAGTTTCTGACGATCCAGTACTCAGTCCCGTCCTCCGCCACACCCCAACCAGCCACAGACACAATGTGATTCGGCATAGACAGGATGTGAAACTCTGAGAAGATCCCTCCAGAGTATTGCTCCAGGCTGTCGGTGGCCATCAGGGCACAACTGAAAGACAGAGTAAAGAGTTTCTGAAGTCCTTCAATCAGCTGCAGCCAAATCTTAAACACCTCTCTTTTTGTTTGATTTTCACATTATCTTGAAAATGTGGTGATTGAGAGAAATGTGAGCATTTCGGCTGTAAAAGCAGGACCGGCAGTTTAAAAATAACCTTTTTTAATTGTTATAATTAGTAATTTGAACACAAGTACAGCTGAATGCTGTGTTTGGTGGTGGATTTAGGGCGTTCCAAAAACGTGTGTTGCCAACAAACAGCAGAAAAGAGAAGCCACTGCGGAAATGCTTTAAACCTGCAACGACAGGCGGGAAGCGACTCCATTGGTTGCAAAAAGAATTGTCTATTCCTCACTTGATTTATTACCTTTAAAAAACACTTTCCTAGTGAGTTTATGGTCTCAGTCACTAGTTTCAAGTCTTCTTCAACGCAGCATGGCATTCATTAAGCATATTATCGTCCCATTAAGAGCAAAATTGGGGATGCTTTAGGGCGTGGCTATCGGTCGCTACCATGGTGACCTGTCAATCAGGCGACTCAAATCGATTAGTATCACAGTTAACTGAATTACGGATGCACTTTGCTAACAAAGGTAGTTTGCGCCACCCTCTCCGAGGCTTCAAAACAGTAGACCACAAACCAATGGGCGACGTCACAATGTCCACTTTATAAAGTCTAGTTGCAAAGCACCCTCTAGTAGACAAACTATGCAACAACAACACTCACAACATGACAGAAGAGTCTCTCCATTTTTTTCATTTTTATTTTTTAATGAACTTTTATCGGCTGATACGGATTTATCTGCAATTAGCTCATATCGGCGCTTCTCTTTATGTGACAATGTTATTAACACTTATTTTATCCCAAATATTTCAAATGTCAACTAATAAAAAATATTTGAAAAGTTTCATCCAACACGTACATAAAAAGGTAAAGTGAAGACTTTAAGACCTTGTTAATACTGCACGGCATTAATTTAAAGACAATATAAAAGCAGTCAAAGCCAGAAAAGCTAATGGAGAACGTTAAACTGTAAATGGACAGGAGGAAAAGAACATCGGTAAATTGTTCAGTGACATAAAGCTCAGCGATGTTAATTAAAGTGGTGAATACTATGTATATGTAAAATATAAGATTAATACCTTAAAACTTTAAATTCCTATAATTTACTGAATTTTAAGACTTCAATTATTAAAATTACACTCAGCGCCGTTACGTTTCCCAAAGGTTTTGAGAATTATTAAATATGTATCTACTAATAAAAACTTGACTATGATTAAGAATTGCATTGTGAAAAGTTGAGGCTGAATCTCTTATTTCACACGAAGGGTGTAGGTGGAATAATATGTATAAATGACTTGGGAGTACGACTTACTCTACCTGATGGGCCCGTTGATATAAATTTCAGCTTTCATTTCATCTCTTCCAGAAACTTCTCCGTAGTCTCCCACTTTCCACACAGTGTAGTTCTTGACAACAGCACACGATTCAAAGAAGGAGCACGTGCCACACTGGTTAAACTGCTCACACTCTAAAACAAACGGAGAAGATTAGTTATTACGATTTACAGTGCAACACAAAATTTAAGTACAATTAATTTCAATGTAAATTTTCCAGTGTACTGTTGTAGTGTAATGTAAAGCGCTGCGATTGTGAACATTTGTTTGGTTTGAGACTCAGTGCAGCTGCAGAAAACACTGAAACCCACAATGTTAGTTGCATTTTACCTATTCCCTAAAATCCTATTTATTATTTTTCTTTCCAAAAAACAGTACCTCCATTTGACAAATGACTATATAAAAAACACTACAAGTCATCACTTGACAACAACACATCCCTATTGAGCTGTGTTTTAATGTTTTTCCCACTAAAATGGATATTCACTATATACAGTATAATACGCGGACACCGAACCATTACACACATGTGAGACTGTTTAACGCCTCATTCCAAACTCATAAGTCACAGGAGCATTAGTGAGGTGTGGGATTAGGCCTGGCTGGCAATCGGTGTTCCAGTTCATCCTGAATATGTGGGATGGGCCCTTCAAGTTCTTCCACACCAAACTGATACAGCCATTTATTTATGGACCAGGCATTGAGCAGGGGGGTGTTGTCGTGTTGAAACAGGAAGGGGCCTTCCCCAAATTGATGGGACAAAGTTGGAAGCACGCTTTAATTTAAAATTGAACTGCTGGAAATCTTAGTGCTGTAGCATTAAGGGGTGCAGCCCAAACCATCAAGAAAAGAAGGCCCCAGAACAAACATAAACCTTTGGCCATATAGTATAAATTAACAGCAGAAAGAGTGGTCCGAAAAAAGATGTTTTTTACTTTGGTTTTTGGCCTGGTAGTTGTTGCAGGTTTCATCAGGAATGCCTTTCATGTGTGCGTAGGCGTAGACTCTCAGGTGATCTCCTCCATAACAAGAGCCTGCCCGCGCACAGTCTATCACGTTCTGGACTGACAGGTAGGCCGACGGCCACGTTCCTCCACGCTTAATGTTGATACGGTCTTGGAGGAAAGAATAACAATAACAAATATAACCATGTTGAAATGGTAAACTCACAGTCTTTTCTGTCTCTTGCCTGTCTGCTGGTATGTGCTGGATGCCGCTCCCCAAGCCCACTGTGACAATGCTGCCACACTAATGCGATACTCTGTAATCCATAAAACCTGCACAATATAATATCCATATTACAAACTGTGTAATAATAAATATATTTTAAATCTACATAATAATATCAATCCTATCTTCTATACATCCATCCCTCTATTCTTCTATTTTGTTCCCTCCCTCCACCATCCCTCCCTCTGTTGCCATGTTTACCAGCTAGTGCACTGGTGGATCCCATGGCCCAGCAGGACCCACAGTACTGGGGGATGTGCTGGTTCCGTGTGACGCTCACATAATTCTTCCCCTTGATGTTCCTCCAGTCCCAGGACAGAGGAAGGTCTGACACCTTCACATACTCGTGTGGGCGCGCCCGTGTCCTAAAAAAATGTAAAGATGAGACTCATATCTGACAGTGATTGTTAATACACGCAAGAGAAATCCGAGCGATTGGTACTTTTGAGGAAGAACCACAGTAATGTTACTAGTAATAACAGAGGAACAGAAAATCTGTGTTAATATATAGAGAGACGTAATATTACAGACAAGTCACATTTCAATTCACAATCCCACAAAAAGTTTCACAAATTCACAAAAAGTTGTATTATTTTTCTCTATTCTTTTATTATTCTTATAACATGCATTTGTTTATTCCATATTCATATATTTCTACATTTATTTATGTAAATGTTTGTCTACATGTAGCACCTTATCACCAAAGCAAATTCCTCTTATGTGTAAAACACTACTTGGCAATAAAGCTCCTTCTGATTCTTTACATCAGCTATAATTTTTAGTTTTTAGAGTCACAAAGTAAAAAAAAGCAAAGAGTCATTAAATACATTTAATCTAATTAATTTGCTTTTGCTGATTACAACTAATTGCAAATTTAGTATAATTACAGATAATCAGTTAGGGATCATCTAAAGGGATTTTGATTACTTTAACGGATCTTTTTCCACATTGAAAATAATTACGCAGCCAGCTGTGCAGAAAAGGCATGAAAAATGTTTCCATTCCCTGTGATACTGTTACTTTTATGATACCCCTACTGGCGTTTTTATTATGTAACATTGGTCCTCATGATTGGTAATGTTAAGATACCACATAATAATATAGCAGTAGTAGTATTTTGTTCAAATAATTAGCTGCATTATACATTAAATTTCCACTTGATCAGGCAAATCCCATTAAGAAAAAAACAATATATAGAGATAAATATAAAATAATGAATAATGATAGACATTACAATATAGTAAAAGTAGCAAGTACAGAAAACAAACCTGAACTCCCGGAAGCCCATATGTTAATGTGATCTTCCCAGAATTTCTAACTAAGCTAACGTTTGCTACCAGCGTTATACTAATAGGACTGTATATGTCTGTGAAACCATGCGTGAAACACGGTTCATCTCTAACTAATATTCTCCATAACATCAACTTTTTATGTGAAACCTCCAAATCACAACTGAGGGTTATCGTTGAGGTAAACAACAAGTCTAAGTGATTAAACTCGGTAGAAAACGCACCTTTTCTCGTCACTTACTTGACATAGTCTGATATGTTGTCGCTGATGGGTTTGTAACAGGGCTCAGATAGAAATCTGGAAGAGCTTCTTTGCAAAGAAAATGATGCTAAACACAACAGCAGCGGTCCAGCCAGTGAAGACGCCATGTTGGCAGCGCCTCCTTCATCTGACGGACACACAGAGCGCCCCCTGTCGTCACCCGCTACCACGACATCCTCCGCCAGACACCATCACTGACTGATCAGCACTGAGACTGACTAAAATTCAACATAAATCTTAAAACACCGTAATAAGTCATAAAGATGCTTTTATGACAGAAGGGCCATAACTGTACATGTATGTGAAGTCTGTCAAGAAGTGTGTGTGCAGCCCCCCCCCAAAAACCCCCTTTAACAATGAACAATAGGCTACAAAACACAATGTAGAATGTAGAATTACAAATAAAAACCCTACACAAAACATTTTACTTGTAGGCTAACTACTAACTAAAGCTTTAAAATATAGTAGCCTATAAAAAGAAAGAAAGTTAAACAGATGTCTTTCACAATGTGCAACAGAAGAGAGCCAGATTTTGTGATTATTTGTGGTTGCATATTGTTTTCAGCTGAGAGAGGTTTAACAATTGTTTTTTGTTCTTGATTTATATATATATATGCTCTCTACTTCCAGGCAATTTTCTTTCCTTCAACTCCCCAGACCTGCCATTCTCTTGCTGTCCACCAGATGTCCTCGGACTTTCTCTCCTTTCCTCATCACCTGGACTTTCCCATTCATCTACCCCACCGGCGTCTCATTCCCTCCTCAGCCACTCATCATATTTACTGGCCTACTTTCTTTATTCCTTGCCTTTACCTCCCTGTGTTAATGAAATGACCGAACTTCATAAGCTCTTCCTCCATTTGGGTCCTATCTTCTGTGGTCCTGTTACCCTGCAGTGACAATGCAGCCAATAAGATATTTAATGTATTTGTGTAAATTGTGAAGGCAGAGGTGGATTGTAATACACAAGATATGCCTACTGGTACTACTTTACATGAATATCTCCCCCTTTCCCCCACTTTTACTACATTTGAGAGGAATAGTGTTTATACACCATGTATTTTATCTCACTGCTGTCGTTTGTGGCAGGTTACATTCAAATATCATCTCCCCAGTACAATATAATCCCACCTGGCCCAGATCTCACATTAAAATACTTAGATATTAGAAGATACTGTGGTTTTGGTGTATGTACATACACAGAAAGGAATTGACAGAATTCAATAGAAAATCTGAACATCTATTGAAAATAAAAAGGGGCAAATGTTTTTTTCACACATAAATTTTCTATTCATAAGAGTAACAGATTTACACCTTTTCACATGTACATTTCTTTAGACTTTGATGCATCCCAAACATTTGAAATCCATGTTTAACCATGTTATTGCCAGTAGAAATCAACTAAATAATAATCCATTAAATTAAATATTAGCATGTATTCTATTTTACCAATTGTAAAATTTTATTATTGTATTGTATAATACTTCAGAAATCATGTATTTTATTCTTACAGTTCCTTGCCTTTGACTCTAAATAAAAATGGGTGTTAGGGCAGTGCAGGTTTTGCAGAGTCAGCAAGAAACTTTTAAATAACATACTCAGTTCCCAGTTACAGTACAATCACATTACACCTAATGCAGGACCTGATGATTGGTTGTTTTTTTTATGGATAATATGTAGCTCCTAACAAGGTTACTGTATCACAGGAGAAAGCTCAACTTCAATCATAGTCTGTTTTTGTTAAGGGGAAGCAATATTGTTTTGTGCTTTTAATGATTTAAAACTAGAATCAGATTAGATGTGCATTAGGCACCTAATGAACCCTCAACAGGAACACTAGATAACTCACTCACCATTTTTTTGTTGCGTGATCAATCTCCAGATTGAGGTCTTTCTCCTGATGATGGTGATGCTGAGCAGTTGATGTACTATAAAAGATGGTGAGCAGAAAGAGATAAACATGTTCCATGTGTTGTCAGTGTAAACTATAGAAGGCTGGACTGGAGTATTGGAACACTATTATTTATCAGCTTTACTTTACAAATGAAAATGTGACTGAGAACTTTTTAAATATGATGCTTTATTCTTGATTTAACTACCCAGCAGTATATTTAAATAGAGCTGAAATTATTAGTTGATAGACAGAAAATTTATTATTTTGTAAATCATTATTAAAAGTCCTTTTTTATGGACAAAAACATTTCATGTCTCCAGTTTCTCAAATGTGATGACACTTTGGGCTCTGGGTAATTGTAATGACATGAATTGTGGCAAATAAAATAGTATTAAAAAAAATAGGTCCCTCTCATCCAACTGTAACTGTAGTAAAATGTTGCTTGGAAATGAATGCATCATAACCTAATATAACAGTCGGGGGGCATGCATTTCCTCTGCTTTTTGCTCTTCACATATAAGCGACGGCTGAAAACAATTTCTTCAGGTGAATGTTGAATGTCATTCTGAGAAACATAGGAACTCACTGGTTGCAGTACAGGTTGTTGACAGAAGCTGAAGTAAAGTAGATACCGACGGAAATATAAACAGCACTTCATCACAAAGATGACTCTGAACATCACAAAATGATGATATATGTGACAGCGAGGACGGGGAGGTTGTTCCCAGAAGGAGTCACTAACCTCAAGTAATTTATTAGTCTGCATCTAAAGCTTCTAAAACCTTTTACAAACTTAACCTAAGCTGCTGGAAAAGCATAACAGAGTGAACAGCTGTAATTCAGGGCTGAAAAGTCATCAACCTCTGACTGAATATTATTAACTAAAACTGTATTGATCACAATGTTCCTCCTCATCAAATCACTTACTCTGTGTTTTCTCTGAGAGCAGACAGCGCCTACTCCTCCTAAGAAGTCCATTGTGTTATGAAACACAGAGGCTGTTGTTTCCTTCAGGAGCAGAGGAATGAAGTCCGGATGACCTTTGACCTCTTAGGACATTGCTTCTGTGTTAAAAGCCAAACTCTTCCTGCTTTGAGGCGTCTTCAGAAGCACAAACAGTCCTCAATAATAAATGACCTCACAGGATAAAGCTGCTCTTCAATGTGAGTGCTGTAAATCATTCAGGATGTAATGGTACAAACAACCCAGAGGTAATACAAGACATCTGTCAACATATCAGTTCTTCTCTGATGAGGCCGCCATCCTGTGTGCATTAACATGAGCATCTTCCTGCCTGCTAATGCTCAGGAGATATGAGCCTTTATGACACCACTAAACATACCTTCAGTCATCAGTGAGTGAATGCCATTATCCTTCAACTTTCAATAATAAAATAGCTTCTAAGGATGGTCTCTTTACATCCAGGCAGACGACCAGACAATCATGCAGTCGCTGCAGTTAAATCTTTTTAGCTCTGTCCAGTTGTTTCACCTTTCCAGAAGTTAGATATCACATCAGTAATTGAGACTGCTCTTTGTGATTGGAGGGAATATCTTTTCATGTGATTACTGTTTAATAGTAATTATAATAATGAATTACATTATATAGCGCCTTATCTTAGATAGAGCACTTCAGAGCGAAGGGGGAGGGAGGGACTCATCTCAATCAACACCAGTGTGAGAGTTGAAGCTTGAGGTTTTTAAGCAACGAGAGGAGCCTGGCTGGTCGGCAGGTCCTGAGTGAACTATCTCAACAACTGCTGGATGAATATGCATAGAATTTTGTACTGACATTCGTGGTTTCCAAAGGATAAATCCCACTGACTTTGCCACCAGCAGGTAGAATTTTCTCCTATCCTGTGAAATATCTCAACATTAACAGGTTGGCACAACAATGTGTACACACATTCATTGTCTCCTGGGCCCAGTAATCTGATTGGATTTCGGCTGTCGGATTGGATCAAATCTTGAAAAAGAATTCTGAAATCAGATCACATCACCTAATTTAATCCTGGTTTTGATCTGGGTCAAAACAAAAACAATATATTTAATTTAAACTGTCCCTTATTACTGTACATTAATTACAAAGGAACAATCATCTGAGGTCAACCATTCAAACGTAGTCAGTAACAATTGCATCCCTTGCACGTCCAGTCAGTCCCTCATTCTGAGATCGCCTTCTAAATGCTTGAAGCTTGTCAGACATTCATGGTCCCCAGAGAACGAAGCCTACTCGTTTTGTTGATCCCCAGACTTTTACTCTGGTGCAAGTGTGGTTTTGAGTCAAATTTCTTGACAGCTGTTGAATGGATTGCCATAGTATTTGGTACAGATGTTGATATCCCCCTCACACTGAATTGTTATCACTTTGGTGATGCCCTGACTTGCCATAATCAGGTCAAAATTTCAATTTGTTCAATACTTGTGTGACCAAATACACACAAAAGTGCTGACATTCTCATAAGCCTCTCAGATCCGCCAGTGTAGCTGTAGATTCTTAGTGATTTTATAAAACTGCCCGGTTTGCAGGGTGATAACGGTATATTTGCATATTGAACCAATATAGTTATATATAGTTAGTTAGTACACAATAAACCAAACCTTAATTCACATATGTCCAGTTAAACCATGAACACCGCACAAACTGGAGTTACAAGGTTTCATATGACTACAGCGATATACAGTATATCTGTCAAATTCCAAAAGAGACGATCTGCCCGCAGCCACCGCAGAAAGACAGTAAAAAGCCCACTTAAGCAGAGGCACCTTTTTAGAGTGCATGGAAAGTGCATCCATGTAAATATTGAACACACACAGTTTGGATTTCACTCACGGATCAATATTGAAGCAATCTGGACGTTAATCTCATTTGCACTTCTGTTTTCTTCTTGGCAAAAGCTGCAGCAAACGGGCAGTGTGGGAGGTCTTGTGAAATTACAACAAATTTAGCATTTTGAAAGATTTTCACCAGATTCACGTCAATATTTAACGATTTCTGTGCTATTTGATTTTCAGTCACTACTCTAAATGTAATTTTGGCATGACAGACTAGACAAAAAGTTTAAAAAATATGTATATATGTACTGTATGTATGTATATATACATGTTTACACCACTTTGGTCCAGACTGAACTTTCTGAACAGTTATTGGATGTGTAATAACTGTAATAACTTAAGCTATCCCAGGACTTTTCCTTTAGTAGCGTCATTGGGTCAGAATTTTAATTTGGTTGTACTTTTAGCATGCAAACATGGTAAAATAAGATGTTAAACATAGTAAACATTATATTTGCCTAGCATCAGATATGATTGATAATATTGATAATTATGAACATATTAGCGTTCTGACATTATCTTTTAGCTCAAGCAGTGCTGTGCTTAAGTACGGCTTCACAGAGCAGCTATTGTGACTGTGACAACTCCTGTTTCAGTATGAATTAAACTAAAAAAGCACTGCTTGCTTAAATCATTCTTCACAGCTAGTTTGAGCCTCACTGCCATTAAGCTATTGGAAGTGACATGGAGGTCTCAGAAGAACAAGGATCAAGTATAAAGCAACACAAATAATTCCTGTTGCTGCTACAATAATTCAGATAGGCAGGTCAGTCGGGAACAACTGACAAGAACCTTCACTGTGTAAAACTGTCGTGTCCATTTGGCTCAAGAACTTATCAATAACTCCCTCTCAAGAATCGGATGAATAATGGATCAAAAAGAAAAGCTACTTAAGATTCACATTCATCTGAGGGATTAGATCAGCAGGTCCGCACTTCAAATAGCAGAAACAAATCAAGTGCTGACATGTTTTGAGGTTGGTTATTGATTATGGCTGGTTCAGTTCAGGATCTCATGGGGGACTCTCTGACTGCTCCCACGTGGCCGCTGCAGCAGAGCATCCAGCCAGTCTGGATTTCCAGGGAAAAGTGATGCTTCAGGGCAGAGGTTGGCAGCTGACATGTTGATGGTCTCCCAAAGTCAGCTTTCCCCTCAGCAACATTTCGCTGTTTATTTTTCTTATTTTCATAAACTGAATCCATGTTGGTGATTAGGCCAATCACAAGTGGGACCTTTGCTGCTTTAAGAGCCCCCTGTTTTCCACGTGGCGGCTGAGGAGGGTCATTTGGCTCGGTCCTGAAGACTTACCTCCTTGCTTTCCTCCTGCCTAATGCACTTCAGAGGAAATAAAAGCATGGATCATTTTCTTGTCTATATAGTCATTAAATATATCAAAGCAGGTATGATTGATTGTTTTTATTGTAGCCTATGTTGGTGCTCCAGTTAAAACTTGGCAGCACAGGTTCATCTTATATACAAAAAGTAAACATGAGGTCAGCACTCCTTGTTTACTGAAATGCAGTTTCTTTTAGCAGTGGTGATAAATAACCTTTAGTGGAGTTTTAAAGGTTTTTTTTATATTTGGGAAATAAGGGTATTCCGTTATATTTAGTTTAAATGTAGTGGTTGCCTTTTTAAATTGTCTTTTGGTACCCTTCACAGCAAACAGGACTATCTAAACATACACTTCTTGTCTTATATCAGATCATTTTGCAAGTGGGAAGATGAATTTATGTTTTAATAGACACTAATAAGCACACAACTTATCTGTGATAATAGAAAATGAAAACGACAGTTATATTTAGACTCTCTTAGAAATGTCTGTGTATATTGGCACATACTTCTTTAGTATTTTAAAATTAAGCTCAAATAAATGTTATGTGAGCCAACACAAGTTCTCAGTAAACATTGGAGCTTCTACAGACATCTGTCTTAATGACATTTTAACAGGGACCTTTTTTCAAATGTTTAAATTTCAATGACTCAAACCAAAAAATTAATTGTGGGAAAACATGATGAATACAGGTATTTCCATCATATCATGCTCTGTGTCATGCACAGTACAAATAAGAAACGACTTCAGACATGCTGTGAGCATGATCTTAGGTACAGTGGTGCTTTGAGCTAAATGCTAACCTCAGTTTGCTAACATGCACACAATGGCGGTGCTAACATGTCTAGTAGATAGTCTAATAGTCTAGTATAATGTTTACCATGTTTGTGAAGGAATTATCCTTCTTTAATGGTAATACACACACACAGTTTCCCCAGGACACGTTAGGGTCATTTGCAGAGCTAAAGTAAGCCAAACTTCACAGCCTGTGACTCTCCACAGCAACATAAATTAAACTCTGTCTCCCCTCGTGTCTGGCGTGACTTAGGCTAACTTAAGTATAGTGTCTTGCTTTGAACCAACATCCAATACAATCTCCACACATGTACTTGGACACGTGGTGAATATCGTTAGGTGAAATAATGACAAATATTCCATGTCAGGAAGAAACCTTCAGATTTGGTTCTGGCCCTACACTGTGTCCTCACTCTGCACTGCTGTTGCCATTCTCCTTGACCGAGCTTCAATAAACACCTCTGCTTAAGACACCCTGAGTTTCCTGAATCCTTCCTCATCACTAGAATTGACCAGCTCACAATAGTTTTCGTCACACTGTTCACCATCTTAGTTTAGCATGTTAGGTATTTCACTTTAAAACACACATTTATGTGAACCTTATGCAGGCACAAGAGAAAACTCAAGAGTCTATCTACTCAATCTAATTTTGTGCCAATCTCTCAAGTAAAGGGGCACAGACCATTCAGGGTCACTGAATGGTCTGAGCATGAAAATCCTGTTCATCATATGATATGGTTTTCACAGGCACCAGATCTCAAAACAGTTGAATGCCTATTGGAGATTTGGGGCTGATATGTTCAACAGTTAAATTAATGGACAATAATGAGCTAGATCGTTTTAAAATAGGCTATAAAAACCAGTGCCTCTATAAATTGTTATGGTCAATGTGTTAAAGTCATATTTCTAAATTGTTCTGTTTATTGAAGCTTTACTTACCCCACTGAAGGTCTACTTGCTTGTTGTCTTCAAAAGTGAGTTCAGAGGTCAGACTTAGGTGGCATGCAGCTGGAAGGGATTCAGTTTTTCTTTTTTTCTCAAAGACACTTCAGCAGCTGTCACAGGAATATAACCTCTGCATGTCATCCCACTGACAACTAGCACAAAGACGCAAATCAACTTGAGGTTTGAGTCACAAAATCATTTCTGTTTACTCAACATACAACTAGATTAAATGTAATCAGAGATGTTTTCGCTACAATGCTCTTAATTATTTCAAGACATGAAAGCATTTTTGTAAAATAAATGTTCCTGCCTGCAAGGAGAAATCTGACAGGCCTGTTTTGTGGTAAGGAGGATTACATTGAAGTGGATGTGCTGCTTTTGCAGGCTGCTCTCCGACCAGTAGGGGTCGCTGTTTCTCTCTGATGAACAGCTGGACAGCAGACCTGAAGAGATGCAACGGGCAGTAAAAGTCTCATGACATTTATAAAATCTTTCTGAAAGTCATCGTGCTTATTTAATGTTTAAAGACTTTAATATGCAGACCAAATACTAAACTTTGAGAATATTGTTTAGCGTTTATGAAACTAATGCTGTTTGGGACACGTTATCTTTTAATAGGCTAATTGTGGTATTTGCATCTATCTCAGCGTCCCACCTCTTGCTTCCAATTATCACAGGGGGCTGGACCGGTTACAAGACGGAAGACTTTTGATTGGCTGAATCAGGTGTCAATCACAAGCTGGTCCTGTAGCCTCCTGTTGGCGAATACAATCCACACCAGAAGTCAGAAAGTTAAATTTCAGCAAGGGGACATAACGGGAAGGGTAAACGCTCCGGTTACTCGGCGTTACTCTGTGTCTACCTGTCACGCTTCACAGTAATGAAGCAAAATTAGACTTTCTTATATTTTGAACGTTTCGTTATTGTGGTTTTGTAGTTAAAAAGGAGGTTAATTGTACTTAAGGTCTTGTTGGCTCCTTTCTCCGGCATTTTACGCGCCGTGCCAGCGCAGCTGTTTGCGCACCGTCAACATGACATTTATTTCATCTGAGTAACTAAACTGTCAGGGTGACATTAGTTACCGGTGACATGCCTGTTGTGGCGAACCTTGGTATGCATGTGCGCAATCTTTCACTGTGGAATAATCACGGGAGTCCGGGTGTCATCAGGGAGAGCTGATGTGGCCGTTTGCAGGAGCGCACCAGTTTGATGTCAGCTGCTTTGACAGAGCGCAGGAGTGTGGGATGCAAGAGAAACCGTAGAGACAATCCTCTGCTACTTTTATCTGGACTCAACACGGGCTGCCCGGAGCCATGGCCTCTGAGGTGGTGTGCGGGCTGGTCTTCAGGTTACTGCTGCCACTGTGTCTTGCAGCTGGTAAGTTTTTTCTTTTATCCCCACTTTTTAAGCATCTTGTTTTGCCTATACTGCTATTCATGTCAACCCCAGGTGGGGTTGGTGATTGATCAAGAGTTTATATAATAGTTTATCTGATAGTAGGGCTGGGCAATAAAACAATAATGATAATATAATTTTCCTTAATAACAATATAACAATATGTTCAATATATCGTCAATAAATGTTGAATGTATTGAATTAATTCGAATCATGAACAAATTAGCACTTAATTTTTCTATTAATATATTTATTTTGTTGAGGAAAAAGGGACTGAAAAACTATTAACTATTTGTTGAAAAAAGATTTTATCATAATTGTTTTGAATGTTCTACCTCAGATTTGTGAAGTGATCCACTGTTTGGCATCAAGTGTTTATCACGTTCTGACCGTAAATAAAAGTTTAACCACACAGCTTTTCTTCAATTTTCATTCAGGAGCAAAAATCAGCCTTTAAACTTGAAAGAAAAAAATGTTTTGACATTTATCGTGATAATTATCGATAACTAATGATATGAAATATGAAACATTTTTGGCCATATCGCCCAGCCCTATCTGATACTGTCCTATAAGTCAACACATTGTACTTACCTGTGACCTTAAAGCAAGGTCATAGGTTATATTTAACTGTGTGACTGTCATTATTTTTATTTAGCTAAATTAGTTTTCCATTCTTACACTCATGACAATCTGTGACATTGATTCAAAATCTCAGGTACACTAGTACAAACCTGAATATCTGAGTATGCAGAGTCTTAAGAACAGAAATCAAATGCATGATTGTGTGAAAACTTAATATTTTTTATGATGATTTGAGATTGACCTGATGCTGGAGGTCACAGTTCGTTCCTGTCATTACTGAGGTTTGTGCTCTCAAAACTGGGGACCAAACGAAAACAAAAGACACAGATGGTGTGTAAATTACAAACCAGGACAGTGGTGTACCTGGCTAGCTGTCATCTTTTATTGGATTTAGGAAAGGATACACAGCTAACAACAGAGCATCCAGTCACTGCATAGTATGCGTCAAAAGCACCCTTTTGGAGTCCACACACTCTGCACATTGTTTATGTCCCAGTTTGTATGTGTAAAAAATGTCTTATATTAAAAACCAGACAAATATTAAATGCATCCTTTTCTATTTATTAAAGTATGAAATGCTTAAAATAATCAAATCACACACCAGTTTAATCTCATTGACTCTGCTCTGAATAAAAACAGGTTATCTATGTGGCTCAATCAGCAAGTCAAATTGGAGTTAAACTGTATTATGTGTCTTATTATAGCGTTAATTAGTTGCTGTGGTTCTGTGGAGTTTTTCTTGTTGCCTATAAATTAATCATCAGTGTTGTTATTGATTGTTTAGCTGCTGACTGGACATTCAGCGCACACTTGTAGTGTTTATACTGTTAATTACCATTTATATTGCCTTAAGAGTGTTGGAGCTACATGTCTTGTGTTGTTTCACATTCCTCTGAGTTTTAGTCAGTGGTGGAGTTTTTTGGTTTGTTTACAGCATTCGTAACTTTGTTAAGAAAAGCATTCTACACAGATGAAGTTAGTGTTCTTGTGTCAGTCAGTGTTTTGTTTGATTCACTCTTTAGCAATGCAGATTCAGAAGATGACTCATAGTCAAACTTGGCAGCTTATTTGGACGAAGGAGAGACTCTAAGCAACTTTAAACAGACGCAGAGAGTCTTACCTTTAGAGCTCAGATATTACAAGTTCCACTGAAGAAGGCACACACTTAAACGCTGATTTAGAGTTTGTGGAGATGAAGCTCGGGGTATGATTGCACCTTGCAGACACTATTAAATGGAGTTTGTTTTAATACTGTGGTAAGCCACAAGTCAAAAATGATTAGCGTCTAATTGCCACTCGGGTTCTACTGTGGTATATGTGTAAGACTTATGGGGCTGAGGTAATTTTAAGGCTAACAGCATGCTTTCTATAGATAAGACCCACTCAGTACCACCATAATGCATCACTTGACAGCCAGACGCCCCCTTTATTTCCAAAAGCAATTGTGAGGCCATGCATTGTCTCCATTAATTCGTGGAAAGTCGTTTTAACAGTATGAATTAATAATGCGGTTGTGAGGGAGAGAAGAATTGCCTTCCCTTTTATCGTAAACATACCTTTTAATATTTTATGTTTTTTCAAAGTGCAAATGAGCACTTGTCATTCACTGCAGCTTGCACACAGTAACTGACAGGATGAAGGAAATGTAAAGTGGAAAGCAGGGAAGGTATACGGGAACAGGCAGCGTTAGGTATGAGAGAAGGTATTTCTGTCATCAGCACTACCTGCTCAGCGGCTTATTTCCTTCAAACGTATTTCTGTTTGACAGTAACATTTTAATTAAAACTGAATAGGTTTGGTGTAAATCAATAGCCATAAGCCATAAACCCATCAGCTCACAGACAATGTAAAACAGATTATTTATAAATGTATTTATTATTTATTATACATATATTTCTTTATTATTTGTAACTCATGGCTGGAAGGTAAATAGGTTTCATTTCTCTTCCCTCTTGTTTTGGTCCATATTTTCGGTTCTCATGTCGTGTGTTTCTGGGGCAAAAAAATATTACTTTTTGGCCACCCAGTGGGTGGGGAGGAATCACACAGCAGCACCGTAGATGTTATCCGACACCTACACCTACATTGTTACCCCTACTGTATATGATCAGTAGTGTAATATATGTTGCTTTTCTCACATCCTAGTGACAGACTTGTCTACTGACGTTACATAGCCTGTGTTTCCTGTTGGCCATCTGACAGCACCTCTATTGAAAAGTACAGAACTGCTGGGCCCATGTGTACACAGTCTCTTTAACACACACACACACACACACACACACACATACACACAGCTACAGTTTTGCTGATCAAATAGGCCGCTGTTTATGTGTTTACTGGCAGAGTTTGGAGTGTGAACATAATTATGAGCATGCACTTGCACCAAATGTCTGATTTGGTATTAAACCTGTAGTGTGAATGTACAACAGGACAGCTGTGTTGAGTTTGGCAGGTTGCAGCAGAGTAAAGCACTGAAGCAAACAGAGGTGCACATGCAGATGCTTAGCTGCTCGGAGCATCACTCTGTTCATGCTGCGTTAGGTTTAAATTTGAACTTGAAGACAAAATACATTTGTACAAACATTGTTCTGTGTGCTGTGGTGCTGCATCACAAATCTTGAAGTAGACACTTTGGCACCATCATGATGGTCCAGAAGAGAGAGGTGGTTCTGGAAAAATAATGCTTTAAACCCCCTGAAATTGTACTTGTCTCTTGTGATAACAAACAGCCTATCCAATATCAATGCACATGGGAGCAAAACCATTTAATCAAAACCACATTAAATCAAGCAGAATCAGAACAGAAAATGTAGTAGAAATTCTGTGTGTTGTTGGATTAGTTAAAATCAAAGGTCATGTGAAGAAAAGCAAACTTACTGACATTTAGAAATGTTTTACCATTGTTTAACATAAAAATTATTAGAAAGAAACTGTCAAATGTGCCCCTGCCATACAACCTACTGTCTGTGCTTACAACTCATAATGTTGAACTGAGTTGATCACACAATACAATGAAAACTCAAATGCAGCAAATTCTTTTTAGCCATAATCATTCTTAAACATACAAGAATCAGAAAAATGTCAATAAGTGCTTCACTGTGCTTGTTCAGTCTGTAAACCAATCAAGATCAGAGAAAAAAAAACAAAAATGTCAGAGGTAAAAAAAAAAAAAGTAGTAGTTGAAGAGTAAAAGAAGAATTATGAAAAGGAGAGCAGGAGAATACACTTTTGTAAGTAAATGTCTAATAAAAAAGATGTATTTTTACATTGAAATAACCTGATTATGTGGTGTAACCCACGTATAAAACACTAAAATTAACACCTGTAGCTTAGAGCCAAACAAACCATGCCATATTAGTTTTTGGCTGTTAGCTAGCAGCAAACTAGCAGGCTAATGTAACAAAGCTACTGACATTTATAAACAATAAAACACCCACTTGCTCAATTCAGTACACTTTAATTGCCATAACATGCTTATCCTAGCCACTGTTAGCTAAGGTTAAGTAAATGAATGTCAGCAAATTTCAGTTGACTTCAGTGTTATTCTCTACTTGTACTACTGTTATGCTGCTATTACTGTAACTTGTAAATAGTAGGCTATTTACCATACTGTAACTTTCAGTTGTGGCTACTGTAGCGTACTTATATATATCTACTGGACCACTGTACAGTTGCATAGTTTTGGATTAGTTAGCTAGTAGATGGCTAGTCAGTGGTTATGTTGGCTAAAATTGTATGAAGTCAAGTGACAGAAAATTAATTAGCAACAATGATGGATAATTAATTAATCTTTTATGTAATTTTTAAAACAAAAATTGCACAAAATCAAAGTTTACAGTTTATAAAAAATTGACTATTTTAAGTTTTTTAAAAACTTTTCTATGATAGTAAACAGACCATGTTTGGGTTTGGACTGTTAATCGAAGGAAATAAGGCAAACGAAGACATGAACTTGACCTCAGGGAGGTTGGACTAGTCACACTTAGTTGAATATTTTACAGACCAAATGATCAGTCAAGAAAATAATTGATATACTATGAAAATAGTCATTAGTTGCAGCCCTGAATGAAATTAGCTACTCTAAGAAGTTGTGGTATGTCATGTACTTATGCGTATGGCATCTACCAACCACTTAATATACTTAAAGTTTCATGCTCTGTTGAAAATTGTAAACCTTTGCACAGTGGTGGTATAGATTTGATGTGGTACGCTCTTTAATATTTTCTTGGAGGGGTTTAAATTCCTCTGTAATCTCCCAGTGCTCTGTCTTGCAGGCACCGCACCTCCGTATCTTTTATCATGACATTTATGTTTTTGGGCTCAAACTCTGAAGTCAGTTGGCCTTGATTTCACATTTGAGGCTGGTTTGCTTCTCTTGTGTTTAGGCTTTGTGTGGCTCTGTAATAGCAGCTTTTACTTGGAAAGACAAAAGCCTGATTCAGATGTAAATGGGGATTCCTGCAGTAATCTGATGTCTGAAAACAACGGCAGTTTATTTTCATTCTCTGTGTAAAAATCTTCAGATGGTGAGTCATACAGCAGAGGCAAATGGTCAGGAAGACTGCGGTCAAATGTCTGCAGGCTAGTAGCTGGAGCCGAGCCATGCAGATACAGATAGATTATCTGTATGTCTAACTAAAGATACTACAGGTTGTCTTTAGATTTGTAACTCTGTGCCGATGAATAATGGGAGCAGCAGGCTCCAGACTGCCAACCTGGGCAAAATAGGCAGGTTTAGAGCTCATTTAATGCCACATTCAACGAAGATAAAATGCAGTGGGCGGGAATAGAAATGTTGTGTGGACCAAAAATTAAAGATTGTGAGTCATTCCCTCCTCAATCACCCAAGAGGCTTAGGCTGAAAAAGTATCTCATTTCACTCGTTTGAAAAGTTTGAAAAGGCTACAAAAAATAATGAACAATGATGATTAAGTGCTTTTGTATGTTGTTGTTTTGGTGCTTTGAGTGTCTGGCGTATCAAGCATTTGTGCATACTTTAAACTTAATCACATAGATAATCTACTGATGTTGGTGGCTTTCTCAAAGATGACAGCCCCCATAACATTTATTTACTTTTGTTAGTTTTCATTGGTCTGTATCTGAGCACAGGGAAAACAAGGAGGTTCACTTACTGCAGGGCTCCAGCAAGGGAGAATTCAGAGCCAAGTCAAATGTCAATGAATAGGTCCATTGAGTGTGCAAAGATAAATAAAAGCACCATTTTCAGCAGTTAATTGTAATTTTTCAGTAGCAGCTGCCCAGACGGGCCAATCTCTATGACTGAGATGGTAACTCATGCAGCCGACCGGGTTGTAAACTTTGTGCTTGTTGATATATAACCGCAAAGAGAAAATTGGGAGGTCAGACTGTATGTCCACATTTTGTACAAGGTTACTGTGTACTTCCCTCCCCACTGCGCTACCCCCTGACCTAAAAATGTTCAAAGAAACGTAAGGCGGAAAGGGAGTAATCACAAATTTTGCACAAACTGTGAGTTGTAAATGTTATGTGAAATAGTATTTGAGCAGATTTTATGGTTGTGGGAAAAAAAAGTAGAACCAGGTTGTTAAAAAACTCAAAATGTGCTTCATGCTTAGGCCTTAGTGGTGAAATAGGTAAGTGTCTACAGCAGTGTGGTTCATTTTGGATGCGTTAATTGATGTTCAGTCAGCAGGTGATGTTAGCCGTTTAACTGGTAAAAGCCCTGATCAGGGCAGATGGTCAGTCTGACTCTGGGAAGTGAGCTGCATTATGGATCAATACATCAATGAATGGTTTTTGGAAGTCGTGTTTGCACTTAAGTGTTTTACTTTCATCATGAGCTCAAAGGACTTCCTTCATGTGCCTGGATGTAGTGTGTTTATGTGTGTGTGTGTGTGTGTTTGTGTGTGCGACGGGGGGAGGGTTCGGGAAAGGGTGAGTGTGTAGTGTTATATAATTCAGTGTCATGTGCAGTGACACATCCTAAATACTGAACAGTGCATTAAACTCAGGATGGACTGAATTTAAAGCAACTACCAATTATTTCATTGTCGTTTAATCTGATGAAGATTTTCTTCATTATTCAATTAATTGTTTGAAAAAAAGGTGGGAAATGTCCGTCACAGCACACAGTCTAACACCCAAAGATATTCAGTTTACAGTGATATAAAACAGAGAAATGAAAACCAGAGATCGTTTTGCTTAAACAATAAATCAATTATCAAAATAGTTGCTAATTAATTATTAATTAATTGAATAATCATTGCTGTTCTAAAGGAAAGAAAATATACATTTTTTTACTTTACATAAACAAAAATCTACATTGGTCTCTTAAGTTGACAGATTTTATTTATGCCCTTTACATTTATCGCTCACACAAATGAAATTAAATTAAGTGAATGTTGAAAATGCAAGAATTACAGTGAAAATATTACAAAAAGTTGAAATGAACATTAGCTGTCAAATCTCATTTTAGTCCTTTTATCAAAACGACTAAAACCAAACATTAGTTTTAGTCACTGGTCATGACATGTCAGACTCTGGAGGCTCCATGTGGCTTGTTTCATTTAAAGTTTTGGCAACCAAAAGTTATTTTCCTATTTTAAAAACTCAGAGGAACATCAGGCATCTGCTGTGTGACGCCGTTCTGTTGCAAAACCTGTGGAGATGTTGTTTTGTATAGTTTCATCTTAAAAAAATATCCAGTTTCAGTAATGCTCACAATCCATCAAATGCTATGGGAGAAATATTGCAAAATGATATCTTTGTGAGGCACTTGTGCAGCATGGAGAGGGAGAGCTCACTGCAGGCTGCTCACTCAGTTAAGTGTCTCTCTTAACACCCAAGGACTATCGGGTGATTACTGTACTTCAAAACAAACGTCAATTCCCTGAATGACTAAATTAAGCTCAGGCTCTTTTTGTGATGCAGGCCAGATAATGAGGTTTGTGAGTGTAAAGTTTGGTTTGGGGAATGTTCTGGCTTTTTATTACTACGTGCAGCTTTGCTACACCAGGAACATTTTAATGAGTTTCAGCACATGTTTCTCTCAAGTGTGTGTTTAGTTGATCTCAGTGACGACTCCTGACCAGGAAGCTTGTTACCGCTGCCAGCTTCCGCACTTTATTACTATTAAATGTTAGTTAATCCCCACAAAGCAATGAAGACACAATTGAATTTAAGGTCTATCGTTTTATCGTTGCTTTTTATGATCAAAAGGTAAGCTAAAGGTTGGCTGGTAAATCTGTATTTATGTCTTTGTTTCTGCAGCTTGCCTGTTCAGGTACAATGCCCTGTCCTTTGTCTACCTCATCTATCTCCTCCTTATTCCACTCTTCGCAGAACCCACAAGCACAACAATGCAGGGTAAGTGTAACTCTCTTTGAAGCTTCACATGTTCGATGACTTTGGCTGTGTCTATCCCCTGGATGTTTCCCAAAAGCCTCCAGTTTGAACTGCAATACTGTTCTCTGTAATATAAACCAGCCCTTCTCCAGAGGACTTGAATTTCCTTGAGATGAGGATGGATTTGGCACATAGTCCAGTCCATGAAAAGTAATATTGGTTAGTGTGGGCATGAGTCCATCTATTATAATAAAAATGATCCATGGCTAGCCAGATCTGAGATAGAAAGACGTGCTCCATCAAGGCCAGATCTAATGTCAAACATTTTAGGCTTAGGTTTGGTATATTTGCACAGATAATTGCCATAAAAATGAAAAAAAAAAAACGGAACACACACGCTTTACAGTTGAAAAAAGAAACCTAAAAGAGCCTGTAAAATGTCTTTCAGAGAAAAAAAATAGAAACGTTTGGATGAGGGCGTTTTTTTATATTGGCTAACCACAGTTATCGAAAGGGGGACATGAAAGTTGCTCCACTGATTCTTTAGATGGGTTTCATGATCTGCATGTAATTGACAAGTGTTATTGCCACCCCAAAAGTTGGTGAAGTAGCTTACATATCACCCTTCGACAACTACTTAACCTCCAAAGAAATATAAATCACAGTTGACTTCTTGATGCTGAGGTTTATGAGAAGCGACTGAGGTGACTGTTCTCCTGACGGATGATGAATGTGGGATTGCGGTCGGCAACTTCAGCCGCGCCTTTTAAGCATTCACCCTCACCGCAAAGATACTAAACATAATATGGGCTTCTGTAGAGAAGACCACATGCAGTGTTTAATAATACATAAACCTGTGTTGTTGGAGGGAACAACATCCAGTCCTAAGCTGTCTCTGCTCGTATGCAGCAGAAATAACAATCAGGAAGTAAAGAAGGAAGAGAGTTACAGGAGGGAGCAGAGGTAGTGCACCACTTACTCTCTCATCAATAGTTAAAGAGACGTCTTCTAGTAAAGCTCCATTGTGGTGGCTGTTGACTTCTAACGTGGTTCACCACATGGCAGTTAAGTTCAAATTTACATGTTTTTTTTATAAATATATTTTTTATTAGTATAAAACATGAGCTGAGCCTGTAGGCAGAAAGTCCTTTCCCCCTATTTGAGATTATGTAATGTTGCCCAAATATATGATACACACTTCAACACCGACAAGAAATGACAAATCAAACTTCAAGAGAAATTAAGGCTGCTTAAATGTTTTATTTCTTAAAGATGTTTTAGCATAAGAAATAAAGTTTTTTTTTTCCTGGGTTATAAGGCTTATAAAGGTTAATTCAGTGTGTGCATTTATTGCAAAATAATTTTATTACAGTGACAATATTTACCTAATTTATTCTCCCATTGGAAGGCAATTTCAGTTGCAATTTTGAGGTTTTACTGCGTGGGTAGTTATGTGGTTTCTATTATCTCTCAGAATCAGATTTTATGACAATGTTAATATGGTATGAAGTACAAACGACATATGATACAACACAAACAATGGCCCCCGACAGGAATGATGTGGAAAAAATTAAGAAATTACTTGAACAAAGGTAAAGAAAAATCTTCAAGAAGGCACCTGCTTTACATAACTTGCATTCTGACATTTGGACATTTTTTCACATTGTTATACTCACCTCACAGACAGTTCTGTTTTTGTAACAGTAGTTACAGACCCTCTGATTCGTATCCAGACCTTTATATCTCCCAGTATCTTTAGGGATTCTGCTGTAGCAAACAATAAAGTTACAAAAATGTTTTAGCACTCTTTAGAACAGCTACTGGTGATGTTATGTACATATCTGCTCCCAGTTTGTCATTTTTGTTTAGTAGTTTATTTCTCTTATTTCCACATAACCAGTTTGATATAGGCAGTATAATGTAAGATAATTTTGAATAAGGGACATAAGTCTTTGTCTCTCAAGTTAGCAGCTTAAACGAGCCTGTTCACAGCCGGGGTTGTCGTAATTGCTTTTGGTACATAGTAATTCACTAAAGTTTGCATTTAGGGTTAAGATTGCATAAATGACTGCATTTATCATCACACTCCTGCCGATCATCATTCAGATGCAAGCATTATTTAAGGAGCTGCAGCACCCAGCAGGTGCCTCCAGATCAGCAAGTTGGGGTTTCCTCAAAGACGTGTTTCCTGGCTCAAAAGGTGGTACAGGTTGCAGAAATAAAAGCAACTGCCGTATGCTAATTATTAAAAGGCTGTCGGATAATTAAGAACAATTCCCAGCTTTTAGACATATTTGAACTAGGCCTTGTTTCCATTTTGCCAGTATAACTTTTTCCCCTGACATATAAAAACATTTAAATGTCAGAGTGTTTGAGAGGGCAAATCTAAAGGTAATCAAAATAGAAGAACAATATCCCAACTCACAGCCTCTTAAATGCTCTAAGTCTTAAGGTCATCCATTAATTTTTATTAAAAATAAGAAAACAAAAAAATTCCAGTGAAGCAATGAAGATCTTTTTGTTAGGTTTTAGTTTAAACAATTCAAAGAGCGGACCAGCAAGAAGATGAACAGTAATTCACTTTTATTCAGAACACAGGTAACTGGACTTGAGGGGAAGCGAGCGCGCGGGACGGAGCAGGGTTCTCTGGCTAACTTGGGAATGTTGCAGCGATGGCAGGCAATGTCTCCAAATTCGGCTGAGGTCTCTCACTGCAAACAGGCAAAGGGAAACGGGCGTTAGCAAAAAAGGGCAACAAGAATCACTTCTGCGGTAGACAAAACTTAGAGGATTGAAACGCATGTTATCACAGTAGGTAAACTGACGAACTGGCAGGGAGTGTCTGAAGATTTTAACAGAGTGGGTTGATTCTTGATTTGATGAACCTCAGGTGAGTGGAGCTGCAGGTGGAGAGCCAGAGAGAGGGAGCCAGGATGACATGCCCACAACACACACAGACAGACAGACAGAGACAGACAAAGACGGGAAGGGGAAACCACAAGAAACAAGAGGATGGGGGAGAAGGCAGAGCCAGTTTTTTTCCAGGAAGCCCTGTTTGTGAACAGGAGTTTATGGGAAACATTTTTACCAGCTTACGTTTATGTAACCTTTAGCCAGACACTGTTGTGTTTATTGTAGAGGGGTCATGTACAGAAGCATAAAAACAAAATAAGTGAACATTACACATGTAAATTGCCACAGGCTCTTCTAGGTGTAACACCTGCCAGAACATATCCCATCTGTCTGCCTCAACTGTCGGTCATTGGGAAACTGCAGGCTGAAGAGCTGCAGCATGGGGAAGTTTCAATGAGCAGGTTTAATACCAGGATTATTTTGGACTGATTGGAAACTATAATCATTGCAGGTTATTTAAGGTATATATTTGCCAGATTATTGAGGATTGAGGATTATTGTGAATAGCAGCTGGATGTTGTTGAGGATGGTTGTGATAGTATTTCCAAAATTAATTTGTTCTGTACATTTAACTTCAGATTGTTTTAAAGTAATACACAGCTATGCTGTTGTAATAATTAATTATTTTGTGATTATAATCATAATCTGTAGAGTTACAATTTGACATTTATCTCCTCCCTACTGGTCGTGGTATTTGGCATTTAAATTGGTCCACGTAATTAATGTATGAAAACAATCCAGAAAACACATTGACAAATGTCACAAATGTACAAATACCCATTGTGAAGAAAAGAGACACACGCTATATTTTTGAATTGTTTTAGAGGGAATAAGTGGAGGGATTGAGCTAAATTCAGTGCTTTGTTTTGATGGTCTGTTTCATTTTGTCTGTTGAATCTTAAAAGACATGCAGCAGTTAATTTGGTAAAGATAATTTAAACCAAATGTTATACATGAATAATTCATTAGTTGTAATTTGCTTTAAAAAGCCACAGCAGTGTGGTGTGCCCAAGGATAAGTCAGTACACAAGACTCTAATACAAAATGGAGACTAACAATATCTTATGCAACTTGTTGTTGTTTGTGAATTACTCTCTAATCTCGTAATTGCAGTATTTGGCTGCACATCCCCTTGAATGCATTCAATTCTCAGTGGAGGTGAACAAAATCTAAACTGTTGCACTCGCATTTTAAGAGCCTTTACAGCGGATACTATATGCCTTGTTGAATGGGCACCGACATGACAATTTCCCTTTGGGGAGTCTTTAAGTACTGTTGCATGAATTTGTATAAATATTTGATGTTATGGATTATTTACCAGGTTTATGTTTTAGCTAGTAGACTTCTAACAGAGAGTGTCTGGCTTTAACGCATCCCCTACTTTAGCTTTTTTTTATCCATATTTATCATACATTTTCAGGACCTGAGAGAAATTTGTCCTTTGTATTGTCTTGCCGGGACTTCTCCAAAAGACCAAATGATTGCATTTAATTGGCCCTCTCTGACACTATGATTTGGCAAAACCATCTTGTTAAATCAGGTATTATTGTTGTCAAATGGATACTATTCTCTGATTGATTAGGGGGAAAAAGCAGCAACTGTTAAAACTGAACAATGCCTTCTGTTTAAAAAGTACTCTGGGGACGGCGCTTTGAGACTGAATAATGAAGCAAAGCAAAATACTAATTCAAGATGAGCGTCAGGCAACCAAGACAGATGGCCGTCACACAACAAAAATGCTCTATTACAAATAGGAAAAAGGCGGGCAGAGCCAAAGCAGTTATGTTGTCCAGAGCCTTAGGACCAGTTGGGACGCAGAAGCTCGCTAACAGTCCTCATACCTCATATTTACAAGCATTCTTTTCCCTCTTTGTGAAAGCCCAGGGAATTGCAATGGGAAATTAGCACAAATTGTTTTCACTTTAACATTTAATTTGCCTGCCGTGGTCTGTTGTTGCACACATTTGATAACGTTAGCCCTCAACGGCCTGAGGCTCAGCAGTAGGGTTTCACCTTAGCCAGCATATTGTGCCATACGCTATAATAAAACTGTTGTGTGTTCCCCGCAAGGATGCAGTAAATTTAATGAGATGGAGCTGTTGCCCTGTGAAGAACCAGTGGTCCAAACACTATGTGAGACAACTTCATCTTTCAGGGCATAGCTGTTATTTCTTCTTAATTTTTCGCAATAAGAGGGGGTCCGAAGAATCCTACAGTAGAGCATTATCACCATAACAACTCCTGAAATTACCCCAAATACCTGTAGGTGCACTATAAAATAGCCATGTGTGGAACAGCTGTGGCAGCTCCTCAGACTGCTCTCATCCTTCCCTCCCAGGATCAGTACTGCCCACTGACAGCTGTATTCCTTACCTACACTGAAGAACATTTACAGTATAAGATGCTGGCTGTAATTGTCTTGTACAAGCAATTTTATGAATCGCCACTAAAGCCGGAAATCAAAAAATCTAATCGGTTATAAAGGCTGGTTTTTGCTATTTCTATGACGAATTAGAGGTCTTATAATACACCACAGTGTTTATTTGACTTTTCAACAGAAATAAGGGTTGCTTTATGGTATTTGTTGCCAGGTCTTAACCAGGTAATGCATGGTGATCCACAGAAAATCTCCCTTGGTTGCTGTCCCAGTCACCTAACTCATCCAAACATCTCCAGACTTCACAGCTGATCACATGAATATTTATTTTTGTTCTCCTTGCCTTAAGAGTATACTGTAAGGATTCAGTCACTTTTTAATGTTGTACAACTCAAAAATGATTTCATCTCATGTGTTGGACAAAGTTCTCACCGTAACCAGCAGAGAGAGACGTTTTCTGGGTTTCAGTGCTTGAACGGTTGAAATAAAGGTGAAATTCTTGAACTGAATGGTGGTGGTGGTGAGCTTATTGTACCTGTTCTCTTCCTCCAGGCCACACAGGGCATCTGCTGCAGTCCCTCTGCTTCACCAGTATGTCCTTCCTGCTGCTCCACATCATCTATCAGATTACCGTCAACAGCCTCCTGGCAGGAAACACCATCTCCTCTGACTTCAACTGTGAGTACACTGCAGCCTTTATGGTCAAGGCTGTAAAGGTAGTGAGGTTTGTTGGGTGCCATATAAATCAGAGCGACTCACAGGTCAAGAATCCGTGAAAATGGTGCAAATTGGGCTTGACTGATGACGTCTCTTTCAGTATTTGCTGTCTGCGAACCTTTTGAAAGACATATATGAAAAGTAAACAGACTAATAATGCTACAATCAACCTTTTTAAATTAACATTTTTAACATTGGTTCAATTGTGACAGTTGCAGCCTTAAAAGTCCTTAAAAGTATTGTTTATATATACAGTTTTGCCATATACTTCACTAATCATTATCACTTTGGTTGAGCTTAGGGAGAGATTGTAGTTATTTTGTGTAAAAGTATGTTATATACTATTTAAACAAGACCACCCTCTTTCCCCAACCTTAACCAAGTGCTATAGGCATACTAAAGCTGGATTTAAACTTAATGCAAAGATGAAGAAAGTCCTAGGGCATAGGTTTTTATTTGTGGTTCAAAATCCGATTTCTCACGTTTATAGCACTCCAGCAACACTAGATGGATGCGTTGTACGGTAATTGGACTGTATCAATTTTTAATTATATTCCCCATAGTAACTGTACCTTTCTTCTTCTACCTTCTTTCATTTATTTTCTGATTACTGCATTCTGAAAACATTCACTCTGAGCACACATGTAAAGCCAGAACGGTGAGATCTCTACTTGTTGGGCCACATGTTCATGACAGATTGTGTGCACACGTGTGTCCCATCCATCACACAGGCCATTTTGTGTTTAAACTCTGACCTGAGCGATTGATGCAGTGTCCCAGAGTTGTATATCAACAGAGAGGTGTCGTTCCTTTTGTCGTTTTTTTTTTACAGCCTGAAAGTTTCCCTCCAGAAAAACTAAGCGAAGACATGCTCCACTTGTAGGAGTAGGTCAAATATGCTCACTAGTAATGATTCACAATATCCTCACTCTTACTGCATTTTGTCACATGATGAAGATTTATGAATCTAACACATTCCTCAATGTAATTATTGTTTTTGTGCCATATGGAGATGTAGAAAAAGGGAAATTCTTGCTGCAGGTAAAGCAAACACTAAGCTACTGACTGAGTGTTGGGAAGGTGTTAATAGTTGGCCTTGGGCTTCTCATGAAACTCTGTATCAAACTGTAAAATTTGAATGTGTCTAGACGGGACAGACTCTGACTTTGTGTTCTGATGGCTTGTTCTTTCTAATGGAAGTAACTTCGCTTTCCAGTGTGGAAGTACAGCCAACTTTGCTCAGAAGTCTGAACAGACCTTATCGCCTCAGGCAGTAACACACTGAGCTGTTCAGAGAGGGCAGACTAAATATTCACTCAAGGAAATCTTTATTACTGAGGTCTTAAGGGCTGCAGTTTTTGGCAGACCATAAATTCTATCCATCTACTGGTTCCATCTATCTATCTATCTATTTATCTATCTATCTGTCTGTAGGATTGTAAGACATTTATTACCAAAATGGTTCAAAGATATAAAAAATCCTGACAACTTCAAAAGTTAAGTTTGGTGATATAAATGCTCCCACTAACAAGTATTCTTGTTAGCCAAACCCTATAAATACCTTCTTCATCTGTGCCATAGAGCTTTATTGATGTCCAAATACTAATAAAACGCATCAATGAGCCGCACTGTTGCACTGGGTGACATCTTCCTTCATTACCATGAACACACACACTGTTGTTTGGTTTGAGTCAATCCCACATACACCATCCGGGCTGTTGTAAATACTCCGTATTAATTCATAGCTGAAAATAGTCCTGTAAAACACACTACTCCTGTTTTTTTGACATTCGCTAAAAACGTCAGTGCCAACATGATGAAGATGAAGTATATTGTATATTATGAGTATTTTTTAGCCATACTAGCAGCATTGCTCTAGGGATAGTTGTGTTGGTCTATCAGTCAGATCACCACTTTGTTCCAAATTGTTGGATGGATTGCCATGAAATTTTGTACATTCATCAGAGGAATCATGCTGACTTTAGTAATCCTCTGACCTTCCCTCAAGTGCCACCATGTTGATGATATTTGTGGTTTTGTGTGAAATTTCTCAACTACTACTTGGATGGATTGCCATGAAAAATTCTACACACATTCGTGCACCCCTCAGGATAAACTGTAATAATTCTGGTGATCCTCAGAACAAAATTTCCATTTAGGGTTAGCTGTACTTTGTATTTTGTCAACAACAGCATGTTAGCATATAGTCAGTGTGAGCTCTGAGCACCAAGTGCAGTCTCGCAGAGTATTCACAAGTAGTCTGGGACCCCAAACACATTGGTTTTGGTATTTTCAAGGGATTTTAAATATCATAGACTTAATAAATGAGAGCATCCAGGAGTTTGTTTCAGACTTAATATCATAAATATCCATTGACACTTAAGTGAATAACATCTTGAGTCATTATCTGCAACATTTAGCAGCAAAGTGCCTGTGGACTGTATGAGCACTGGGCTGCTCAGGAATTGCTTTATAGTGAACAGCTGGTGGATCCTGGCTGTCATTTGAAAATTAATGAGGCACAGGGTGGAGAAATGTAACATCACACACACAATGAAAAACATCATATGGAGCTAAAGAGATACTAAAGAATGACTTTAAAAAATGGCAGTATTGTGTTGTAAACTAATTTGTCAGCACATGGCTGATTATTAAGACACACAATATTTTATATACATATATATTTGAAATGTATGTTGCCCCACTGTGATGATTTGTATACATATTCTTGGGAGTTCTACTTCCTGAAGTTAAAGCCATCCTATTTTTATTTTTGGGCTACATATGCAACAGGAAGTTAAACATTACTCTTTGTCCCCTTTATTGTCCGCCTACATTCTGAGTAAATGCCTTATCTCTGGTTTCTATATCTGGCATTTAACACCCTTTTCCTTTTGGCAGCCAAGGATAAACAAAGAGTCCTCCTTTGCGGTGAGGCGGTTATCCTCCCTCCAGATAACTTAATATAATTTCCTTTATTCGTCGAAGCCAAATACACCATTAGAGCAGTAAACTGAGTTGAGTATGAATGAGAAAACCTTTCCAAAAAAGCTACCACCTCCAGCTGTTAGAGCAGGTCAGTTACTGGTCACCAGATGAGCTGGGGCCGGCTTCCTTTTGAGTCATCTGTCATTCCTCTGTGTGGACTTGACACTGTGGGAACTGCATTTACAAACATTCACAAACGTTTGTATTAACTCTCAAAGAGCACCAAATGTGGAGCTCACTACACTACAGATAATGTCAAATAAATTGTCAGATAGTGACAACTTTTTGGCAGTCATTGTCCTAAGTGGCAGCCACCACCTATCTGGTACGTTAACACAAACCATAAAAAAAAGAATTTGCAAGTTTGATTCGGTCCATGTCTGATGCTAATGGATTTTTCACCAGCTCATAAGGAGTAAACGGTCTATTTAATTATTCATGGATAGTCTTCATAAAGTCCCAAAAACAGAATTATTGACCTTTAGTGTCCTCCGTATTCACACATATCCTGTCCACCATTCCCAAAATGTGAGACATTCACTGAATTCCTCCTCTGCTTGCAGATTGTCCGATTATAGTTGTGATGTGCTGAAATGTTGACGTTGCATATCACCAGTCTCTGCAGAAAAGGGCAACTGCCATTAGGCCCCAGAGATAGAAGAGAGAGTGCAAAGAAATGCTGTGCTGGGAGGTTAACGGCCCAGCAAGAACAAAGGGTGTTTTATGATGTTCACATAAAGTCTGAGGACAGGTATTTTTGGTTCTCAGCTGGGGTGGAAATGTGCCTCGCCTCAACGGGCAGAAACTCTCACACTCTTTTCCAGAAGTCTCCCTGCTGAGTTCAGACTGTATTACACAATATCCCCCTCCTCATCCTATGTATCTGCCTGGCTTGACTTCACCTCTGGCATTTCTTGTGTTTGATGTAACACACAGGATGGGTTTCCTCTGACACCTCTAGGTTCAGTTTGGGCTGGGTGAAGTTAGGTGTTGCAGATGTTTGGACTTGCGAATTACTGAAACAGACTGTGTTTTGCCTGTGGTCACCGGCCTGACATTTAAAGATTTATATTTGAACATTGAAATGGGGCATTAAATAATCTATGACCTTTATCAACCTCTGTGGGTGATTATTAGGGATTGCAACCTAAGTTGACCTTATCTCCTCTGCAAGTTTCTGGCATGCCCCTCATGATGTTCACTTATTCATGTTATTTGTCTTAAATGACACAAACTGTAGCTAAGTAGACCAGGTGCCCAAAAACTGTATAGTGAAATTTATATACCACTGGCTGGTTGGGATTACAGTTACTGACAGTGGTGGTTTTCTGTTTCTGTTGGTTTTGCTTGTGAGAAGCCCCCTAAATTAACCACTTAAGGACAGAATGATTCTAAAACAAACTCTCAGAAACAGAGCTAATATACCATTGGATTATCAAGTCATATGGCTAACATGTTAGCAAACTCACTCGACTACTTGGAGTACAATTTCTGGTGTCTTGTTTAGCTCCCACCAACTCCTGTCTTTAGCTTGCTAGCTAAATAATCAGCTTTCCTCACCAGCCGCCACCAGGTAGTATTTATTTGCCTTATCTGATATTAGCCACCTATGGTTAATTTGGGGTTGAAGATTAGTGAGACCCTGCAGTGTATGTGTAAGCCATAAAACCAAAACAATCAGCCTAATAGTAGCCAAATGGTGTTTATAGATGCAGAGTTAGATGTTGATTCTCAGTGGATTCGGGACTACTAACAACCCTATTATATTACACAGAGTAATTTAAGTGGAGTATAACTTTTTTTTTCCTGTCCTTAAGTGGTGCTATGAATTAAGTGAAACAGAGGAGGCCAAAGTAGAGAGAAATATTGTTTATTTTCATGATTCATCATTAAGTGAAAATGTATAATTGTGACAATACTTTTCTGAAAATAATTCAAATTTATATGCAGTAAGGATCTGTGATGACCAAGTGGTACCACTGCTTAAAGACATTGTCATTTGTCACCCAGCTCTAGATGATATATCACAATGCATTGCTGTATAGAATTATAACTGAGTTGTATTGGTTGTTTTGTCTTTTTAGGTGTTTATTTGTTGCAACACATTTTGGTCAGTCTGAGCAGTATCTGTCCTCTATCACTGAGCAGTTGAAAATGGGAGTTGATGTGTGGAGGCAGATGGATTCTTCTAGTGTCTCATAGTAACAGCTCAGTTGGAAGAGGATTTTGGGGGAAGTTTTGATGTCTGAGATTATTTCAGGTATTAGTCATGTGGGTTTGTACTGATAGACTGTTTTATGCACCTTAAATGGAATTCAGAGTCTGTTTCCTGTTTCTAAGTTCCTAATGGTGTTGCAAAACCAACCGGATATGTTGAGTCGAGATTCTCAAGTCACAAGCTGATGTTGTGTTTTCTCTGGCTGTAGAACAAAGGCCAGTCAAACTTCGGCACTTCTTCTCAGTGTACCAGTTGAATACCTGGAAATCTCTCTCTGAGCGCTGGAGTGACATTCAGGAACACTTAAACCTGTCCAAGCTGGGGAAACAAAGCTCACATTAAATGTTTTTTATGTTTTTTTAAGGGTTTATTAATGGTTTTGTCAAAGGCAGAAAAAGATCAGCAGCTCGTTTACACACTAGATCTTAATTCTTTATATCATAGATATAGTGAATAATAAACTGCATTTATTGGTTGTATATATTCTCAATACCGTAATGGAAATCATCCCTTCATACTTGGATGAAACCGCTGCTTGACGGTCTGTAACACCACCATTTGTTTTTAATAACTATGATATAAAAGTTTTATTAAAGGTGTTGATGTGTATTTTTTTGCAAAACTACATCAGTATGCACTTACTGACTTAATGTTTCTGTCCAGGTTCCACGTGGGAGAAAACCATAAGACAAATTGGCTTTGAGAGGTAAGATAATATCATCAGAATGATAAAATATGCCGTTCTATTTAACCTGTGGGTTAATCTTCTGTTGACTATCTATACATAGTTTATAAAACCCTTGTTGAATTTCTTTCAATTGCCGATTAACCGCTGACAGTCAGCTAGCAGACTCCAACGGACAGACAGACAGCTCTGGTGTCGATTCAATGATAATTTGTTTATCGCTTATAATCACTTTGGGACCTGGTCTCAATAAACTTTTCAGTATAAAAGAAATTCATAATCAAAGGAAACTTAAAATACTATACTATGTAATACTACAAATACAAAACCTACTACTACATAAGGGCCAGAACTGCCATGTTTCTAAAAAATGCTTCTTCCCAATAGGCATCATACTCCTCAGTTTCCAGTGTGCTCTTGTTCTGTGTATAGTCTTAATGACAATAAAGTTATCTTGAATCTTGAATCAAAATAACCATTAACTGAAAAGTTATATGGCCAACAGTCTAACCTTGACCAGGATCAGAGACTTCTATTACAATTACATAAAACACTACTGATAAAGATCAGTACACATAGATCATTACTCTGGATGTCAACATAGTTACTGTCTCTATCAGATAAGCTATACATTTATATTTACAGGTTTTCAATTAACAGTAATTCACTCACTTTCCCCAGGTGATCAATACTGTGTAGCCTAGTATTAAATATAAAATATAAAATAACAGCATAACAATTTAAAAATAACACAAACTTGCACACCTTTCAACTATATGAATAAATGTATAATTACTGAAAAAATAAAACTCTATATTACAAGATTTAGACATAGTAAACATTTAAAGCTCAAAATATGCTTTTAATGTAACACGCAAGAGACATATGTTACACCTGTCTAATATCAGACATGTGGTTCTCTACCACTGTATTTACAAGTAGCAGGTTGCATTGTCTGTGCAAAGTGTCCTAAATATAGCAGCCCCACAATAAAATTAAACACCAGTTTTTGCATTTAGCCACACTGGCTCATCATCTGACACTGTTTATAAAGGCTCCTAACCTGTCCCTATGTGGATTCTTGATGAATGCTAAACCCAGTTACTTTTGACAATCAGTTGACAGGCTTACTTTTCAAAGCTATTGCTGCTGTGTCTGTCTCCTCACACCCCCATGACCGTGTTAGATGTGGTTTTCTAAGTACGGGAATGTCCAAACTCAGCCACATCCTTTTTCCAGTACTCAACAGCCCTCGGTGGATAGTGTACTGTAAGTGGCGGAAGCAGAGCCATAAACATTTTATCCCGCCTGCATTTACCTGTTTGTGTTGAGGATCATGTACAATATATACAATATTTATGGCTGTATGTTGTGTGTCTTTTCACCCATACCGATCCTTCAGTTTCCAGAAGGCTGACCTTTTCAAATCCATTATAAATACCAAATATTTATATGGTTTGGAACATATTTTGCAGGCTCCCTTATTTGTAGTTCTTCACTGATGCCTCATCCCTGCGGCCTGAGGCAGAAAGGACAGGTCTTAGCACTGCTCATATAATTCTCCCACATGATAAGCAGGGGAAAGTAGGAGTCATTAAAGTTGCTGGCTTAACCTTGTCTGGCTCTGACAGTTTCCATCTCTTTCATCCATGTGAGGGTGCACGGAGCTTCACAACAGTAAAGCACATGGAAACAGACGTCGATGATTAGATTAAACTCGCCAACAGCAGCCAAAGGCCCAACTATTTATCTGAGTGTGCGTTTTCCATCGTGTTGATTAGCACTCTGTTTTCAACTTGTTAAATCTAATAAGCATTATATCCATTCAAGGCCAGAATGACATTGATTTCTGTTTGAAGTGACCAGTTGCTTTATTACTCGATCAAAACATTTGGTCAGCTTTTTTCTGAAGCCTGCGCCACAGAAGCAACAGTACAGTTTAATTACACTTGGAGCCCAGCAAGAAATATAAGGAAAACACTTGATGGCCCAACACAGGATGCTGTGTGATTGTTGTAAAACTGAAATAGAAATTGGTTTGGACGATAAAAGTGAGTTTTAAAGGTTTTGAAACCTGTTAGCCATTTCAAGGACAATTTTTATTTGCTTTAATTGTACATGCAATCATGACACCTCATAAAACTTGTCCTCAGGCAACATAGATACATCCCACTGGATCATTTGAAGCCTGACGTTACTGTAGCTGTCATGGCAACACTCGGCTGCCACTGGTTAGCATCCTGTTTGAACAACCCCATTTGGTATTTAGTTAGAGGTGAGCCGACTAATCAAATAACAAATGTTACAAACGCTTTGTTTGCTTACGGCGATGTAACCACCAGACAAATCAAACAAGTCATATTTTCATCAATGGATGAAAAACACACACTGCGCAGACCAGAAAGGGGATGAATGTTATCTGTTTATTTAAATTATTATAATCTGCACACAAGAGAATTCACAGGTAACACATTAAATCAGAGAAAATCTGTAGTTTCTTTTCACTTTAGTTTATGCAGTTTAATGAGGAAAAAGAGGGCTTATTGTTCACACTACATTATCATGCACAAAGCAATTTTCAAGGGAGTAAACATGTTTTTCACACTTCAGCCTTTTTGTTTGAATGGAATTTTACTCACTTCATTACATTTAAAACCGGCAAGCCTGATTTCATTAAAGAGGGTGGTACTCCATATAAAAGCTGAAGTATTCAACACAACACATATTAAAAGAACAGCTGAGTCATGGAAAAATCCAGATTCCCATGTATTCATGTGAACAGGTAGTGTTTTCTGAAAGATATAATTGCTGTAATAATATCCAACTCCAGTCTCCATGAACGCAGGTTGTAGGGAAATGATGCGTATTGAAATATAGTTTGCTTTTTTAAATGGTCAGAGAGACATGAAAGATTGGGAGAGACAGAGGACATGACATGTGACAAATATCCCAGGTTCAAACACATGACAGCACAGTTATGTGTGGGCCTTATCCAAGTGAAATAAACGAGCAACCACAAGTCCCTGGATTTCTGTTTCAGATTAGAAATGATCTTCCATGGACAGTTAAGTTTATTGTACTCTGTCCCATTTTCCATCATTTGGTTCTGATCCCAGCCTGCAAGATTGCTCCAAATCACAATTTTCGGAGATATTGGGATTCATCCTTACTTACAGGAAACATGCGTCTGCCTTTTGTCAATGTGTATCCTCAGTTTTCTGTTTGTCCTTAGTGTTATTGGTGCAGATGCAGGGAACGGCATTCGAGTGTTCATCCCCGACATCGGCATGTTCGTAGCCGGCCTGGCCATCTGGCTGCTGTGTCGCAGTCTGGTCCAGAAGAGGCCGCCTGAGGACATGGCCCAGTACAACGCCGACTTTGAAGCAGAGGAACAAGTGGGTTTCATTTGTGTCAACTTGCAGTGTCCTGAAAACAGTGTCTGACTTTTACTTTCATCCATCTATTATTTATCTTCTATCATCTATCCATCTATCCATTTATCATTCTCTCTGTCTATCTATGAATTGATTCATCTGTTGTATAATACATTAATCTGCATTTAATCTGCCCATTATTTTTTACAATTAATTAATGAAAAAAAGTTGTTTTGTCCAAGCAACATCCAAAACTCAACGATTTTTAATTCATAATGACATAAATCAGAGAAAAGCTGCAAATCTTCACAATTTAAGTAGCAGGAAAATGCAAACGTGAAGTATTTCTTCTTGATAAATTAACAATCTCTTAACAATTAACAACATGTTTGACGCTTTGAGCCTTTGAAAGCATGCTTTAAGGATTGGCCAAGATGTACATTGTCAATAACATTTCACAAAAACTCTTGTTAAGTATTAATTTATGCTTAAACTAAAGTGAAGAAGTAAAACATGTCTTGATCAGAATGTTCTCATAGATATAAAGAGGAAAAGTCTCCACTTGGTTGGAGTAACTTTCTCCAAACATCTCAGATGCCCACAAATCCCAATGTAAACATCTTTACACAAACTGAGTTCAGATTTCTGGACGAGGAAAGGGACAACTTATTTTTCAGTCTATGAGCTTGTCAAAATTTCCAGACTGTAGTTCAGGTCTCTTGACAGTTCATATTGGTAATGGATGATATATCTGTGTGTTCACTGACATTTAATGCATACAAACAAAATGTACCACTTTTGGGAGTCATAATTGCTCAGATTTAATATATAGCTGGCTGAAGTGGCCAGCAGAGTGGACAGTCTTTTCTACTTTGCTCTGTAATATCCACATTGAGCTTCATAAACCACAAGAAGCAGAGCAGGAGTTTGTATTGAGAGTTCCCTGTGAGTGCTGATGACTTGGAATACAGCCCCCATCCCCTGGCAAGTCCTCCCTTCTCTTTATGACTCAGTGCTAATTAAATCCACATTCACTTTCACTTCGACTGTGCTACTCACGCTGGCGCAGATGGCATCGCTCCCCATTACAGAGAAACACCAGGAATTCATCTGTTGAGCCTGCGTTGTGTTCAGGCTTTTATTTCCTTCAGTGAGCCATCAGAGCTGAAATTGTTGTTTGATTCAAAACAGGGTTTGTACCACCTGCTACTTTCTTTGTCCTGTGCCTTATGTGTTATATATATAAATCACAGTGAATGGCTCACTTGTTTTTAATGTCTCTATTTTATTGAGCCTGTAGGAAAAGAGGGACATATAGTTGGTTATCCAAGGAAGGGTTAGTGACTGGATGTGATCTCAAGCCAACATGTGCATCCAGAGAAAAACATCTGCCAAGGGTCACTAATAATGTCTCAAGCTGACCACACAGACCACATATGTGTTTAAATATGCCGTGCTGCATGCTAAAACACACTCCCAGAAAGCAAGCGCTACCTGTAGGAAGCAGTTTTCAGCACCATGGAGAGCTCGCACCTCCAAACTGCACCATTCATCATTCATAACTGAAATGTAACGTGTCACTGTAATCCAACCCCGAGGACGAAGAGGAGAAGCTGAGCCTGGATGACAACATCCTGCTAGAGGAGGATTTGGAAGCGGGTTACGAGGCAGAGGAGGACGAGGAGCTGGACGAGGAGGAAGAGGAGGAGGAGCTGGATGAGGAGGAAGAGGAGGCAAAGGAGAGCACTAAGATGAAAATCCTGCGGCACGTGGCGGAGGTTGCATCCAAAGTGAAGGAGATTATCGGGAACTTGATCACCACTGCAGGGAAGGTGGTGGTCACCATCTTGTTGGGCATGACAGGTGAGCAGCTTAATGTGCTGTACTGTGAATCCACATCTTCATCTTTTACCATTACCATCTGAAAATGTAGGTGATTTATTGATTGATTTTCTAACAACCAGACAGGTATAGGTTTCGGTTCACAAGTCTTTAAATGATCTACTTATTCACAAGCAGAAAAAGCAAACATTATAGTAATGTCTGAAAAACAAACACTTTGATTAGCGTATCTTGTTCATTCTCTCGTATCATGTTAAACTTCTTGTGGATTTATCTTGCCACCAGTTTTTGGGATGTCCAGAACCACTTCTTAAAATGGTGGTATTATGCTTTTTGGCTTTTTCCCTCTCCTTTATTGAGTTATATACCTTTTTTGTGCATGTAATAGGTTCTCAAAAATACCGGTGGAAAAACACTGAGCTGCAACAAACACCTCTCCTCTCCCTTCCAAACACTAGCTACCCTCCAGGCAGTCAATGGACATAAAGTTGTTACTGTGATGTAGAGACAGCACTCAGTTAAAACTTTATGGATGAAATATACATTTGTTACAGATTAATAACTCACCACTCTGAAACTCTTGCTACAGTCTATGTTGCTAAGCTGGTCGGCAACATGTAGCCTACAGCTGAATCAAAGCTGTTTACGGGCTTCTCACTGACCCGCCCTTCTCTGCTTCTGATTGGCTAGTAGTCCTTAACTAGGAACTGCGCATGTGCAACTCCCAAAGATCATTTAGAGACAAGATGTATCACTTCATAGCTAAAACGAAGTGTTCAACACAGGGTGAAAAGAGGAGCTGCAGCAATGTGCAGTGTGACAAAAAATATGGTGTTTTTTGAAAGTTAAACCATGTAAACCTGTTCTGGTACAACCCCTAAATAGGATTTTGAACCTGAAAATGAGCATAATACCACCTCTTTAAAGCTGTGGTTTAAAAAGAAATGTAAGGGTATGTAAGAGTGGACTATATTTTAAATTATAGTTAATGGGCTAAAATATGCAAAACTAGATGGATAACAAACAAATCTGAGTCAAACAACATTTGCAAATAATTCTTAGCCGTATATAGATATATATAAGACTTGTGAGGTTTGCCACGTTCATCACAACTGAGTGCCATTGGGTTTAGGCAATTACAGGAAAGTTAACATTTCTTAGATTTTAACAATTTACTTGACATCTATACATGTGTATCCTGCAAATATGCAGCTCTATTTGGGACAAAACAAAGTCTGATAACGATACAGTATATAATCCTGATCAGATAAGTAAACCACAGTCCTCTGACTTTATATCCACGGCCTTTTTGTTGCAGGCATCATGCTACCCTCGTTAACCTCGGCTGTCTACTTCTTCATCTTCCTGTTCCTGTGCACCTGGTGGTCCCTCTGCCGGACCTTCAACACACTCATCTTCAGCTGCATGTGTGTCCTGATGGCCATCTTTAATGCTGGACACATCATTGTCCTCTACCTCTACCAGTTCCAGTTCTTCCAGGAGGCTATCCCACCAGACGACAGCTACATCAGGTCAGACACATGTGGAGTTAATATCTAGAAAAACAAAAACAGAATCCAGTCACTGAAACTGTAAAATGTGCCATATATCTGCTGATTAAAATGCAATAGATTTGGATTATTTTCCCTATTAAAAGCTTGTTGTTAGGCCGTTTTGCCTACAGAACGACATGACTCAAACCTACAAACAGCAGTGAGCAATGGCTCAATCTACAGAAAGTTAAATGTACTGGCATTAGATTTTCCTGTCTGATAAATTGTTGTTCTCTAGTTAAACAGCACACACCCATAGTAATGCCTCTGGTTCCTTAATATTGTGAAAATACATGACGTGAACAGAGCTCGGCCGGCCAGAGCTCCTGTGATTCGATGATATTTATTGCGCCTAAGGCAAGTTTGTTTAAACCATTATAAATATTTACTATTGTTACAAACAAGAAGGCAAACGAAAAGGCAAATCCAGCTGGAGGGGAGATATATCAGACTCCTACTCACGACACATCAATATCAGGAGGAGAGCTTTTAGGCTCTCCACTACAACCAGTGTTGTTTTATTATGCATGAGAAAGGAGACAATCAGCTGTCTGTGGCTGCAGCGGTGAAACGTTGAGGTTGGAGTAAAGCCACATTGTTACACATCTTGCCAACATATGTTAGCCACAGTTGTAATGAATACAAATTCTATAGTGGAGACTACTTCAAGTCACTAAGCTCATTGTGTTTGACTGACAGCCTGAAATGCAAAGAATGTTGTTTATTTACTAATCACAGAAAATAGACATCAAGGCCACCACCCTAGATGTTTGACAAAAAAGGAACATTTAGCCATATGAGATGCACCATAATTATAAATATTTAGTGAATAACAATCCTTTAAATTGTATATTATTGTTGAGATATAACCTCTCCATTTGGGTCTGAATCTGCATCAGAATACACATATTGATAAATAATAATGGGATACATGTACATTTATTTATTGGCAGTTAACTGTCAAATAGGTAAAATCATAAAACAAACAGCAAATAGTGTGTACAATTCAGAAAACATATTCTGTTGTATCTGCATTTAGAGTAAAATCACAAATGTACGTTTACGTTAACTTGCTTAATACGACCAACGACCAAAGACATGTAAGCTGAAACACATGAATATTAAAATCACCATGCGTCCATTCAGTAGTTAACTTGTAGCACCTCATCTGAATGCTTTAATAATGATGTCTTTTAAACCTGACCAGTAGAACTGTAGCTGTTGTCTCAATGAGTGACTTTAGTGTTGCAGGGGTTTATTGATCTCACGGTTTCTCATTTGAAAGCTGTACTGCTGTGTGTCAGGGCCGATGCTATTTGCAGTTATGTATAGCTCCAACAAACCTTGTGTCCTCTGCATCCTTGTCTTGGTTCAAATGGTGTGATTACAGTGTTGCGCTGATGGGCTTCTCGTCAGAAAACAAACTCATTAGAATTAGAATAAATGGAGCCCTCTCACACCATCTGCACAGTCAATAAAAGTATATTTATACTGCATGCTGTAGTAACTATACAGTAGGAGTACTATCAAAGTGAGTGGTTTCCAGCAATGGGGGCAAGGCGCCCAAGGGTTATTTTTACTTCTGGTGACCAGGGGCGCCCCCAGAAAATTTTCCAAGGGGTGGCTAGATGGGGCCACTGAAAATCCTGGGGTGGCACACTAAACCAAAAGCCATAACTTAATTTCAGTAATTCTATTATGCAGTATAGACTAGTGGAATACTACATAAAAATATGAGTTAAGGAATTAAACAAAACAGACTGAATTACTTTGGTTTCTTATTTTACAGTTAAAATTGTCTAATGTCCATAGACTAAAACCAGTTCAGTTAACATTCCATAGAAATCTGTTATCCTGTGTTATCTGTATGTGTTCAGCAATTAATTGTTCTTTAAATAGGCAAGTTGACCTTTTCCTTGAAAAGACAAATACGTGCATTGATGGGGAGGAACAAAACATTTACTGGGAACAAGCCTAGTCAATATTACAGTTATCATGGAATATTTTTTTTTTAAATTCAAATTGAAATTTATGATATGTGTCTGTATGGAGTTGTGTAATTATTTGTTAACATACTAAGTTTGGTGTTATTCTTGTTACAAACAACTAAGGTAGTTATTCTTGAAATATCCCACTTTTTAACAACCGATTTGACCAGTGTCATATTTATATGTAAAAATAGTGGGGCACCAACCATTTCAAAACATAGATACCAGTAAAACTACAATACTCTCTATTGCTTCTGTGTTTTTTAACATGTCAACGAACAGCATGGCTCCATAAAACACTTAACATGAGAGAGCAAGAGAGCGACGGAGCGAATGAGAGAGCGAGCGAGAGAGAGAGAGAGGAGTGCATTGACACAAGTTAAAGTACCACTGTCACAAACCTAAAGAGCAGTGAGCTCAACACCACTGAAGTCAACAACCACGCACACAGACAAGGTTTTAGGGATCCAGAGATCCTGCGATCATAATGGAAAGAATGTCGGCCAACATATATCCCATTCCCAGCTCTGTACCTTTCATACAGCGCAGCGAGCCAGCAAACTGGCCTAATAATCCTGAATAATAAGGCAGTATAAAAGTGGCTATATGACAACAACATCATGACAACAACCGTAATCCGTAGCCTAGTCTCAACCGATCCAGCACAACAATTTGCCCATGCAGGGACCAGCAGCAGAATCAGGATGATAAAAGAAGCTTTCACTCACCAGAGCTAAGGCCTCACGCGAGGAGAAAGGCGGCATGGCAGTTTTGCCTCTGGGCAAACTTCTAGGTGAAGTTTTTCAGACAGTCCGCCGACTCGTCGTGGCCCCGCAGTGTTTGTTGTGCTGCTTAATGGAGCGCCTGTTGGGTGCAGCCCAGTTTCACAGCATAGTCCAGGTGACTCCCGCTGTTCTCACGTTTTGCAATCCTAACATAAATATAAAGATGAAAACAGGCACAGGTGTAGCATAACGTTAACAGCTGGTCACACACTGCGCTGTCAGGAGCTCCAGTGTAGCGATGGTGCTAACCTGTTGCTATCTGCGGACTAATAACTCTCACACACAGTACAATACACAAAACTGACTGTGTAGCAGTGTGACAAACTTATTATAAACTAGCCAGGCTACTAACTGTCTCTGTACATTAATTAAATTAGACTTTTCTTTCTTCTGCAGCTCGGTGTCCTCCGAAAAAAAAATGTGACAGGACAGGACGAATCGGAGGCCACTCCTAAAATAAAAATCATAGTCTGTCACACCTCAGGGTCAGAGGTTACCCTCTTAACGTGACAGAGCCTAATATGAGAACACTTGTATGCTGCTATTCTCCTTGCCTGGCGGTGCCATTACTGTCGGCACTTAAAATACTGGATATTTTCACTTCTTATGGCTTCTAAAGATCTTTAAACTTTTGAATAAACTGCATACTTCTTTGGGCCTCTAAAATATTGACACACATAACCTGGGAAAGGGGGTCACAAGTTGATATTTTTTTCATTTTAAAGGGTCATAAGGCAAAAAGGTTGGGACCCTTGAGCAATGTAAATTTTACCAAAAAGAAAATCACCAATGACTCTGTAAGTTCAACACTAACTTTTAAATTTGCTTCATTTAGTTTCGAGCAGTAAATATGTCAAAGTGGGCGTCATTTTTTAAACAGTGGACTTGACTCATTTTGGAAAGAAGCTCTTCATTTGTGTCCAAAAGTCCAAAATTTGGAAAGTTTACCACAGCTCTGATTCTTGCTTGATAGCTCTTTACATGAACAGGCCAACTATTTCATCATCTGCCTTCATCTGTCTCCTTGTGCGTCCATGTTGACTTTCCCTAGCGCTGAGGTATTTCTGTCCCCGCTGTGTTAAAACTGAGGCCCAACGTAATATGTTCTCCTCTGATCCAGCCTGTTTCCTTTCTGCACACCCTCGAGCGGTCAGGGGGAAACTCTTACAGATGTAAATAGGTGCAACCCCCATTGGACAATAGGCCACCTCGGTGCCTGGCCTAATTGTGCTTGTTGACAGTGACTTGGCCTTGCCGTCGGCCCGGTGTTGAATGAGACTGTTGAGAGGCCTGGCTTCCACTCCACTTCCTGCCGCCCCTCCTTACAATGGAAGTCCCCAGTCATGTGACCCATGGGCCTTCCCCAGCTGCAACTAGAAACCGTTCAGGAAGTGTGATAGAGTTAGAGGGGGTGCTCACTCCTCCACATGGCATTAAAAACAAGACTCAGGGGGCATCTAAATCTGTGTGGTCAGTGCAGTTCCTGTTGAGTAGTTGACCTTTATTCTTCTCAGAGGAAAAGGAGTTAATCATTTGGAATCCTTTGTGGTACAAACAAATTTTTAACATCATTTCACAGATTCCAAGGAAAGTCACTTTCAATGTCAGTGAATACACATAATTTCCAAAGTTTGCATGAGGGCAAGTCAACTGTACGATACATTGTTATTGATGTAACTTGTTATTGATGTAACTTTAATCATGATAATATACCGCTTATTTAGAACATCATGGCCCTAAGAACTACACTTATGGTAAAGAAGCAACACCCCATTATAAAAACACTAAACTTAACTGTGGCAAAATTGGACTTATCATATAAGGCCACATATCCAGGGTGCTTGTCGTGTTGGCAGCAGACTAAGCAAGGTATTCAAGACATCCCTCTCCCCAGCAACATATTCCGACGCTTCCTAGGGGATCTCAAGGCGTTGCCAAGCCAGATGAGATATATAATCCCTCCAGCGTGTTCTGGGTCTACCCCGGGTTCTCCTATCAGTTTGACATGCCCAGAAAACCTCCAAAAGGAAGTGCCCAGGAGACATCCTGATCAGATGGACAAACCATCTCAACTTTCTCTTTTCGACATCAAAGGAGCAGCAACTGTACTCTGAGCATCTTTCTGGATGTCTGAGCTCCTTACCCTATTTCTAAGGCTGAGGCCCAGCCAGCCTATGGTGGGAAATCATCTAGGCTGCTTGTGTCCGTGATCTCATTCTTTCGGTCACTACCCAAAGCTTGTAACCATAGATGAGGGTTGGAATGTATTCAGGCTAAGCTCTCTCATCATGGTCCTGTACAATGCCCAACCCAGACAGAGCAACTTGGCTTCAGACTCTAAGTTACTGACCCTCATCCCAAACCCCTTCACACTTGGCTGTAAACCGCAAAAGTGCGCACTGAAGGTCACAGTCTGATGAAACCAACAGAACCACATCACCTGCAAAGAGCAGAGACGCACTTCTAGGGCCATTAACACCACGCACACTTAAAAAAGGAAGCAGTGCAGACGAACTTTCAAGTTCACACCAGAGCCAGCAAGCGATCACAACAACAACATGTACCAATCAGAACTAGAAATTAGATGCCCCCTAGTTCCGGTAGTAAGGTAACATTACCATAACAAATTATTATCTGAACATGACTGACGACATAAATAACATGAACAATAATAGTACGAGTACTACAGTGTTTAATAAAACATCTTCTTTTGAATAGATGTACAGACATCAATCATAAGCATTTAATGTGTCGATTGGACTAAGTTCTTTACCGACATTTAGACAAGATGTTATTTTAACAGTGATAGTTTGTCACAAATAATTTATGATTAACTGTGATGGTGTGAATTGCATCTGACCTCAGTGTAGACATTAGAAGTTATCGAAAGACTGACTTTTCCATCTCAGATTGTTTGTCTTTATACACCTGAAGAGAAGCATTGTATTGTTTTTTTTCCTTATCCCTTTAATCATGTTTCTTGAGAGGCCCCGACCCTCAGGTTGGGAACCAGTGATAATACAGACCACCCAGCACAGATATCATGACTCTGCAGTTCCTGTAATCTTTTGAAACATTCACATCACCTCATCCATCCTGGCTTTGTTTCTGGAATCGATAAGTAGTTTTAAAGATGGAGAACCCAAGGCCTCCTATGATGAATTGAACGTAATGAATTGAACAATCCGCTTGTTTAGCTCGATGAGAACAGTTGAAACCACTGATTGATGACCAGAGTATTCATGCATTCTTGTGTTCTCTCATGGCTGTTGAAGGGGGGGACTCTATTCAAGAAAGCCAGTCTATTTTTCTTAGCTACTGTAGATTTAAAAAGAGTAAACTCTCCTTCAAGGATGAATTCATGAACAAGGGTTCTATTTTTTTGTCAGGCATGAAACAGCTTCATTAGTTAGGATAGACACTAAAACTAGCAGAGGGCTGCAACTAACAGTTATTTTCACAATTGATTATCCTGCCAGTTTTTTTACTCAGTTAATAGATCAATTACTTGTTCTGTAAAACATCAGAAAACAATGAAAAATGCCCATAAGAATTTCCTAAAGCCGAAGGTGAAGCATCTGCAAATGTCGTGTTTTGTCCAACCAACCATACATTTTTGCATGATAAATTTAAACATAAATTACATTAATCATATTACATTAAACATTAAATTAATTGTTCCATTGCTAGACCAGAAAATAAACTGGGAATAAAATTGTGTGATCTTAACTTTCACCAGAATGACTGTTTATGTTGACCTTAATTATCAAAATTTCATGCTTTGTTTGTGGCCAGTAGGTACTGTATGTACATCTCTGAACAATGATGTTGTTTTGCTAGTGTACACTCAAAGTTCCTGATTTTACAACTCAGATTTTGGCCTCTCCCTTCCTCATATACATGTCTGTCTGTCTCTGCAGTGTATTTGGCATCTCCCCCATTGTTCAGAGCAACTGCTCCTACACATGGAAGCTCATGGTGCACCCGGACCGCAAGTGGTATCACTTTGTCAGTCCCATCATGCTGCTGCTTCTCTACTACACTCTTGCCACGCTCATCCGCCTCTGGCTGCAGGAACCCGTTGAGCAGCTGACGGTGAGGACAGCAGACAGAAATGCAATGAAAACACTTTTTTAGATCACAGCATTGTGACGTTCTTATTGTTACATATGTCAATACTTTGTCCACAGGATGATTATATTAGGGGATTTTGACTTAAAAAACAATCACATCACACACTGCAAAATAATGTCAAAAAGGTGGTCTTAAAGGGAAAATAAATCGGAAAAAAATGGAAATGGAAGTTTTTTTTTGGTTATTTAGTGATTGATTTACTGTTTGGTTTTTAATCATAGAGTAAAAATATACTGGTGGAGGATGCAGTAGCCTGAATAGACAAGTATGCAATGCAGCCTCAAGACATCATTCAGTGCTCATTATAGCTCTCTTTAACTCACGCAAAGTGCACCAGGTTCACACCTGCTTTCTGGGCATTGGGCAAAGGGATTTTGGGAGACAGCCAAGCAATTAAGCGACCAAACAAAATACAAGACAAGAAAGGGCTAATGTGTGGAACAAACAGCAAATTACAAAACCTCAAAATGAAAATGAAAATGGCAGTGTAGTGCATGTGAGTACAACCCTGAAGTGGAACAGAAAAGTGAAATGCAGAGAATGGACCTAGATTATCACCTCCAGATAAAATAACGTGCCTTTCCCCTCACGAACAGTGTGGGATTATTTACGCTGTTAAGCTTGAATGAGCTGCGTTTTAGAGAAAGCTAGATTTGCAGTGAATTAAAAAACTGGGTGGACTGTTGCAATTCCAGTGGGTATCAAAGATGTTTAGTTGAGTTCGGCGCACAACACCTCCAAACAAGCTCCTCAGTAAATTCCAGACAGTGAACTGAAATAGAAAACAGATTGAATTAAGTGGGCAGCTAGGTGGCCTCGTGATCAGAGAAATTATTGATGGAAGATTCCAGGACAATCGATGGCTGGCTGGATCTGTCCGCAGCAGCTCATGTGTAAGCTGAGACACTGTTGGTCTAATTTTGACAAAGTGTGAAGAGAGGATGCATCATGGCTCCATGTTGTTTAGTGCTCTGTAGGGGTAAAAGAAATTTGATGACTTGTGTGAAGATGCAGTGTGGTAGTTATTGTATACATGTTTACAAATTAAACTCACTGGTGTAGAGGATTCACTCTGTATCTGTAATGTAAAGTCATATTTATAATTCTAATTAAACTGAGGTCAGCTACTTTAAAGTTTTACAATAGAAAGACTAATTGACAGGTGCATCAGACTGTAAACTCTGACTATGAAAAAAACAGAAGTCCCACACACTGATGTTGTTCACTTGTGTTATTATTAATTAACAGCAATTTCAGTCCTCATCAGGATTCATTTTAATGTAATTATGAGTCAAACCTTTAAACCCTGAATGAACAGAACTACAATGTCACTTGATCTGGACTGAACTTAAATTGGGACATTGTTTCTGAAAAGACAATTTGCAAAATTCTATTCACTTCCATTGTGTGGCGGCAGCAAAAATCTCAGAGACAGATCAGAACCTAGTTATGAAACTAAAACTATCTGCATGACCGACTACCAAAATGAGAAAATATGTCTTTGGGTTGAACTGGACCTTTAAAACGACTGGCCTAAGTATCTAATCATATTTGACAATATAACATTTGATACAAACTCAACTCCCCCTACTGAAGTGGAGTGTCATACAACGTGGTAAGATGCACATGAATGTATCCTCCTTCACCTCAGAGCCCCAGGCTCAGCTCCTCTGTCCTGTAATGGAGTTATAGATTAGTGTTTTTATAGAGGGGTCAATACACTACTAAACCTGTGGGGCTGTATGTATTATTGATCTCTCCAGAGAGAAGTGTGTGTGTGTGTGTGTGTGTTCACCTACTCTTATACTTAAGACAACGCTAATAATAAAACATGAGTTTGACGTAAATCAGCAGCTGACAGGTTTGTTCGATGGCAGAGATGCCAGATTATGACGGAGCTCATCATCAGCAGAAAGACAAGACCAGTTCATCGCCTGCGTTTATTTAGCAGTATTGCAGTAAAATATGTGAAAACAGAATAATGCAATCTAACTTTTTAGAAAGGTTTCCAAAGGAATGAGACGTGAGGAATTTATGTGATATCTGACCGAAGAAATTGTTGTGTTGTATCTACAAGTGGGTGATTATTTAATCTCTAAGGAAAACACATTTAGCAGCAGAAGAAACATAACTAGAACTGGAATGATTTCCCAGACACTGCTGTTGCATAAACCTACATTAATGGGTTTTGCAAAGTGAATTTCAGATTTTACTGAAAAATTAGATTTTTGTGCAGAAAATAGCAGACTTAACAAGTGAATGTATCTGTTATTGAGCGCTAATATTTTACAACCTGTTATTAATATTTTTTTATATATATTTTTAAAAATATACATTTTCTGGTACAGCATTATTCTGTCTTGTTTGAAGATAGTGACACTCAAAATTCCTGAAACACAGTAAACTGTGCTGAGAAGAAGTGGAATTTACTTACCAATTTGTCTTGAAGGCTGAGGAGTTGCAGTTTTTTCAGTATTTTGTGGCAAATTATATATTTTGAATAAAATACCAAAAAATCAATGGTAAGAAACGCTGACAATTTACAGTAAAACGACAATACCTCTTTTCAAAGTTCACCCTGCTCCTGCTGAGATACTGCACTCCTGCGCTGTAAAAACAGTGTTCAACAGAAGATGATTAAAAAAACTGTGATCATCTCTGTTGCACAATAGTGGACTGACTTCAAAGTCGGGTGGTAAAGATATATATCAGCTAAACTGTCTTTGTTTTTTCAGGACGACAAGGACGGCGATATGTGCGAGGGGGAAGATCTGGTCGGAAACAAAACAAATAACTCAGCCAACAGGAAGAGGCAGCTGTGGTGGGAATCACGCCAGGGCACGGATGAGAAAAACGTACGTCAGGGTTAATACACACATGACTAACAAAAGTATTGATTATCGGACAGATCATGAAGTAATTACCCTCAGGTTAGCGTGCTATTGCGCAATGCGTATATGGCACATGCTTAATAAATTGTGGGGAAAATGGCAAATCCAAACATCCTTGACAATATCATGAAGATCTGTTTAGAATAGTTTTCTTCAACTTCTGAAGTGCCTAACTTCTTTCAAACTTGACAAAACTCATAAGAATACATTTCACATTTGTCCTGCATTCTTGCAACTCATAACTAATGTTGGCCTGGAACAATTAGATCCGGTTTAGGTATTAAACAATAATAAAGAAAAACTCCTGTAATATTTTAGTGCAATAAACAATAAACAGGAAAAACTCTTTTTTGTTTGAGTGTAAAATCAAGCTGTAGTTGTTTATTGTTTTTCACAAGCTTACATCCTGTTTTACCCGAGCTTTCACCTTCGTAATAGACTCATCCCTGGAAAGATTACAGCTGGAAATTCAAACACACACACGCAAACATTCTGACCTTGTTCCTATATCAAGGTCTGTCTCCACCGGCCACCTCCTGAGGTTTAAAAGCTTTTAGGGTGTGCAGACACAGATGAGTGATGGGCTCGATTTACAGAGTAGTGCTGCTCGACTTTGTTCCTGCTTATCAGCGACTATAAAGAACAAGGAGGCCTTTGACTTCAACAGCTCATCGATAACACACCTTGCCTTGTATGCTCTTTTCTCCTCCTAGCTGCTCTCCACCCAGGATGGCATCAGTACAACCGAGGTGGGGGCTGCTGTGCATTTTATCCCCCCTTCACCCCTCAGCCTTGCTGCAAGAAAACAAATCAATGCAAAGTGCTTTTCACGCTGCACCCTCATAGAACAGGGTTATCCTTAACCTGCATTTAAAAGTTCAAGTTTAACTAATTTTCCCAATACTGTCTCTCATCCCAGAGGTATTTTATAAAGTGCTTGTTAAGTTTGGGGTACAGGGTAAGTTGTGATAAATTAAACATTGTGCAGTGTGAAAAGTACAAAAACTCCTACTACAAAGTGTGCTAACTAAATGGCTTACAAACAAACTGAAAGTACCAGAAGACCACATGTATAATCTACTTTTTCTGGTGAAAAAAGACACCATCCAGCTGGTAAACCATTTAATAGCACACACGCAGTTACTTCTGTTTGCGTTTGTGGTGCAGAAAGCTGTACAGTAGTGAAATCTGTTCCTGCGTTACTGAAACGAAGTAGTAATAAATGATGGTAATCTACAGGCTGTGCCCACCTCAAACGGAACGTCTTTTGACTTCGTGACAGTTGAGAACGGTCCAGTCTGTCTGGACTTGTATTCAACCCCCCAGTATAAAATGGACCAGCCCAGTGACGGTACAGGTGAGCTGTTTACATGTTTACTGCCTGTGTCTTCTCTCTAAATGTCCTTGAAAAGACAAATGATGTGAAAATGCGGGACTACAGTAGAAAGAATACTTCACTAAATTACTATAAAATAATAAAGTCATTCATTCCTTGTCTCTAGTTACATCCTAAACTAGCTCTGCTGCCATGTCGAAACCTTGTAATGCATATTAAGGATTATAAACTCAAATTTAACAGTTTAAAAAACTGTATTGTGTTTTTGTGTATTTTGACATATTTTCAGTTTATTTGTGTATGAACTGCATCAGAAAATATTTGAGTTAGTTAATTGTTGACTTTGAGATAATCTCTTTGTTTTGGTTGTTTTGATGTCACTTAACTGTCTTGACTCTTTCTTTGCACTTTCACTTTCACACCCATTTGAATTCACAAATTGTCTTAAAGGTGCACTTCACTGATTTTACATGTCACAGTCAATTTCCTAGGAATGGGGGTTCAAGACAGCTGTTTAATGTCTCCTGTGACTCTGAATGACTTTTGTAAAGTCTGAGTAGTCGGTAGCATGGCTCTCAGGATGGTATATTGGTTGGTCAGTCCACCACTTTGGTCCAGTATAAAATATCTCATCAACTATTGGATGAATTGCCATGAAATGTGAGGATGAATCCTACTGACTTTGGTGATCACCTAATGTTTCATCTAGTGGCAGTAGTGAGGTTTACATTTCTGGTTTTTAGTGAAATATTGTAACAACTGTTAGATGGGTTGCCATACATACATTCATGTCCATCTTAGGTGACCCTCTGACTTTTCATCTATCATAGTCAGATTAAAATTTTGATTTGTCTTAATACCCAAAAAACTAATGACATTCCCACTTTACTTTATCTTTAGTGCTGATTATCAAATCTTAGCATGCTGGCACTCTAAACTAAGATGGTGAACATGGTAAACATTATACCTCCAAAACATCAGCATATTAGCATTCTCATTGTGAACATGTTAGCATGCTGATGTTAGCATTTAGCTCAAAGGTCTGCTGTGCCAAAGTACAGCCTCACAGAGCAGGGCTGCAGACTTTTAGTCTTTGTAAACAACACGCCTGCGCTACAAACTGAGGCTTGGAGTTTGAAAGATGTGTAAGAGCTTGTCCCGCTCGAGAAAAAGTCAGGGTATCTTGGCATCTTCCTCACATATTTGACTATTCCTTTTTAAAGTTGTGTCTTGCAAAAATGTCACAGAGTACTGTAACTATTATTAACAGTGAGGTGTGTATCTGTGTCCAACCAGAGAAGAAAGATGAGTGTGTGTATGAAGTGTGTTTGCCCCCGGAGGATTCGCTGTTGGAGGGAGGAGTGGAGAAGTCTGAGGAAGGCGAAGATAGGATGAAGAAAAGAGGACTCAGTACGATGGTCAAAATCTTCCACTTCATCATGAAACAGAGCTACATCTGTGCTCTCATAGCCATGATGGTGAGTAAATCAGCCCACAGAGCTACAGAAGCTGGATTATGCTGGATTTGTATTCAGAAAGGAAAAATTCCAACATCACATTTATTTGTTCATTTGAAAGTGATAAAGAGTTGCAAAAATTACTTTGTAAGTATAATGGTTATGTTAGTGTGAATGTAATTGACAAAAAACACATCCTTCTTCTTAAAACCATCGCAATGAACATGTGACTGTTGTTTTCCAGGTATAAATTTTCAGTTTAATTTGACATGAACGCACCAGAAAGTAACAAGGTTAAACCCACAGACCTGCTGGAAACACAAACGTTAGTGTAGTAAGTAAATGCCAAACACTCCTGCCTCCTCAATCAACAGCGATTAACAATACCATTGAGCAAGGCACCGAAGCCCTCTCTGCTCCAGTGGAACAGCTGGCTGACTAACAGTAGGAAACTATGGTTGTACTGGGCAGCTTCTACGGCTGAAGGTGTGGGAGCATATTTCTAAAAGAGAGCATCTGTTCTCAGTTAAAACATTCCTTGGTGAATCATAGTTAAATACGTCTGAGTAACAGTTACTTAGTTTGACTTTGATTATGACTTAGTTACACACAAACTGTAATTTATTAAATGGCAAATTGACAGTGGATCTTTATTTAAATACAATTAACCATGTTTACATTTGTTCATGGCTACAAAAAAACTAATATGGAATAAGATCAAATTAACCCTGTGCACATAATTGATGCATTTCACCTTAAATATTGCATCTTGCGTCTTCTCAGAGTCCTGACTCACACATAGATGTTGCACAATGATGCACAATCAGTTACTGCTGGACTCAAGGTGACTTTTTTATTGACAGCAGTTTCTCCCTGTGTTGAGGACAGAAGTTAATATATCTGTTTAGAAGTCATGTAAACAAAGAAAAATAGTAATGAAATAAAGAAAGTAGTAATAAAAAAGAGCCATTGAGGGCTGTCCTTTCTAGAAAGGTCAGAGTTTTAGCAACTTTAGGGGAATTTTACAAATAAAAACCTTTAAATATTTTTTAGTCTGATTATAGGTGGATTTTAAGTTCCTGTATTGTAGTATTTCTACAACAGAGTTTTATTCTCTGTAGCATGTAGATGATTTAGATATTTAGACCTCACACTGATTAACACCTAGCTGTAATTTCCAAATAATAAGGAAGCTACTTGGAGCTTCAGCTGATTCAGAACGTAGCTGCTCGAGTCCTCACTAAGACCAAAAAAGTGGATCACATCACATCGTCTTTACACTGGCTTCCTGACCGTCAAAGAATTGATTTCAAAATCCTGATGTTGGTTTATAAAATACATTTCTGATCTTCTGCTACGTTATGAACCATCCGGTCCCCAAAACTAAACATGGAGAAGCAGCGTTCAGTTTTTATGCTCCATATATCTGAAACAAACTCCCAGAAACCTGCAGGTCTGCTGAAACTCTCAGTTCTTTTAAATCAAGACTGGAGACTTTTCTTTTTACCACTGTGTTTAATTAACCCAAATTTAAGGAAGTAAATTAATAATTTACATTGCACTGCAGCTTTTACTCTTCTGTTTTACCCTGGTTTTCTTGTCTTTTCTTCTATTTATAATTTTTTTATTTTCTATTTAAGTCTGAAATTTTTTTTCCCTATGTTGCTTTAATGTTTTATAAAAAGCACTTTGAATTGCCTTGTTGTTGAAATGTGCTATACAAATAAACTTTCCTTGCCTTGGAAAGAACTAATAAACTTGGTAGTAATTATGGGAAAAATACAGCCAAAGTTCTAAAGAGAGTTATTTTAGTTGCAGTAGTGCTTAAAAGCAGTTGCCGTTCAGAATTTTTTTTTGAAAGATCTGCTTTATTTAAATACAACTTAATATTACGCAGTTTGTAAAATGTTACAATTTTAGTGACTTTCTATTGAAGGTCTTGGGTCTGGGTTGCAAAATAATCAAATTCAGTACAGTAGTCTGTACTTCCTCATCGTCTGTACATTCGTGGTTGCATTGTAAACAGCTAACTGTGTGACTTAGTGTCAACAATACACATCGGTGTCACACAAAGCATGATGAGAACTGATCTTACAGACGAAATCCCAAAAGACTAAAGGAAAAAGGAAAGGCACACGACTGAATTATTCCTTGAAATTCAGCTTTGTTTTAGATGACACATTCTCCTCTTGTCATTCACTTATTGGACATTGCAGATCTGTGGTGATACACGCAAGACACGCAACTTATAAAACGATGGTGAAGTATGATATGTCATATGTCTGTTAATAAAAGGAGTGAAAACTGAGAAAAAAAACTGTCAACGGTCCGTCCTCGAATCTTTGTATTTGGCCTTCTTTAGTCATTCAAAAACAGCAGAGTTTCAGCATTTACATTTTCTGTGATTTGTTGTCCTCAGGTGTGGAGCATCACATACGTGAGCTGGCTTACGTTTGTCTTCCTCATCTGGTCTTGCATGCTGTGGATGGTGAGGGACCGGAGACGTTACGCCATGCTGTCTTCTCCCTTCATGGTGGCCTATGGAAACCTAATGATAGTTCTGCAGTACATTTGGACTTTTGAGAACATGACAGAAGTCTCAGGGTTTTTTGTAAAGAAGAACAACCCTTTCCACTCACTTTCATCCAAGGTAATGGAGTGAAAATTACCAGCAAAATCATTTTCTTTATTTTGACAATGTTTGCAATGTATTTCAGTCTACTATAAATCTGTTCCATGACTAAAACTGACCTTCAGATTGAGATACAACCTGTGGTCCAAAAACACAAATCTGATTTTAACAACAGCAACAGCTAAATGAGACTGTCAAATTGTCTCTCTGATAGTTAATTAAAAAAATAAGACGTACAATGTACTCCTGAAGGAGAACATCAGGTTTGTAGTGTTTTGACATGTTTTGGAATAGCTCAAAGACTTTAACTGAGTCTGTTTTTTTCTATGTCAGTAGGCCACCACTGACTTGCAGCAGCCTTATTGTGATCTTTATCACCTGTGCTGCTGTCAAACTGTATTTTTTTTTTTATAAAACGCATGCTTGAAAGTTTAGACCATCCAATTTATGTTTAGAAACTCAAATCTGATTTATACATATCTCCTTGTGTTGTTTTGACCACATATTTTGGTGTCAGAAAGTTAAAGTAAATGCAACTGATTTATTAGTTCATCTTTTCTTGCCTCGCTGGTCATCTGTTTGTCTAAAAATGTTTTATTGTGTGAAGGTCCTGTGTCTCCTGAGCTTCTGGCTACTGCTGAGACAAACGCTCACAGAGAGATGGGAAAAACAAAAGGAAGACAGTGATGTTCTCTCAGGCGTTCATGTGGAAGATCAGAAGAGCAGGGGTAAGCTCTTATTTTATTTAGATTTTATTATGCCATAACCTGAGTACAACCATTGGAACACAAATATAAAACCATCATACCAGACTATAGCAACACTGTTATTATTGTTATGGTTGTTGTATTGTTTTTGTTTCCTTCCTTTTATTGTATTGTTATGTTGCTTTGGCAATATGAACATTATACTTTTGTGCCAATAAAGCCATTTTGAAATTGAAATTGAATTGACGAGTTGTTTGATTCACTGCTGTGTTTTATAGAGGAAGAGGACTTAGAGGAAGAAGGGGAGCAGGACACCATGCATGTTCTGGGTAACATGGTAATGGCTCTGCTGGTTAAATACTGGATCTACATCTGTGGTGGCATGTTCTTCATCGTGAGCTTTGAGGGCACCAGGGGAATTGTCATGTACAAGATCATCTACATGATGATGTTCCTCTCTTGTGTGGCGCTCTATCAGGTAACAAAACTCATCAGTGATTGAGAATGCCTTGTTCTTATGTCAGACGTGTTGACGTCTGCACCATTTATTTTTTTGTAGCCACATATTACCCAAAGGGTCTCTTAAATGTACTCTGATTTATCTTCAAAACATTTTTCCACATTCTGTAAATATATGCTGTATCTTTTTCAAGCGCACGATTGAATACACACAATGTTGACTGAAATCTTAAATCTTTTTATGTCTGCGTTGATGTGTCAGATCTGTACACATTTACAGATATACAGTGCACATTTAAACAAAATTCAGACAAACATATGTAATATCCATGAAATATTTTGGACCTTGACAAAATGTTACAAAACTTAATTTCTCTTCAAATGCACAAATCTTGAAATTGGATGCATTCAAAAATGTGCTGTCATCAGTTGAAATAAGGCTGTTGACTGTATATGTATATCTCAGATTTTCCAAATTCAATTTCCCAAAGACAGAAGGTGCTGACAATTTAAGTATGTCATAAAGTTTGTGTACAGCGGGCTCATAATCCACAGTGTATTCTCAAGTGTTTTATAACCCCTTCCACAGTAAAACAGAGCAGTCACCCTAAATCAAAATGTGCACCATGTTAAATTGAATGCCTTACAACTGTTAATGTCAGACTTAATAACCCGTAAAACACAATTATATCTATTATTCTTATCTAGGTGCACTTTGAGTGGTGGCGAAGGATCCTGAAGTACTTCTGGATGTCTGTGGTGATGTACACCATGCTGGTCCTCACCCTGGTCTACACCTTCCAGTTTGACAATTGGTCTTCCTTCTGGTGCAAGAAGCTGCGCATGGACAAAGACAGGTGAGCTCCACTGAGCACCACAGGGCACCTTTCCTCCAAGTTTTCCAGATATGAATGTTGATACAAATGATAACTGGACATGAGTCTGGATCTTTTGGTTCTTTATAGCTTGTTTAAAGAAAATGAATCTGGAGCTGTTGTCAGAGCAACAAGTCCTTAAGCCCAGACCTGCAAAAGTGCAGGTTTATTGACCATTACCTGGTTCAAGACCAAGAGTTTTGAGGCATACACAAAAAGAAAAGGAGCTCATTTTCAGAAACATTAACATCAGTGATGCGCTTATCGCAGTTATATCGGGTTCATGAAAATGAACATTCTGATTAATAGCGGATGGGTTGCGGAGGGTAAAATAGGTTGAAGTGTCATTAAGAGTGACCCTGTACACATTTTATCCACGAGGCACAGCAGTGTAACTTCACTGATTATTTAATTCTCCCAAAACACCGGTCAGTCAGGCTATATAAATGTGATATATGTGATGTCCTTTTGATAACTAATGTATTAACTAATGTTATATTTTTTCACTCAATTCATTGAGCCTCACACTTAAAAAAAACTTTGACCTACACCAAACACACCTGAGAGCTCACAGGTTACCTCAACAACATGTAAACTCAAGTCTCATGTTTTTCTGTTTCCTGTGATTTTTTCCATCTATGCAGATTGAACGACCTAGGCCTGGAGAAGTTTTCACTTTCTGACCTGTTCATCAAGATTTTCATCCCAACTTCCTTCCTGCTGGTGTGTATTCTTCACCTGCACTACTTCCACGACCGCTTCCTCGAGCTCACCGATCTCCAGGCTGTAGTGGCCAAAGAGCAGAGCACTATATACAGGTGAGACACGACGTTTGTTTTCTTTGGCCCAAATCATCATTGAGAAGTTGAGTTTTGTATTTGGTTTGTTTAAGTTGATACAGCTGTACTACAAACAAACTGCTTTTTATTTTTAACAAGGATGACCCCACACAACCTGCCAGATCTAATTCCCGTCACTTTATTTTTTACTTAGCAAGATTTGTCTACAATCTTTGGTGTCAAAAATCCTGAAAAAACGAGCATTTGAACTTGCTGCACAAGTCTAATCAATCATGTTTCAACCTGTTTAATCCTGTCTCTGTTTCAAATTCCTTTCCTCCTCTGTTCTCCGTAACTAGTAGGCCATTGGTTTGCATGGATTATTGATCCCTCGCTCTCTACTGCAAGTCACACCCCAACATCCTGTTAATTGAGGAAGTAATAGTTCTTCATGCGATCTTACAGCTGAAAATGAGCATCACTCCACAAGACAGTTTGGTTATGTTTGTAATGCAATGCACTCGTACTGCAGGTTAACCTATGAAACATAGATGTTCTCTGTTTTTTCCCTTAATTTCTTCAAATCACTGTAAGAAATACTTACACTATACTTGCACCTAGAGCTGGGAGATATCAAGATGATATTAATAAGAAACACAATGAAGTGTGGAACATTTGCTTCTTTCAGAAAAACAGCTGTTTTCCTCTGTCACTCGATTGAAATAAACTGGCTTCAGCACCACAGGAGTCATTGATAAACAATAAAACTGACTTATTGCCCAAGAATGCCCATTACTCAAGAATAGTAAATGACAATGAATGCATGTTCAACCCGACGACCTTAGTTGAGCGTGAGGTGAAATCATTCATGCCTCTTCATCTCACACTGTTCTGGATGATCACACTCACACACCCTGTTAAACGCCCGTCATAACAAGCGTTCTTGTCACGCATCTGCCATTGTGTGCTGAATGTTACAACATTCACATTTTCACAGTCTGTGGTGTGTTTAACTTTATTGTCGTGTTGAGGATTTTCCATTGTTTCGCTGCCGCTTGCATAGCTCTCTGCTTCTCTCTGTGACGTGCTGCCATCTCTCCTCTGCCACCCTTGTCACACAGCCACGCTAAAGTCAATGGGCGTGTCTATCTGATCATGAATAGGTGGGTATCTGCTTGCTTTCTGTGGCATCCATCACCATCCCAGTTCACCTCTGAGTTTCATCTCTTCTTGTTGCAATAAAACCTCTCCTCCCCCACTGACTTGTCCCTGTCACCCTGTTTTTGCTGATGATGACACATTCTTCTGAAATATCTTACTCCTGGTGTTTAAGTATTTTACTGATATGAATGGTGTGTGTTTTCAGGTTTTGTATTTTATTATTTTGCCTGTAGCCTTCTCTTTTTGGCTCTTTCCACAATAAAATAATACTACTTTTCTCCATACGTTCACAAACTGTCAAACAAGCATGTTTGAATCTGAAAGAACCAGTATCTTTCCAGTGATCCACACCCCTTTTCTGCACTGAACCCCCGAAAATTACCCCCTTCCTAAAAGAGCTTGCCTACCCTAAACGACAGGAGCCTTTTGGCCATTTTTTTGCATTTTAATGAAGCTACGTGGATATTTTAAAGTGATTTCAAGTGTCATTTTAAGCCTGCCTTTGTCGGTTTCTCTCCTCACTGTTCATCTGGACTTCTGTGTAACTTTATTGTTCTGAGCAGCATCAAGCAAAAAATTTCCTCTCAGCCCAGCAAGTAAGTGTGACCACTGGATGACAAAATGTTTGCCTTGAAATGCGGCCAGTTCTTGCAAGCCAAACCCGACCTTTGACCTCGCTCCCATGCCTGAGAAGGATTTAAAGGGTTAATGCTTCCCTTCTGCTGCTACCATGTATCTGCTGCAAGCAGAAAATCCCTGAAACACCGAAACAAAATGAAGTTTTAGAGAATGCAAAAGGAATGTGCACTGCTTATCGATTACAATGCTTGATTAAATGCTGCTCTGCTGTTCGGTTAGCGGACACAAAGCTGTTGATTTCCATCCCAACCTTTGCATCATCGGAGCCTTTCGAGAATCACCTGGACCATGTTTATGTGTTGTATTTATATACTTATGAGGACAGAATGCCTTCAAAAAGAATGAATGAATGTGAGGAACACCCTTAAAGATGTGGATTTCCCTACTGCTCTGATATCTTTAAATTACTGTTTTAAGGTTTAGTGTTAAGATTAGATTCAGACTGAAGTAAAGGTTTAGTTTAGTGGCAGGACATGAAAGTTGGAATGATAAAGGAGTAGGCCACGTTTTCACATAAAAAATGAGCTTAGGTGTAAAGATGACGACCATGAACCGCCACTTCTCTTGTTCAAGTCCATCTAGGGAGCTTTGTTGCATGTCGTCTCTACACTGTCTTTAATAAAGAGCCCAATACTTAACTTAAATACTTCCAAAAAAAACAAGTGGTGGGTCCGCCAATATATTTCAGTAAGAGACACAAAGAGAAAGGAACTTGCCATTTATATGATATAAGTAAATTAATAAGTCTGCTGCCATTATTTAGCAAAATAATGAAGTTAATAATATCCTTGCCACAAATTGTGTGTTGAATAGTGGAAATAGAATGCAAATGTGTTACTTCCTTTCTGAGATTGAAGTTCATTCCTCAGCTTAAGGCAACATGGACGAGAAGTGCTCAGAAAAATGTAAATTTGAACATTTGCACTTGCCTGATTCCATGAGCTAACGTCCTACGCTGAGGTAGCTTGTATGATATGACCTAAATTAACCTTTGTGGTGGCTAATAAAAACATCAAGTGGGTAAAAAAAGTCATAGAAGAAGAATCCAAAAGTCACTGATGGTCCTTATAAGTATAGAAATACATATATGTGTGTGGGTCTGCATATATCTCTGTGTGTAAGAACTTCTCACATGTTTTTAGATTGGTGGGAACCGACGGCAGCCTGGCAGACCTCACCATGCTCAGCGCCAGCTCAGTGGAGGCAATAATGCTCAGAGGGGGGCCAGAGCCACAGGAGGAGCAGGTGGAGATGGGGGTGCAGGAGGAGCAAGAAAAGCAGGAGAAGGAGAGGGAGTGGGGGACAAAGGAGAGGGAAAAGGAGAAGGACCAAGCCCTGGTGGTGGTGATGTATGACACTGACGTGACCGACGAGAAGCCCAAGAGCTTCTCCAGCCAGCGGCAGTCCAGCACAGAGGAGAGCCACCACTGCAGTGCGAGGACCGAGCCAGAGCCGAGCACCGAGCAGAGCTCAGGTACTGAGCAGGTCCACAAGCTTCAACAAGACATTGAAGATACAGTGAATCATATTACAGCTGACACAAAGTCTTATTTCCAATATTACAGCATTTTCTTGATTAATCAATTGAATAATTATCCAATCCAAATTTATATCTAAAGCACATTTAAAAACAACCAAGTTGGCCAAAGTGCTGTACATTGACATGAATCAAGAAATAGACAAAAATACAACACCAAAACAAAACAGCAACATACAGCTCTCATATTAGATTAAAAGCTAAGGAGTAAAAATGAGTTGTAAGTCGCGATTTAGTCTGTAAAATGAAAATGAATGAAAATAGAGAATCCCATTATCCCAGAGCCAAAGGTGACGTCTTAAAATGCAACTAACAGCTAAAAAGCTAAAGATATTGTCTTTATGATGCCAAACAGAAAAGCTTCAAACCTCATATTTTATTATTATTATTACAACTAATAAAATATCTTTATTTGTATAGCACTTTTCAATACATGTAACAAAGTGCTTTACATGAAGGTGCAAGCCCATGTCTGGCCTTAAAAGTAATTCAAAGCAAACAAAAGAAGGTGCTGTAGATCTCCAATCATGTTACTATCAACTTTTTAATAAATCAAAGTTGTTGATTAATTGTCTTCTAGTCAACTAGAGTAACTCATTCATCATCTGATTATTTTGTAGCCAAATCTCCCTCTCAAGCTCACGGACACCAGGGTTTCCAAAGGTATCAGTATCCCAATTTAAATTTCAGAGATTTTTGTCAGAGATGCAGGTTTGTCAAGATGAGTATGAGACACCTAGGTAAATCAGTAATTCTAGGAAATTCAACAACTTGTAGACAAGAAATAGGTTGGATTGTAATGGTAATGTAATTATTTACAGTAAATAGTGGGACCTACAATATAAAGCTACAGTATTCAGTTAAACTCAACTTTCTAGCTTCCTCCCCGTCAGTTGATATAGAGTCACGCCATCATAGAAAGCAGATGGCAAATGCAGCCAGTCTGCAAACAAAACAAAAACAACACTTGTGCATTGTGTATTTGAATGAGAATCTGCGGCTCTTTTAGCTTTGCTGTTGAGTAATTCGTTGACCGTGGTGACTGAGGATTCTGGGGTACAAAAACACAGAATGCACTCCAGTGTAGTACTTTACTAATTAGTACCCCTTTAGAATAGCATATTGTTGAATAAAATGCTATTGTCACATACTTATTAAATCAGCACAGTGTGATTCTGAAGAACGTGCATTACTCTTAAATGCATCATTCAGGCACACAGATGGTTTACTAATCACACCGGCATATGGGTTTGAATGTGTTGCATATTAGTACTCTCTCTCTCCCAAGGTTCCCAAACTACGATTAATGTGTGAAAAATCATCGAGAGGCTGTGTGGCAGAGAGTTGTATTTAAACACTCCAGCATCTTATATGAGCTTTTGTGTGTGATGCTGTTGTTTTCCTCCAAGCTTCCCTCACTGATGGCCGTGTTTCCCCTTCGCACTGTGTTTACAGCTGAGCCTCATGCGCTGCTATGTAGCAGTGCAGAGCAATTTCAGTCACGAGTGTGTCTCTTGGATCTCTCTCAGCCTGTAACTCTTTAGTCGGCTCGGAAGACGTATGTTGCATACAATCTTTAAAGGCCAAAGCAAGATTTACCTCCACTTTTCTCTTCTGATGCAGAGCATAGCTCAAGTGCTGACGTTCACCCTTTACATCACCCTGCTAAGGCCAACTTTCACCTCAATATTAGTATATTTACACAGACAGTTACACTGGTCTTAAATTAAAATGGTTTTATATACACAGAAAATAAAATAGGTGATAAAACACAACCCTGCAGGGCCTCTGGATTTATAATGAGCTGCAAGCTATATGAGCTATATGCTCTCTCAGAGTTTCTTATCCAAACAATGAGGCCTCTGTTGAAACCTAAGATAATATGGCTTTCTACCCACCACCAAACTGTGGCTTGAGTTTTTATATCCTTTGCGAGAATATAAAACCATATATTAAGGCTTCATTCTCAGGTAATAAAATTAACGTTTTTTTGGATTTGTAATGCAGATTTTAGCCATGTTTCCATACGCCTTTACATACTGTATATGGGAAATCAAACATTTTACAGTTTCAGAATTTAGCTGTCACATTGGTCCCAATAACACCAGAGATTAAATTAATATACATATCCTTTAGCACGTGCGTTAAATTCTAGATTTGCATGTTTGCTGGTTGGTTTTAATTTCCACAGACTTACCTCCTATATATCAGAGATGATTTGTAGGGCTGACAAACTCTAGATGTAGCTTGTTGAAAAGTAGTTTATTTTTTATTGAAAAATGTGTATTTAAATACTAACTAACCATCCAGGACACAATTTAAAGGATAATGCTGGCAAATACAGGGTCTGTTTTCACCTGTGGATTAATACTTGGATTAATATTAATGGCAGTACTGTACTGATTCAAAACAAAGTACAATTAGTACAATGTCAATAAAGAATATCGTCACCAGTTCAACAATGTGGCTCATTTACACCAATCAGCCATAACATTATGACCACTGATAAGATAAACAGCAAGAGAACATTTGGCCCTCAAAGTTGATGTGAGGATTAGAGCAACCCCTGTCCACTGCCGAAAGCACCTCCAATGGGCATGGGAGCATCGGAACTGGACGAGGTGGCCTGGTCTGATGAATCACGTTTTCTTTTACATCAAGTGGATGGCTGGGTGAGCGTTTGTCGCTTACCTGGGGAACACATGGCACCAGCATGATACCACACATACCACCTACCTAAGCATTGTTGCAGACCATTTATACCCTTTCATGGAAACGGTATTTCCTGAGGGCACAATATTAGGGATGTGGTCATAATGTAATGGCTGATCAATGTATCTGCCTTTAATGTTTTTTGGCACAGGGGGAATAAGATATATTAGGCTCTGGCTACTCAGACATTACTTTATTTGGTATCTTCATATGGTTTATTGACACTTATTCCTGAAGTGTAAAGAGAGAATCATATTATCAGTCTGTCTCAGCTTGAGTTGGTGTTTAGAAGACATGTATGCCAGAAGAGAGATAATAGTGTTTAAACAGAGGATACGCTGCTGTAATTAAGAGATGGAACCTGGAAACGCTTTCCATTTGCACCTCTTCAGTCTTATTGTTTTTCCATTTAAGTGTATCTGGTTTTTATCTCTCTTCAGATCTGAAGAACAAATGGCACCTGGTGGTCGACCGTCTGACTGTGCTCTTCCTCAAGTTCCTGGAGTATTTCCACAAACTGCAGCTGTTCATCTGGTGGCTGCTTGAGATCCACATCATCAAGATCGTGTCCTGCTACATTTTCATGGTCTCGGTCAAAGAGGTATGAATGGCTGAGGTACAGTTAAAGACAGGGAGATGCTAAACTCAGCATCTGCATCAACAGGTGGTTATGACCGCTTAATGAATTGTATCTGAGTTTGGTCGAGTGATTTGACTGGTCAGCTTTACAGTAGCCCGTCCTCACAGGTGGTAACGTTTAAGGCATCCAAATGTTCTTGCAGTTGTTTTCTTAGTCTTGAACCTTGAGTTTGTATTCCAAATCATGAAGGAAATCTTACCCACAAAGCTTTTCTCTCTTAATGTGTGTAATGGGAGAAATACACATTCAGGAGTTTAATGTCATTGTTAAATCCACAACATGTAGCATTTTTAGTTAGTGTATATTAGTAACTGCTGCTTTGTCTGTGCGCCGCTCTTAACTTGGCACATGGTTGGTGCAGTGGCTGATGTTTAAACAGTAAATGAAAGGTATTTTTATGATTGTAAGATGTTAACAGTGGATTTTATTTGGCTTGGACTCTTTAAGAGAGCTATACCTTTTCTGTGCACCTTATAAGTAAGGGGAAGATGTGCCAGATACCCTGACTCTGCAAAGTGGATTTTATCCAAAGATATCAGTGCTTTCACATTCTTGTGCTACACTGGCACAATGTAAAACAGACATTGTTTTCATAGATTTTAGTAGGTTGTAGTCAGACTCAGTATGTAAAAAGAATGACAGTGGCATTTATTTGTTTGTACATAAATGTCAATATCTTCCACAATAAGCACATTTCATATGATTGTGAGGTGAAGAGCTATAAAAATAAATCACAGGTACATTAGGCAATGCTTGGTTGATTTTGTTGCTCAGACTCTGTATAATATAAGTTGATCCCTCTCTCAACACTGAGCCAACTTGAACCAAGTTGAAATTAACCAGGACTGTCTACTGCACCGCAGACTAGCCAGATAATTGTCGGAGGGTATTTGAGCAAACTATAGAAGCTGTTACAGTTTCTGAATAGGAAACAAAGCCTTGGTTTCTTTTCCTTGTTTGAGTTTGGAGCAAATTGACAGAGGGTTTTTAATCTTATATTAATGCTCACTTTGATAGTCTTTTAGACTCTTTTATGGTTTGTAACCTCAAGTTTTATGTGCTTTTTAAAATTTATTTTGACTTGCCTCAGATTATTCTTTACCAAGTGCTGTGTAAACATGTTTTGGAACATGTACTGTAATCTTTTAGTAATAAGGAAAAGGAGAGTGTCAGTGGAAAAGGGATTAGTGTGAGCTGGTTTCTTTTTTTTTGTCCTCAACACCTGTATTGTCTCCTGTGCAGGTGTCTTTGTTCAACTATGTGTTTGTGGTGTCCTGGGCCTTCGCACTGCCCTACAGCCGGTATCGGCCCCTTGCCTCCAGTGTTTGCACTGTCTGGACGTGTGTCATCATTGTATGCAAAATGTTGTACCAGCTCAAGTCTATAAACCCGCCATCGTACTCCTCAAACTGCTCGACGGTGAATATAATCAGAACACACTTTTTGACCCTAGCTGCATACATACACATACTGCCTAACAGAAGAATAAATTTGTTCATGTTTCAAAAGAGTCCTATCTAAAACAAACCCTATTTATTACACACCACATAAATGCATAATGTACACACAAACATCACAAAATTACACACCTACATCCAGATTATGTTTACGTATTTCATGATAAATATTATAGCTGGGAAGGTATGGCACAATAAATTTTGTAACATTTTGTTAAAATTTTTGTCAGACCCAACAATACCTAGGCTACACAGAAAATAAGCAGAAAGAGATGAAGGAGTCTGTGCTGTATGAGGGCCTTGTGGATCCAGCCATGTGGGTGGGCCTGGAGAAGTCCAATGACCTGCTGGGCTACCTCAGGGTGAGAGTTTAAACATTCATCAACTGAAAGCTTGCATTATACACGGGTTATCAGGATATTTGATATTGATATTATATTATTTTTTTTGCTTTTCTGCAGAGAGTAAGATGAGAAGGTTAATACCACTATCTTATTCAAATGTGTCTGTTAAACAAGAAGCTGGAGTGAGCAACTGTTTAGCTTAGCACAAGACTGAAAACAGGGACAAACAGCTAGCCTGGCTCCGTCCAGAACTAACAAAATCTGCAAACCAGTAGCTCTAAAGCTCACTAATTAACAAGTTTATATCTTGTTTATTTATCTGTACAAAAACTGAAGTGTAAAAATTTGTTTTTTTGCTTTACAAGGCGGTTATGACTCCAAGAAGTCACTGTGCCCGGCTAAGAAACAGTGCTCACATTATCCCCCAGAAAGCCTCAAAGATTAATCAGAAGGACCTCAAATATTATGTTTATAAAGTAACAATTGTTGCATGATAAAAAAGTAGATCAATAAGTATACTGGTATTTAAGCTTTTGGTTAAGGAATGTCAGAAAATATGACAGATGTCCAGTCCAGCCAGTGGACAAACTTATACCACACTTCAAATCAAAGAAAGTTTTGTGTTTTTGTTTGATAAATTACTAAAATAATTTCAAAATTCTGTCAATGAATTACTGTCATTGTGTATTTTCAACAAAAGGAATACATATTTAAAAACCTTCTTTCACCATCTGTGCAGAACAACCTCTTGATGCTGGCTGTCTTAGCATTCGAGGTGACCATCTATCGCCATCAGGAGTACTTCAGACTGAGGAACAAACTGTCGCCTCCCGCTGCCAGGATTATCTTCCATGATATCACACGGCAGCATTTAGACATTGGCATCATCAACTTCATCAAATACTTCATCAACTACTTCTTCTACAAGTTTGGACTTGAGGTAGAGACAAGTGAAAAGAGCTAAAAATACATCTTTTATCTGAACACTGTTAGCTCCGTCGCTTTATGTGTATACTCCTCATGTGTTTCCCTCAGACGTGCCTGCTGTTGGTGGTCAATGTAATCGGACAGCGTATGGACTTCTATGCCATGCTTCATGCCTTCGCTTTGATAGCAGTGATGTATAAACGCAGGAGGAAAGCCATTGCTGAGATCTGGCCAAAGTACTGCTGCTTCCTGGCCTGCATGCTTACTTTCCAGTACTTTATCTGCATTGGGATCCCACCAGCAGCGTGTAAAGGTTTGTGTGATCAACTGCCAGATTGTACCAACGATAACCAGAGAGTCACTGGAAAATGATTGACAGCCAGTTGCTATGATATCAGTCCAAAATCAATTACTATTTTCATTATCAATTATTATTGAATAAATACATATATTTTTAGTCAATTGTGTAATCATTTAGTATATAAAATGTAAAAAACATTGTAAACTGATAGTCCCAAAGCCACGGTATTGTATTTATAATTATATAAATGACAAAAAAAACTGCTCATCTTTGACATTTGAAAAGCTGACAGCAACAAATTTTTGGTATTTTAATGGATTATCTAGATTGTTGTCAGTGAATCTTCTGTCCATTAACTTTTCATTTAGCCCTACTATGATTTATCACTTGGCTGACACCATCTATTTTGTGTCATGGTGATCTTTCCAGGTGCTCTAAGTCTCAAAATTAGCGATGTATTACTTGTAAATTACATTGTAGGATCAAAGTGATTTTAATCACAAAATACACATCTGTGTAAAACTTCCATATCATGTCCCAGAGTACTTAAATTGCTTCACATAGTTACAAAATGTATTGTAAAGGACATAAAAGCTGTTTCTCTGTCTTTGTGATGTACTTTTTCTGTTTTATTTGTTACCATGTCATGGCTCTTATTGCCGGTCCAGTCATTCTAAAGCGCACCACATATAAACCTGCCATTTTTATGTTGTTTACCCATATGTCCCATGATGATGGTGCATGTTTTAATTTCAGACTATCCCTGGAGGTTTCCCAACTCTACTACAGACTCCAACGTGGTCAAGTGGTTCTACGCTCCAGATTTCCTCACCAAGCCCAATTCAGCGTTCCTCATCTGTACGTGTGTCTGCGTAGCTATAGAGATGAGGTTTTTTTGTAACTTGTAGATATGTAGTGGTTATGATATTGATATTGATGATTGTCAATATAGTTTATAATAATAGTATTTATGTTCAGCAGAAATTAGATTTCTCCTCTCCTCTTTTCTAGATGACTTCATGTTGCTGCTGTGTGCCTCTCTCCAGAGGCAGGTCTTTGATGATGAGAACAAGGCTGCAGTCCGCATCATGGCTGGAGACAACGTGGAGATCTGCAGAGACCTGGACGCAGCCTCTTTCAGCGTCCACAACCCGGTCCCGGACTTCATCCACTGCAGGTACAGCAGCTTACACTGACATCATGCTCTGTATTCACGAGACAAGGCGAAACAAGATAGTGGGTGAGATGAAATAATGACTGGAAAAACAATCTTTTATTTGACTGAAAGTCACAAAATACAGGTGCATTTTGAAATGTATCTTACATATTGTTTGTGTCTTGTCTGTCACTCCGTCGGCGTTCATTGTTTCCACCTGGTACCCAAATGCTGCCACACAAACAGTTTAAAAGTGGCGGGGGCATCTTCTGTGCTAATTTCATCCACACACTCATCATGCTTATATCTTGAGACAGCTTTTCACCTCGACGAGAAATATTGTCACGTTTTGTTTTTGCGCCCTTAGTTCCCACTGCAGCAGGAAGGGGCCCAAGTATGTTATTTTTTTTTTTTATATTCCTATTAGGACTCGCTCAGCAAATCCCTTATCCTAGATAAATAAAGGTAAGAAATAAACTGAGGGATGACAGTAGCTCATGTCAGTAGCTTAGTGAGAGCTGTTATTGAATACCCACTGTAGACATAATTCAGAATTTTGGCTGCCGTCCGATATTTGAATCTAGAGCTAGATACTGACTTTGCACATAAAAAAGAGTGAGGAGAGGAGAGAGAAGAACAGAGCGAGTTGGAAAGACGGCGAGAGCATCCTGACCTGTCCACAGTCATTGATTATGTGCTCTTCACATTCCACTGTTTTGATGCGCAAAGTGGACAAGTCTTTTATTACCGCACTCTGTGTCCATCAACAAGCCCTAGTCGAGAGAAAGAGAGCTGTACAGCCCGTCTGTCCACGCCACAGCAGCTCTGCACTTATTCCATCGTTTCCCTCCAGGATCGAATTACGGATACGGAGTGGGGGAGAAATCCATAATCCACAAAAACACTCTGTCCGTCACTCCGCGACTCAGACGCTTTTGCCCTGTACTCTAACTCAATAAATAGCTTTCAAGTATGGAAAAGGTATTTTCTCCCCTTGATGAAGGACACTCACTCAGCTATTCCGGCCCATCATCGCCTCGTCCGATCCAAACCCACTTCATCAGAGCAGCTTCCTAAACAGTACAGCTGCTCTTGTGGTCCCATGTTTTCCATCAAATTAAAGTACATTGCTTCCTATGTTTTCACTCCACACATCATGTTAATGGCCTCTCACATGACAACTCAGGATCCATACGCATGCTTTTAGCATGTTAGACACATGCAGGACATATGTTAGTATACCTGTGCTCAGTGACAGGAGTCGGGTTTCAGCTCTGGTTCACATTCATTGATCAGGCTCCTGCCGGTGTCCTGACACTAAGTGATACACTAAACGTGATTGATGGGTGGATTTAGCACACAGCAACCGAATGAACTGAAATGTTTTGACTTTTATTATGTGGTAAACATGCATCGTTATTAGGAACTTAGCTCAGCCGGCCGGGGTCTGTGCTGTTTACTTCCACCTTCTGACTAAAATGAAATTTCTGTTCACAGACAAATAAAGAAGAAATTTAATTAAACATAAACAATAAAGCCACATTAGGCAAAATGTTTATGTTAAATGTAAATCTATCTTTCTGCGTTAATTCAGAGTGGGCATGAAAATTCATTCTTGACCTTGGGAAATATATTTTCCACTGTCCACTTAATAGCTTCAACCACATATCAGGCTCTTCAGCAAATAGAGTTTGCTGTGGTGTCATGGAGTTGGGCCTGTTGTCATAAGGTACTTGAACTTGTATATAGAATATGGCGCTCTGGTCACGTAATAATAATAAGTGGTTAACATGGTCTTCATCTGCCGTTGATGAGTGACAGTTAAAAAATCTGGGAAAAGCTAGTAAGTGGCCTCTGAGTTAAGATTACTCTATCAAACTAATTGAGATGATATAAGATTCAAATAAAATTGTTGGATACAGACACCTCTCTGCCTACAGGGAGTGACGATGATTGATGCCGTGTTCGCATTAAATCACCCAGACTGTGAATACGTTAGCTTGGTTGGAAAAGCTGTTCAGCCGGGAAATCACGGAATTCCTGAAGAACCCCAAAACCCATCTGTGGTTCCTCTTCCCAAAAATATTCAGAAATCAGAACAGTACCATCGGTGACAGTTCAATGTACATAGAATCTGATATTAATTCTGATACCAGCAATACAGCCATTTTTAAAGGAGGTATTTGGCACACACATTTATACCTTGTTAAACTTGTTAATGAAGCACAAGTATGTACAATAATATAAACAGCTAATTTTGGCTGTTTCCATGTATCAGGTATGACTCCAGCAGATGGGTTTTGGAACAATGTGTGAACACTTCCCTTTCATGACATGATATGACACCTGCAGCAGCCAAGGCTTCTGAAAAACAAATAATTGATCTGTTGAATTTGGAATCCTTTTGTAAAAATAGTGCTGACATATCAGTTTCATCAATGTCCTTTAGGTCCTACCTGGACATGCTGAAGGTCATCATGTTTAGCTACCTGTTCTGGTTTGTCCTCACCATCATCTTCATCACGGGAACCACACGCATCAGCGTCTTCTGTATGGGCTACCTGGTGGCCTGCTTCTACTTCCTGCTCTTTGGTGGTGAGCTGTTGCTCAAACCAATAAAAAAGATCCTCCACTACTGGGACTTCCTCATCGCCTACAACATCTTTGTAATCACCATGAAGAACATTTTATCTGTGAGTAGTTAATCTCAAATTGTATAGCAGGATCAGTTTATTGACTAAATGATAGACAGTGTGCACATGAGGTGATATATGTAATGTTTAGATTATAAAGCATCAAAAAGAAAAACCTTCACTATAAACTTCTTTGTGCTATTTTAGGACACAGAGTTCATATTAACACTGCCTGTGTGTTATGTGAAATCAAAGATGTTAACAAAGATATTTAAACACACATACAATATAATATATAAATATATAAAATGTAGTAACCGAATTCAAGTATATAATAAAGGATATCTTGCTTTTAGATCCTGGCTTGTGGCTACATCAACAGTCTGATAAAGAACCACTGCTGGTTGATTCAGTTGTTCAGTCTGGCCTGCACCATCAAAGAATACAAAATCACCATCGACCAAGAAAATTTAGGTGAGTGGACTCAACTTTTTACTTCCTCGTACATCTGACGATTGCCACTGTTTTGTTTTTTTTTGGAAAACATACATTTCACAAGAGGTTAGAGATATCCCCTTCAATGTTAGGAGCATAAATATGCATTTTGGCTAAAATGCTGACATGCTGGTGTGATTCGAGGGAACCAGAGTGTGCATCCAAGAGTGTGTTTTGCAAGAAGCTGAAATTAAAGCCACACCCTTGTTTATTTTTCAGGCCAATTTAGTTCAGTGCCGTTTTTATCTTAATCCTACTGATCGACTGACTTACATTGAATACAAAACACTGCCACAATACTGAGTGAAACAGTAAGATTTATGCACCATCAGAAAATATAGACAACATTACATTACATTAACATCTTTGAGAGTCTGTACAATTTACACTGATAAATGTCGTAGTCAGTAGTTTAGAATTAATTTGAGTCAATCAGATTGTGTACAAGTGTGTTGTATGTATATTCCAGATGTGGATCAGCGCTGTGAGCTGCCCAGCAACGAGGCCGGGATCATCTGGGACAGTATCTGCTTTGCCTTCCTGCTGCTGCAGAGACGAGTCTTTATGAGCTACTACTTCCTCCATGTGGTGGCTGATATCAGGGCATCACAGATTCTCGCATCCAGGTAAACAGCTGAGGCCCAGGGGTGCTGCTCCCATGTTCAGATTCTACTAGTTCAGTGTTATTACTGTATGCCTTCAAGGGATATGGAAAAAAGAAGTCCCTAATTAAGCTATACAGTATTTTTAATGGCTTTCTGTATCTGTCAGTGCTGCAGGGCTTTTCCTGCCATGACATGACAAAGAGATCTGATTGTTCTTGAGAATAAAGACACAAGTGCACTGCTGCTGCTGTAAGACTATCTATACTTAGGTTTGGAAATTTTTTCAGTAAGCAAACAGCATATATAGTACGTGGTGGACATACTTTTGACAGTGAAGAAAAGGAAGAAAAGGAAAACCAGTGATGTGTATCAAGCGAACACATCAGGAATGAAAGGGATATGTCTGAATTGGGACAAGTCTTAGACTGGGATGCAATTTGGGATAATGCTATTGGTACTTCAAAAAAACCAAATCATGAGTGTGTCCTTTGAAATTTTGTCTTTGAGCATATATAACACAGATAATTAGACTTAAAATGGGACTGATATCTGACATTAACCATTGGCTCTTTTATACCTGTTGTATTAGAGTGTCCAGGGGTTTTTAGATGTTGGGTTTTGGTTGTTAATAGCCTTCCAGGACTAACATGGGTACAATTTTCATTGGACCATTCTGTACATCTTCTAAATTCCCTTATGTAAAAGTCTGACAAGCAGGCCTGACTGCAGCCAAGATGATTGTAGTCCAGCATTTAAAACCTCCTAATCATATTTCAAGAAACTTATCATCTGTAAGAGTCAACGATGCACGAGCAAGTTCAATTTTAGTGTGGACAAATTTGATATTTCACTTATGAGAACTATGCTCTGTCTGTGGAGGTATAACTATGTTATCGGTTAGTGGAGGGGAGAGGTGTGGAGAGGGATAGGGATGGGGGTAGTTGGGTTAAACAATCAAGATGTAATCGGCAATCTAATATGCTGTCTTTAATTTGGGTATGACTTGCAGCAATGGGCCTGGGCTGGACTAAAATATGGGCTGCTGCGGCCTTGTGGTACACTCTCTAACGGGTGAGCTACCAGGGTTATAGTCATAGTAAGATAAATATGTAATGTACTTCTTGAGGGTTTTGTTTTTGAAATTGTAAACGGATACTGTTGGTATAGTAATGTTTTTTTTTTGAGTCATTAAATAGTAAAGTAGGATCAAACCTTCACACACTGACTGACGCTGGATGTTTTGAACATTTGATTGGTCACTGATGTGTGTCTTGTGTTTTTCAGAGGGGCGGAGCTTTTTCAGGCCACCATAGTGAAAGCAGTGAGAGCCAGACTGGAAGAGGAGAGCAAATCTGTGGAGCAGCTGAAAAGACAGTGAGATTCCAAATATTTGACTCACTCCATGTTGTGTGATGCTGTGGTTTGGGTGTTTGTGTAAAATAGGCAACACTAGGGGACATTTTGAAAAGTAAATTTTAGAAAGGATTGCCCAGGTCTTACAATGAACTTGTAAAATGTATTCATTGACATAGATAAAACCTGCAGATTTTGTCCTCTGATTTAGATTAAACAGAGTTAATACAGCAGATTTATTTAGAGATACTCCGGGACCAATTAAGTTGAAAGCATTGTGTCTGAAAGAGGACAAAGAGCATGCACACTGATGATATGATTTCAGTTTGTGAGAAAATTCAAAATTCAAAAGATTTTTATTGATCAGACAAATTTTAAATACACTTGTGGTAAACATTTTTAGTACTGGGGGAAAAAACTGTTGTAGTTTTTGTGTTGTTGGACTTTACGCTCAGTCCGTTTGTACCGCTCAACAATAACCAGAGCTGGGTAACATGCTTCAGGTCTTGGCCAATCAGAAGACAGTGGGCTTTGAGAGGGGCCTTAAAGAGACAGGAGCATCTACAGCTTGTTTCAGAAATGAAGGCCTACATGAAGGGACATTATAAGATAGAAAATGATTTTTTTTGAACTTTGAATCATGCAAAGCTGCCATACAGGAGTCACAGAACAACAATATTGGACTGGAAAAGCAGTATAATAGGTCTCCTTTAAAATAAACTGCAGTATATACAGTGAGGAAAATAAGTATTTGAACACCCTGCTATTTTGCAAGTTCTCCCACTTAGAAATCATGGAGGGGTCTGAAATTGTCATCGTAGGTGCATGTCCACTGTGAGAGACATAATCTAAAAAAAAAAATCCAGAAATCACAATGTATGATTTTTTTAACTATTTATTTGTATGATACAGCTGCAAATAAGTATTTGAACACCTGTCTATCAGCTAGAATTCTGACTCTCAAAGACCTGTTAGTCTGCCTTCAAAATGTCCACCTCCACTCAATTTATTATCCTAAATTAGATGCACCTGTTTGAGGTCGTTAGCTGCATAAAGACACCTGTCCACCCCAAACAATCAGTAAGAATCCAACTACTAACATGGCCAAGACCAAAGAGCTGTCCAAAGACACTAGAGACAAAATTGTACACCTCCACAAGGCTGGAAAGGGCTACGGGGAAATTGCCAAGCAGCTTGGTGAAAAAAGGTCCACTGTTGGAGCAATCATTAGAAAATGGAAGAAGCTAAACATGACTGTCAATCTCCCTCGGACCGGGGCTCCATGCAAGATCTCACCTCGTGGGGTCTGAATGATCCTAAGAAAGGTGAGAAATCAGCCCAGAACTACGCAGGAGGAGCTGGTCAATGACCTGAAAAGAGCTGGGACCACCGTTTCCAAGGTTACTGTTGGTAATACACTAAGACGTCATGGTTTGAAATCACGCATGGCACGGAAGGTTCCCCTGCTTAAACCAGCACATGTCAAGGCCCGTCTTCAGTTTGCCAATGACCATTTGGATGATCCAGAGGAGTCATGGGAGAAAGTCATGTGGTCAGATGAGACCAAAATAGAACGTTTTGGTCAGAATTCCACTAACCGTGTTTGGAGGAAGAAGAATGATGAGTACCATCCCAAGAACACCATCCCTACTGTGAAGCATGGGGGTGGTAGCATCATGCTTTGGGGGTGTTTTTCTGCACATGGGACAGGGCGACTGCACTGTATTAAGGAGAGGATGGCCGGGGCCATGTATTGCGAGATTTTGGGGAACAACCTCCTTCCCTCAGTTAGAGCATTGAAGATGGGTCGAGGCTGGGTCTTCCAACATGACTGACCCGAAGCACACAGCCAGGATAACCAAGGAGTGGCTCTGTAAGAAGCATATCAAGGTTCTGGCGTAGCCTAGCCAGTCTCCAGACCTAAACCCAATAGAGAATCTTTGGAGGGAGCTCAAACTCCGTGTTTCTCAGCGACAGCCCAGAAACCTGACTGATCTAGAGAAGATCTGTGTGGAGGAGTGGGCCAAAATCCCTCCTGCAGTGTGTGCAAACCTGGTGAAAAACTACAGGAAACGTTTGACCTCTGTAATTGCAAACAAAGGCTACTGTACCAGATATTAACATTGATTTTCTCAGGTGTTCAAATACTTATTTGCAGCTGTATCATACAAATAAATAGTTAAAAAATCACACATTGTGATTTCTGGATTTTCTTTTTTAGATTATGTCTCTCACAGTGGACATGCACCTACGATGACAATTTCAGACCCCTCCATGATTTCTAAGTGGGAGAACTTGCAAAATAGCAGGGTGTTCAAATACTTATTTTCCTCACTGTATGTTCATATGTGTTCTGGCAATACTTGTTAGTGGTATCAATTAATTGTTGGTATTGGTGTTTCATGGAGTTTGCTGAGAAAAATATAGAATATCACTTGAGTTACACTTACACAACATCATACATGGTAAAGTCTATTTCTTGATGAGTATCTTTGAGTCTCATTAGGGCTGATTTAGTCCATGAGGAAGTAACATGACTCAGAAAACCATTTAAAATCAGTTCTGGATTAAAAGAAACTCCTGACTCCGTCTTTACTGTTTCCAGGAAGCCGTCGCTTAGTATATCATACTATCTAATGTCAATGCATTTCCACAAATTACAGTTACCTCAGGAGTTACCTCTATGCTCTGATAATGTCCACTCACTCGCTGTAATGAGCACTCTGCTGTTCCATACCGTACACTATGTTCCATACGAAGTCTGTAGATGTTTATGGTCAGTGATGTTCCTCTGTGCCCATACTTTGCGTCTCTTCACTTTGTCTCTGATCTAATCAGGATGGAACGCATTAAGGTGAGGCAGCAAAAGTTTAAGAGGGGCAAGGAGAGGATGCTGAGCATGGCGCAGGAGTCTGGAGAAGGAAAGACCTTCGTCCAGCCCGAGGAGGATGATGATGATGGTATGATGAAGGCTGCCAGGACTCTTAGAAAAGTTGATGTTAAGGTTATATGACTGCTAAAGAGTGTATTAATGCCTAATCCACCTAATACATAAACACGTTGTGTAATGATTAATGTATTTTATCTAAAAGAGAAACCTAAAAGTGTAAAAATATGCCTTGAAGTTTTGCAGAAGAATTAATTTTCTTATGAAATGTTGCATTGCTGTATTTGTGAAATTTTAGGAGCACAGCGAACGAAAGCCAAGACCAAAAAAAAGCAGTGGTGGAGGCCGTGGGTTGACCATGCTTCCAGTAGGTTGACCCCAACCTCATTTTTTCTCTTCCTAGACTCTGATTGGCCCTTGTGTCCTTGACCAGAACACTGAGGATTCCTATACTGCCCCTGGGCTCTGAAAGCGCCAACATAACATTACTCCACCCAGACTTCAGTCATTTTCTGTCTCTATTTAGGGGCCCTTATAACATGTAGCTCTCATGTAACAGTACACTGTATGTGGAGAGGCACTCCAGTGTCAAGGTGATCTATAAAACCCTGTCAGTATTTGTGCAGGGTTGCCTTAAATAGACACGATGAGACGATGAAGAGAAAATGACTAATGGCTGGCGGCTGACATTGTTTAAAACATAAACTTTATCATTGGTCTCACCTAAAGAGCCCACAGTAGAGAATCACTCTTTTTATTAAAACATTTTCATGCAAAGATATGAAGTCGACTTGCCTTTATTCTCAGTACTGGAATAAAGGATGAAGAGTTTGTTCATTCTTTGCCCGTAGACATGATCTCCAAACAGGTGTTACCCAGGAGAAAAGACAACAGCATGAATGATTGTACCAGTCAGTGAATATCTAAAATGACTACCTTTACGGTCTCTTTGTGGTAAATACAATAAACCCCACCAGCATCTTTCTGAGTCAATACAGTGGTTGCCTGTTTGGTTTGCACTCATGTCTCATATCGTACTCCACCCCCACATGACATTTTCAAATTATTTCTCCATTTTATCTCTTTGTCATTTGATGTTTCATCTCCATATCCCAGCATCCTCCCTCACCTCCCACCCACTGTGGTTCTGCTCAAGGACATAAGTCAGCCTTGTCTATCCCATTGCTTCTAACTCTTAACTACAGCAGACAGGAGTCACTTGCTCTGTCAAGTAGCTTAAAGGTGACTGAGCCTACTACAATAATAGTCTTTAATAGACATTCTTTATTGTGCTTTGTGCTCATAGTTATATCAGCCAGACTAACATTTACGATATGTTGTGTGTTTTCTATTTGGCATTTTCTGTTTCATCCTCTAATGTCTTTGAAGTTAATGTGTGTCTATATCATGACTTACTGTATTCTCAGCTAGATGTTTGATGTGTGGTGAATTACGTAGAATTTAACGGTAAGTTTGATTTTCCTGCGTCTTCCTTTCAGCAGGGGACCCATTTTAATGTTGTGAAAGCGGTGTTTTTACTTCAGCCTCTGTGTGACTAAATGTAACTAAACTTTGCTTTCCGCCCCTCAGTGGTTAGAAGTGGAGACTATTACTTGTTTGAAACTGACAGTGAGGAGGAAGAGGAGGAGGAGGAGAAAAAAGACGATGAACTGCCCAAGAAGTCGGCATTTCAGGTGACTTCAAGTAGTGGCTCATTTTTCCATCAGTTTCAGTGTGAAACAAGATTCTAGTTCTGTCTCTGTCACAGTAATTTAATAATTTTTTATTACTGATTAACAAAGTATATTTACTCAAGTACTGTACAGGTTGAAGTACTGGCACTTTCTTCAATATTTCCATTTTGTATGACTTTATACGTCAGAGGGAAATGTTGTACTTTTTACTCCATTACATTTATTGTATCCAGCGGTGGAAAAAATACTCAGATCCTTTACTTAAGTAAAAGTACCAATACAATAATGTAAAAAAATTTAAAAGTCCTGAATTTAGAGTCCTACTTGAAGCTATTGTAACCAATGAATTCCAGAAGCAGTGTTGTTATATTTGTTGTAATTCGTTATACCTCCAGCAGCAATCAATAAATCAAATGCTCTGACGCAAAAATGAAAACAATCTGGTATCTGTGGCTGTTAAAGGACTGTATTAAACATAAAACCAGTGTTTAGTTGTGACTTGTCACATTTCAGATGCATTGTTTCATCTAAACAGTTTGAAGCCAAGAGTTGTAAAACTATCCAATATTTCACAAAAAAGCAGATTAGAGAATCGGAACTTTGTCTATTCTTCTTTCCTCTCTCAGTAATCATCTCAGGAACACTCAAATTTATCTTGTGACCCTTTCGAAGTGCCCAACCCCTAGGTTGGCAACTCCTGGAATAAATGAACACTATATAAAGTATTTAAAACTAGCCCACTTTGACCCAAATTCTGTCCACACCACTGCCACAAAGCAGGTAGGCAGGTTGGTAGTTCATTAACAATGTGTTGTTTTTATAAGCTTATGCAAAATGTAAAATTTTAATCTGAAAAGAAACTTGTAACTGCAGGTGTCAGCTAAATGTACTGAAGTAAAAGGTACACGGTTTCCCTCATTCAATAAACTAAGAGAATAGGATGCATTGCTTGCAAAGTTAAAAATACTGCTGAACTTTGCTTTTCATACATGTTAATTTTGCTGTTAATTCTAAAAAAGTGACTTTTAATGGATTATTTTACTTTGTGAAATTGCTATTTTAACAACCGATTAAAGAGGTAAAAGTTTTCAATACTAACATTCTGCTAATTTTCCCCTATACTAGAAGTCTTCTCTTGTTCCCTGTCTCTAACAAGGTTAACTTCTGTTGTTTCTAATAATATAAAAATCACTTTCTACTAATCTTCTCCCACTCTTGTTGTCTTTCTGTAGCGAGCTATTGGGAAGTTTGTCTCTGCTGTTCTGGCTTTGCCCAAGTCTATCATTAAGCTGCCTAAAACTATACTGCAGTATGTAGTCAAGGCAGGCAAGGTACTCACCACCTAACACAGCTTGTCTGAACACTTGTCACTTTCACGTCAGCAAATGTCAGCAAATCTCCTTTCCAGCTCACGTTCATGCGAACACAAATTTGGCATAAATCATAAACTGGAATGGAAATGCTTCATCCTCTGCTCCTTTGCTTGATGTTGGACTGGATGCATGAACTGGAGCTTTATTCTGAAATGGTCTTGGTTGTGTTATGTGTTTCCTGTCTGTTTTGACCCTTTGGTCTACTGCTTTGAGCCTAGAGCATTTGTGAGTTATGATCAGTGTAGCAACCACAGTATTAGCAGTTAGCATTTTGGCTTTGTCTCTATTGAGAGACGGGGGGGTCCTTCAGTCTGCATGTCAAAGTGTGCTTGGGCATAATACTGAACCCCAAATTGTAAACTGTGTGTGAATGTTTCTGTTTCTGATGAGCAGTTGGCACCTTGGCTTCTGCCAGCAGCATATGAATGTGTGTGAATTGGTGAATATGACATTGTAAAGCGCTTTCAATGGTTGGACTAGACTAGAAAGGCGCTTTACAAATACAGACCATTTACATTTTATGTGTTTTGTCTTACACTGGTGGTTGTGCATGTTTCACTGTATTAACAGAAAAAGTGTTCATTCTTGATAATATTGACAGCTATTTTCTTTGGGATACCATGCATTTTAAGACTGCAGAGTATCAAAACTTGCTTGAGATAGGCAGTGAATCACCGGGAATATTAGGTCATCTTTGTTGTTTTAATAAAGTTTTTACTGGACTGTTTTGATCAAGCTTTCTTGCGTGCATTTAAGGGATCTATGTGAGTCTACTGCTACTATTTTATGTTAAGGTAATTTTGAAAAGTCATGGTACTGTTTTGAAAATAGTCTGTAATATGAAGTCTACCTGCTTTGTAATTAATAGACGTAAACGTGCAAAACCACCATGCATTGGTATTTTTCCTTTTTCTTATTTTGTCCTTGCATGATAAACCTCAGTGACACGTTTTCTCCACATCCTTTTATAAATACTAAATTCGTTCTCTCTGTTCTCCAGTTTCTTTATCACGCCTGGATCACAGATCCCAAAGCTGCCCTGAGGGCACGAGGCAAAGAGAAACGCAAATTCTGGAAAAAATACACCAAGGGAGTTAGACACAGAAAAAGCAAGAAAGATGGTAAGCAAGTTCTAGAGACAAGAAACTTGTGAAACAAACTTAAAAACACCACAAAACACCACGTGAGTTGTCTTTACTGTACTTCAGCAGGTCATGTGGCCATAGAGGTTGGTGAGCTCTCAGATGGGCAAGAAAAAGGAGAAGAGAACAAGAAGTCTGGTGCTCCAGGTTGGTTCCTCCTCAAGAAAAATATTGACTTGATTTTGTGCTGTTGAGTTCCTCAGTCTGAAAATGCTCTAGCGCCTGACTCGAGATACTGAATGAGGAATATAATCATGAAGAACCTAAATGCGGTATTGATCACTACTGTATGTCTGTTTTGATCTTTTGATCTTTCTTTGGCTGTGATATAAGCCATACTAAGCCGTACTACGAAAGGTGGATAGGTGTTAACCGAGGTCTGTCGCCATGGCAATTTACGCCGCATCTCTAAACTGCTCCGAGCTGGTTTTGTTCGTGGTTAACTCGAGGTTACCCTGTGTACGTGGACTAGACACCACATCTGTACTCAGTGTTAATGATGAGAAGTTGGATATTAATACATAACACTTGATAAAATATATTTAGGTTTCATCCTGATTTGTTTCACTGCGATTGCAGCTGAAATGAAGTTACTTACGTTCATACAGCGAGCCCTGCAGCCTCTGTGATTAATTAACAGGACAGTTTCTTAGATGTAGCTCATCTGTAGGCTATAATTGAAAGTATTTTCACATATTTAGATTGCCTATTTTATGTGTCCAAAAATACGGAGCCAGGTTGGGGGTTAATAAATTCAGAAAAAAACCCTAGATGAGAGTGTCAAATTTACAAGAACAAAAAGTCCGAAATTCCCGGAAATTAAAGTCACAAAAAATCTAAATCACTCTGGTGTTTTCATCTGAATATGCCCAATCCACAGCAAAGTCACTAAGGTGCATGATAGTGATTGTGGGCTAAACTCACAAGTATTTCCTCACTGCTAAATCCGATTATGAAGTCTAATATAACTTTCCACTGCACATAATACACTGCAGAGGTGTGTGTGTGTGTGATGTTGCAGACTTGCAAAGTGAAGTTTCTCTCATAAATGTGAGAATATTCAAGTTATTTACTTGTATAATAGTGGAAATTAAATTTCGAATTTTGATTATTACAACACTCCACTGGCTCCTTTTTTTCTGTTACAATGGACATAATGTGCAAATGTACATTTACATCTTAATCATATTACACATACAAGAAGGGCCCATAAAATACATTTGAAGTACAATAAGAACACTGTGAAGATAATTAGGCTACACATTTACTCCATGCGATGCCAACAAGCCTCCCTGGCTTTGTCGGCCACCACAGTATTAGATTTTTCCATTAACATGTATTTACATTCATCATATCCTGACACAATCAACGTGCATTCTTCTGGAGAAATACGGAGCATGCGCCGTTGAGAAAAAACTCTGCCTGCACGGCCGAACACGCCCCTTTAATGTGAACGCGCACCAACTCCAAGTTAGCAGCGGGTTAACACAGACCAAACAACATCTTGTTCACCGTTGTGTTACCGTTTAACACCAGCGTAACAACAACGTCTGATAACCCTGGGTTAACTCTGAGTAGGTTTGAATACTCCTTTCATAGTACAGGCCACAGAAAACAAAACAGACAGTACAGACAGGGTACACAGACAGGGGTAAACACTAAAACATGAACTAAGGCACAAAACTAAAACGCAAGACTAAGAACTAAGATAAGAAAACAGGAAATGAGACAGAACTGGTAAAGGGAACTAAACTGAACATGAGAATAACAAGGTATTTACATTACATTTATCTGACGCTTTTATCCAAAGCGACTTACAATTGCTATTTAGGTCAGAGGTCGCACACCTCTGGAGCAACGAGGGGTTAAGTGTCTTGCTCAGGGACACGTTGGTGGACACGGTGTCACAGATGGGAATTGAACCCGGGTCTCTCACACCTAAGGCGTGTGTCTTACCCACTGTTCACACCACCGCGCCTACAGGACCGAAGAAACACAGAACCCCAAACCATAAAACAGACTAAAACAGGAAAAACATGAACACAAAACCACATTCCTAACATCCTTGGTTGTCTTTCCTTCTGATGACAGATCATGAGAGAAATTATCAGTGTGCTCTGTGAAGTTCAGTAATGACAGTTTGCATAATTTCTTCATATCATACATAAAAAAATCTGCTTTTTCGCACTGCTATTTGGAGCCTCTAATTTGCGAGTTCTTCAGTTTACATTTGTGTCATTTGCTCTCCCTCAGATAACATCATAAAGCGAGTGTTCAACATCATAAAGTTCACCTGGGTGCTTTTCCAGACTACAGTGGACAGCTTTACCAAGTGGATGAACGACATGTGCAGGGAGTACATCGACATCTCCACTGTGCTGCGTATAGAGCGCTGCATGCTGACCCGAGAGGTCAAAAAGGTACCAAGAACCTCCGCATCGACTTTTGACATGTAGAAGAAGAGTTATCTTGGTTTTAAAAGCAGTTTTTAAATTTGAATTTGCCTTGTTTAAAATAATTCATAAGCTAATTCAAGGATATTAGTGTGATTAAGAGAACCAGTACATGGTTAACTTCTCTCCTCTTACCAGGGCAATGTGCCGTCCAGAGAGAGCATCCACGTCTACTACCAGAAGGCCATGAGGCTCAACATGTCCAGGCAGGCCAGTATGGATCAGCTAAGTGAGGACGAATCCGCCTCGGGCTCCAACAGGGTTCGAAGAAGGAGAGGAGGCTACCGCATGGAGAGCCAGGACTCCACAGCATCCAGAGACAGCATATCCAGGTACACAGAGCCTCAGCAAGGCAAAACTGGATACCAGATGAGTCCCCATCGTGAAATGTTATAGGGAGTGTGTAGGAATGTTTGCCAGTCCTGAAAGAGACAACGAAATAATAGATTCCCTCCTTAACTTTCTGCCTCCTTTTTCTCCAGGCATGAGACATTTGTTGTTGTTTTTTTCAGGTCTTAAGGTTAAGCAAATTTTAAATAAGCTATCAAAACACATATTTTAATGAAATAAACATGTTAGGAATGTCTGGACAGGACAACGATATGTTTTAGTTTTCAGCATGCCCAGCCATGCATTAGTAAAGATTTGTTACAATTTTCCTGCATCACGAATACAGAGATTCATGTTTTTCATTCAGTTCATTGCCAAGGAGGAAGTGAGGGAAAACATATGGATAAATTCACATGGGAGTATATTAGATGGTCACTGAAATTACTAAAAAGTATATTGTCTTACTTACCTATTGTGCTATCAAGATATGCTGAAAGTTTTGGTTTTATTTGTCCTGGTTAAATGGCAACATGACATAAAATAACACTTAAAATTGCCAACAACATTTGTGAATTGGAGCTTTCAAAGCTGTGAGCGCCACAAACAATATTCCTTTTACCTCCATTGTATTGATATGGATGGAAAAATGTCCTTCTTTGCTGCATCTCGTGTTTGTTATGGTCATGTGATGAAGTAAACATGAAGATCATTTCCCTGCTCATTTTAATGTTAAGGTTGGGTTAAATGCATCCTTTTTCTGTCTGTCTTTTTTTTACACAGCATAAAGGGAATCCCCTTTCTGTGTAACGTAACGTACATCCCATTTCATTTTTCTCACCACTGATCATTGCATCTGTCACTCTCACCCCCTCTCAGTGCCCAAACCGAGGCAACCACACTGTTTTCTCGCCAATCCACCCTGGAAGACCTCGATGGAATGCCAGAGTGCATTCCCAAAACCAGCGAGCGCGCCAGGCCCAAACTGCGCAAGATGTACGGCCTGGACATGTCCAATTCATCAATGGACAGTTGCAGCAGCTTCATGTCCAGGTGCCTGGCCTCTACATCGCCCACTAGCATGAACAAGATCATTGCATCTCCTGTTTGTGCCTCTTTATCAAAATATTTTCAGTTGAATCATTGCACTGTGCCATCACCACCCCATTTATTCAGTCACACTTTACTTTAACCCTCCTATTTAACATATATAAACAGTATATAAACATTTAATAAGTGAATGTTTATGAATGTATTTGTCAACAATTGTAACACAGATCATCAGTGACAATACAATACTGTAAAGCACAGAAATTATATAAAATATGTCCCCATAGGCGCAGTTAAATGTTATATCTGCTTAAAACTACATTATAGCATTTTTAAAATGTTTATTTTATATAATGCTTATAGCTTTTTTTCCTTTTTAAAAAGAAAAACCCTGACCTCATCTGTGGGTAGGGTGTCGCATAAAAAATCTAATTCCAGTAAATCAAGTGGATTAAAAATAAGGGTTTAATAAATTTGGGTTGGTAAATTATAACAATACACCGATGTATATTGGCACTGCGAGACAGACGTCCAGTTTTTAAATTTCCACTGAACCGAAAGACTCCAACACAGATTGATACAATCCCCGCTGTTTTTGTCTCCTGCAGTGAAGCGACCCAGTGTGTCACGCTCTTCTCCAGACAGGGCACCGCTGACGTCATAGAAGAAGTGGAGGACGAGCATGATCAAGAGGAAGATAAGCAGCAGGTTCCCTGTGAATCCCAACAGCTAGGTGAGAGTCAGGGGGCTGAGGGCGGCCCCTGGAGTGATAGAGAACCCATGGAGAGACAGGATGAGGGCCAGGAGGGACTGGAAGGTGAGGAGGGAGTAGAGGTTTCAAAGGACCATGAGAGAAAAGACAGAGAAGAGGCTCCCTGGGATTCCTTTGGCCTAGATGAGGGCCCCTCCCTCCGGCCGGAGGAGGCAGAGTCTGCCGCTTCTGCCCAGGAGAAGGACTACATCACTGAGATTCAGGACGAGGGAGGACATCAGGATTTCATGCAGACAGGGGGACGAGTAGGGTTCCTCTACACCCCTGATACAGATGCTTCTAAAACGTCTGATGCGGACGTGCCTCCCAGCTACAGCAAGGCAGTCAGCTTTGACCGTCTAGAAGTTAGTGACGACGAGAGTGACATGGATAGGAAGAGGCGTATGGTTATGACCTCTGACAGCCGCTCAGACAGCAGGTCAGACATCATGTTGCCCTCTATGACCACTGAGCTCACCGCCAGCGAGTTGCTGCTCAACAAGTAAGTCCAACAACAACTAAAGCCTGTTTAGCATGAAGCCAGAACAGAATAAACAGTTATTTGCCTGAGATGCTGCAGATTCATGATGATTAAAAAAAAAACCTTAAACTGAACTATTTTCCTTTTGAGTACTTCCTGAAAAATATCCAAAACCGTCGAAGTTGCTATTTCATGCTTTATTTATCAATCAGATATTACCTGATTTAAATCATAACTTTGCAATCTTCGAAAAAATGATATTACACTTTAGACTAATTGTCACTTTATCAACCTTCATGTGTGGTTGAAACACTGACACATTTGAGAAGTTTGATCCATGATTGCAGGCATTTTCAATACAAGAATAATCTGCAAGATTAGAATAATTGCAAAGCGCCAAGTAAAGGAAATAATAAATCCATTATTCATGTTTCTCTCATGCTTTACAATCAGGACAGTAATCAAACAACGAATCCATCTCTCTGTGTTTGTCCAGGATGTTTTATGATGAGGAGCTGGAGCAGTCAGATACGTTCTACCAAAAACAGCCTCTGATCCTCCAGCTCTGCTACGCCCTCTACAACATGCTGGTGGCCAACTCAGAGATGGTGTGCTACCTGGTCATCATCATCAACCACATGGTGTCGGCCTCCTGCGCCACCCTGGTCCTTCCCATCACCATCTTCCTCTGGGCCATGCTGTCAGTGCCCCGGCCCAGCAAGCGCTACTGGATGACTGCCATCGTCTATACTGAGGTAGAGTCGGATACAAAGATGTAATTTCCAAAACAACAACTTTTCAAAAACAACAAGGCTCTCGTACAGATCTGGACTAAATTGTTTCTGCTGTCCACAATGATTGGCAGAAAGTTAAGACAAACATTGAAAGCATTTGTTATATTTTTAACACTTTTTGACTAACATGAATGAATAACACCTATAAGGTAGGAGTATAAACATTAATTAGTTGCATTAGGCTGGACAGGAGAGAGACAAATGCATAAAGTCTAAGAGTAAGATCAGAGTTCACTTATTATTTTTTATACAGCAGTCTCTCTTATGATTCATTGGAAAACTTTGACATAGTCCCGACAGCTTCACCGACATTACTTTCATTTTCCCTCTAGGTCACAATCGTCGTCAAGTACTTCTTTCAGTTTGGCTTCTTCCCCTTCAACCAGAACAAGATAGATAAGAATAAACCATATCACCCTCCCAACATCATCGGTGTGGAGAAGAAGGATGGCTACGTCCACTACGACCTGATCCAGTTACTGGCTCTCTTCTTCCACAGATCCATTCTGAAGGTGCCTGCAAACACAAAATATTTAATATTAATATAATTTAAATATTAATTTGTGCATCATATTCAAGGATATGAATGGTGATAGTTTACATTTTTCTTAATGTAGTTGTTGTCTGAAGACCAAAACCAACAATGACGAGAATAAATGAACAAGTATTGTGCCATGTAACATGTGACATTCCAAGTGATGGGAAACAAAATCTTTTTTTGTGTAAATATTTAATCAAAAGTTTATGTGAAGCTAATATGAAGCTTCACCAGTAAATCAAATTTAATGGGTGTCGTCGACAGTTACAGTCTTTTTAGTACAAAAGTCCCTCTTTGTGTTCTTATGGAACTTCTTTAAGATATCCACTTGATGTATTTCAGAATGAGGACTCTGAACTGTGTTACACTGGAATTGCATTAGGAAGGGATCATTTAATGGCCAGTATTAACAGGAAGAATTAACACAGCAAGCGAAACCTGTTGCAGTGTTCATAAGGGCACCTCACTAAGACAAACTTGAACTTTTGTGAACCTATTCTTCAATGCTGATGATACTCTATATTTCCAACACACCGCTGGCTTAAATAATAATATAGTGAGTTATTAAGAATTAATTTACAGACAACTGAAAACCAACAAGAAAAATAGGAAAATGCTAACAAAAGGACATTTCGCTGGTTGGTTATGTATCTGTCGTCAGGGAGGAACCCCTGTTATATTTGTTTTTAGCAACACAGGATGGCTTATTTCCAATATTAAATAAAAGGCCTATATTTAGCAGATTTAGGTATGTGTGTGTCCCTGCTGCACAGAGATATCTAGAAGATTTCTCTCCATCTGTTTGTTGCCGTTTTCCGTCTTTCTCAACAAATAAAAGAAACTCTGTAGACTGTCCTGTTAGCTCTTAATGGAACACCGTGACTGATTGTTTGGGATGTACTGTCAAACGTGTGTGTATGCAACTGCACTCCCGGTGCCAGACTCTCAATTAACTGGACATACACGGTCTTAAAAAACCCTGAATTTTTCCTCCTCTTTGCATTTCCAGTGCCACGGTCTATGGGACGAGGACGACCCCAAAGAAAGGAAAGAGCCCTCACGTCAGAGTGAGTCAGAGGACGAGAGAAGAGATGAGGAGCAGAGTGAAAAGGAGTCTGAAACTGAGTCCTCACTGTTCAATGAGAGAAGAGGCTCCACTCACACCTTGAGATCCATGAGCTTTGGGACCTCCATTGATTCAGGACATGTCCAGGTGCACCTCCCACAACAGCAGACCTACCAGCGCCGCAAGAGTTCCAGCGGAGGCTCGCACATCTCTCACCGATCTCTCCACTCCTCTGCAAGGTCCAAGAGAGGTGAAGATCCTTGCCTATTGTCTATATCCTAGTACTAACTAGACAGCTGGTTCAACAATTAACTCTCCTCTCTAGTGAGCATAAATGTTACTCTTCAATAATAATCAACAACAATAATAAATAGAAGGAAATAGAAGGGTTACTATCACGAAAAACACAATTCCTTGTGGTCTCCAGCCCTGAACCTTGGATTAGGTCTCTGTGTTTGTGGATCTCAGGCTGTATCAGTGACTCAGTGCCTCGTCACGGTTCATTTACAGCTCGAAATGTAAATTGTTTCCACAGGAAGTACAGCTTCCCACAACAGCAGCCGCAAGGAAGGCAGCGAGGCCAGCGTCCATCAGAAGACCCGCAAACAGATGATCATGGAGAAGCTGAGGGAGCAGCTCCTCAAAGGGAAAGCTTTCATCCTAAAGCGGTACGGTGAAGCGTTGGTGGTTCTCATTGCTCCACCCACAGCTGCTTACCGGCCAACAGTCATGACTGTGATTATACAAGAAAGTGTGTAACTTTATGAGGGCACTGATGAGAACTGTGCTCAGCAAATATTCTAGACGAATAATGGAGGATGCACTGTGGATAATTATATCAGTGATACAGCAGCTAAAACCTTTCAAAGCTCTAAATTTAGACCTTTAATTACAGCATTCCCGTTAGGCCAGTCAGTGTCATTTTTGTGAGTGCTGTTATTGTTATTGTTCTAAATTTAATAACAGTGGAACAAGTGGTTTCTGAGACATTACGTCTAGAACAGTAGCTGAAACACATAGCGAACATCATCATTTATGTTCTCTCAAATTAAGGCCAGTGTTGTCTGACAGACTGATGTAGTTATTTAACTTTTATTTAGCCATCAGTGCCTCAGTGATATTTAAATATCTTTATTGTCCTAAATGAAATTATGTCATAGGCCAAGAACAGACTAACAACACAAGACAGAGAACACAAAATATGATGATGATAATAATCAGATATCAGAATCAGATAATAGGATAATGAGAGGATCTTAGGATCGCAGAATCAATGATCATTTTCTAAATCACTTCTCAAAATCTAACTTAAAAAAAGGCTTTTTATTACTATTAGCATACTGTTTTTATTTCCAGCATGTCTTACCAGTTTTATTGTTATTGATGTTTATCTGACATTATTTTTGTATTTATTTTTTTATGTGCTTCATTGCAGTCCTGACATGTTTCAATCCTGCAGCAATTATTTTTAGAGCTACTGCAGAAGGTTGCAGGCAGAGGGTTCAGTTCAGTTCTGACTTGAGGAACTCCTGGGAATGTAGTACATGGCTGTTGACAGATTTTACAGACTGTTTTATTGTTTTACAGACTGGTTTATTGTTTAAGTGAGGGATGACAGGACCATTTTCACCACCTGTGTAATTACTCATAATAACATTGTTTCTTTTTTTAATGTTCTTTATCTACTCCCGTTCTTTATAGGTTCATGGAGATCTACCTTCCTATGAAGCAGTTCTTCTATAACTTGATCCATCCAGAGTACAGTGCAGTCACAGACGTCTATGTGCTGATGTTCCTCGCTGACACGGTGGATTTCATAATCATTGTGTTCGGATTCTGGGCATTTGGTGTAGGTTTTAAAATTAGATTTAAAATAAATAAATGTTTCACCTGAATCCATAAACAAAATCTGACTTCTGACAAAGTTAACATCTCTTTGTATATCGCTTCTAGAAACACTCTGCTGCAGACATCACGTCGTCTCTGTCGGAGGATCAGGTGCCGGGACCTTTCCTGGTCATGGTCCTGATCCAGTTTGGGACTATGGTGGTGGACAGGGCCCTCTACCTCAGAAAGTCTGTCGTGGGCAAGGTCATCTTCCAGGTCATCCTGCTCTTTGGCATCCACTTCTGGATGTTCTTTATCCTGCCAATAGTCACAGAAAAGTAAGAAATCATCCATTCTTCACATTAGATATGTTTGGTATATAACCTAAAGTCGTTAGGTTTCCTGATTAAATTGATTAAAGTTCAATATTTTGAGGTGCCCTGGTTAAAAAATAGTGTCCTGGGTTTAAAATATAGCTTAGGATCTTTGATGCATTCATCTGCCTTTTCTGTCTGTTACTATTCAAATAAAGAAAAACCTGTTTAAACTATGTTCTGCATTAATACCAAGTTTGATAATGAATGTTTTACAGCTGAAATAAATTTATTTTGTCCTGCTTTGCTTTGCAATCAAGTTATTGAGAGAAGAGTCTTTGTGCTGCCTCTAAATGAAAAAAAGAACCAAACTAATGCCTTCTCTTCCCCCTCGCAGGCGTTTCAGCGAGAACAAAGTCGCTCAGATGTGGTATTTTGTCAAGTGCATCTACTTTGGGCTGTCAGCCTATCAGATACGCTGTGGTTATCCCACCCGCGTTTTGGGAAACTTCCTCACCAAGAGCTACAATTATGTCAACCTCTTCCTGTTTCAAGGGTGAGTTACGCTGAAGAAAGTATCATTTCTTCCAGCTGGGCAAACAGGTCCAAGGCTCTGGTCACGTCAGGGTTGACAACTAACTGCTGTTGCAAGAATGGAAGGAGACAGACAAGATTATACCAGGAGCTATTAATTTCAGATATCTGTAAACACGATATTTGTGTAAGGGGAAAACACATGCTGCTTCTCAAATGTGAGGGTTTGCTCTGTACACGGGCGTTTTTCAAACGGGCGTTTTTCAAAACTTTCTGACAATTTGTAGACTCAACGTTCATTTAATGAATAGATAATAAAAGTAGTCATTAGTTGAAACCCTAGTCATGCCAACTTTATGTTATGTAATGTTTATTATTCATTTGAATGCATTTTGGATGATTAAATTTCTGTTACAGTAAAAATAAGTATCATATATGTTTTGCTCTTTTGAAAGCCACAGACTGTTGTGTTTTGTACCATTTTAACCAGCTTGAACCCGCTTGCTTGAACTTCTCCAGACTATTTTTTTTTTACTAGTAGATATCTGGCTATGCAAGATTATTTAAGGTCTGGTAAATATTAATCTACCAATTTTGGAGTATAAGTGCCCACAAACCCACCAAATGAATGTTTTTATTATTATCTACACGAGCTCATGATGTCAAAACATATCAATATATCAGTGACCAAAAAACCTGGACCTGAGCCTGCCCTACTCTCATATATTTCTGAATAAATATATTGAGTCTCATATTTTGCCACAAGAACTAAGATTTGTCCGTGGTTTGTAGTTTTCGCCTGGTGCCGTTCTTGACGGAGCTGCGAGCCGTGATGGACTGGGTTTGGACGGACACCTCGCTGTCTCTGTCCAGCTGGATCTGTGTGGAGGACATCTACGCTCACATCTTTATCCTTAAATGCTGGAGAGAGTCTGAGAAGGTGTTTATCATTGTGGTATCACAGCCACAAGTCTGGCATGCTGAAAATTTACTTGACTTGATTTACTTTTAGTTTACTATGATTTGTTGAAGGAGATCTTTCTTTTTTATGGAAGCTTAAATTCTGACTTGCAGTGGCTGGGCGATGGCTCGGATCTTATTTTCTGCCATGAAGTGTATAGTAGGTAAAAAAGATATACTGTTGCTGGGGTTTCCAATATTCCCAATAGTGCACAAAAATATCTTCTTCTTCTTCTACGCCTCACTATAATAAATACCACTCAGTTGGCAGTCTGCAAGTACCTCCTGTCTTGAAAGTTTTTGTTCCATCTTTACTGTTAGAACCCTGGTCCAATTAATTGACTAATTCTAATGGATTTACAAAAAAATTGTTCAGGCATAGAAAACATGAAGCCATTACCACTGCAAAGTTTCGTGAAGACTGGCTACAGGAAAAACTGGTGTTTTGTCCTGCACAATACATCTCACTCTCCTTTATGTCTTCCTTCTGCAGAGGTATCCCCAGCCGCGAGGCCAGAAGAAGAAGAAGGTGGTGAAGTACGGGATGGGAGGGATGATTGTAGCGCTGCTGATCTGTATCGTCTGGTTCCCGCTGCTCTTCATGTCCCTCGTGAAGTCTGTAGCTGTCACCAACCCACCGCTGGATGTTTCGTTTGAAATCACCCTGGCCGGCTTTCAGGTGTGGACACAGTTTCAATTACAAGAGACCAAAGAGATGTTCTGCCCAAAGCCAAATCTCTTCAAAATGAAGTGAATAAATAAACCTGTGATTCATTTAATTTTCATTTCATTCAAGTTGTGTGAGTATTCTGGTAGCAGGGTTTAATGTTTGATTGTGTATCTGGGAAATTACTGAAACAACAAAAAAAAACGGTCTCCAGCAACAAAACTGAAGAAAAACAAGTTCCGAATATGTGTTTTCAGCCATAACAAGGCTTTTTCTGATTTTCAAAATAAATTTCCTCTTCTCACAGCCTATCTTCACCATGAGCGCTCAGCAAAAACAACTGCAGAATGTGACACGCACTGAATATGAAAAGTTTGTGAAGAAATATGTAGATGATGTAAGTACAAGAAATACATTTCAACTTCAAGGCGTCAGGTGATGTAATTAGAATGTTGTATAATTCACTGTATTTAAAAACATTAATGGAGATTACATTTATCATAATTCAGGTTGATGACCACGTTTTAGACCAGGAAGTAAATACAGACCTGAGAAGATCTTTTTACTTATTCATATTCCCCAGAGGATGTAATTTGTGTAGGTGTTAACTTTAAAACTTTGTAAAGCATATGGAGGATTTAAAAATGTGGAAAAAGGGTACAATTGATGCTGCTTAAAGTAAACAAAGTAAAATAAAGTGTTTTACACATGTAAAATTTGACCTGATGCTGCCTCTAAATGACAGCATGGGTATCACAAAAGTTATTACAAACCGACCAACACTTAGAGCCTAAATGTGAAATGGCTCAGTGAAATTCTATTAAATTCGTGTTCTACTATGTGGTTGTGTGCCGCGGTTAGGAAGCCTTGCAGTGGCTGGAGGGCTACATGGCAGAGGACCTGATCATCGCAGAGCTTAAAGGCAGCTCCAACTCACTGTGGACCATCAGTCCACCCAGCAGGACCAACCTGATAGAGATGTTGGGCAGTAATGAGGATTTCCCCACCACTGTGTCCTGGTCTGTGCAAAGGTACGCAATGACAGAATGTTATTTCATATTGATGTTGCACTTAATTTTTAAAGCTTTTCTCAACATTAAACCAGGGTTACAGATTGTTTTTTATGTGTACGTAGCACTATAAAAGTCATTATGACTGAGGTCATACATCTTGGTGTAACTTTTGACTCCACCCTTTGACACATACATCAAAACTACACCAAGACTGCATTTTTTCACCTGAAGAACATCTCCAGACTTCGCCCCTCTCTGACCCACTCTGGTCCACGCCTTTATAAAATCACGGTTGCAAGAGTTCTCTGTCACAAGCGATCCTGGGAGGCCATCGCTCCTACCCTTCAGCAACTGCACTGGCTCCCAGTTAAATACCGCGTTTACTTTAACGTAAATACTTCTCCTTGTTTATAAATCTCTCCATGGCGTAGCACCGCCCTACGTATCCGATCTTCTTTATCCCTACACACCTACGCGCACACTACTTTCCCCTGACGCCTTGACATTTGTTGGTTCTTTTAAATTGAAACTGCAAACTCACATGTTTAAATAAGCCTTTCCTGGTGATTCAAAATATACATTTCACTAGGAAGGACCACACAATCAACAGGTATGATTAAGTGATTTATTGATGATCGAAACAGAAAGATGTACGAGGCTTGCAGTTGCTGAATAGACATTCGAGGCGTTGTGGGGAAGCTACAATAGGGAAATCCGCCATAGCACCCGGGCACGACGGACCCCCTTATAACCCTATGGAGAGGAAGAAGGAGATCAGGAGGCAGGACAGAGAAAGGGGTGGGGGGGTGGATGCAGGATACGAGCGAAGAAGAAGAGGGGTATGGGTATTTATGGAAATGCTGGCGATGACGTGGTTGATGTGTGGTCCCACTTCTGAAACTCAAATTAGCACCACACAAAATACTTTACAAGGTCCCATAGCAGTTACAGCTTAACTGACACTTTGACAGATTTATGACCAGTGGATCGTAACAAATACATTTATTCAAGTACTTTACTTTACTTTACTTTACTTGAGTAGGCTATGTTTATCTTATGCAATTTTATACTTCTCCACCACTACATCTCAGAGGCAAATATTGAGCTATTTACTCCACTTTATTTGTCTGACAGCTTTTCAAATTACAATTTCACACCCGTCCTGTCCATTGAAAAGCATGTATCTCCAAATTTTGAATGGAAAATGGTCTGTACTTGTAAAACTCCTTTCTAGTCTTTCAACCACTCAAAGCGCTTTTACACTACATCACATTCCCCCATCAAGGACACTTTGACACGCAGACTGGAAGAGCCGGGGGATCAAACTGCTGATCATCCAATTAACAGGCAACACGCTCTTCCTCCTGATGTTTTTGCATTAATGTCACCCAGACAAAATGTTATATATTTGTCGTGCAGATTGTATTCTGTTTCTAAAATCATTCTAAAAGCTGACCAGTAAGAATATGAAAAATCCCTCAGTAATATCACAGGTTTTTTAGAAGGGACTGCTTGCACATACTTGTATATGGCCAAAAGCAAATGCTGCAGTTTCATGAGTTGAAATCCTTCAAATTCATTTCTGTATGTTCTTCTCCCTTCTTATGATGTCAGAAACCTCAGTCTTGGTGCCAAAGCTGAAACAGCGTCTGGAAAACGAGTGACATATCTAGACAAACAAACAAAGGAAAACCTCATAGCGCTTCTAAATGGAACAGGAAGCGACAAACAAGTGTGAGTATATTTTAGCTGTCTTCTCTCTTCTTCTGCAATTCTCTACTGTGTTGTGATAATCAGGATCTAAATTCTCATTATCAGTCACAGGTAAGATACTTTTCTTCTCTACAACTCAAAAAATGGCATGTCATTAAAATTAATCTTCAATTTTTTAGTTGATAATAATATCTCTCATATCTCATCCATCTGGCGGAACTACTTTTTGAATATCACAGATTCTTGCAGTGAATATACAACCTGTACTTTGATAAGATGAAGTGGATTTTCTACACCATTAAACACAAAATGAGATCTACAGTACACCAGAATACAACGCTTTTTTCTCTTTTTCACCATTGATAAACTAAGTAACACAAACTGTGTTTTGCTGCAATAACAGCCTCTCTTCCTCTGCAGGACGCTAGCGAGTACCTTCCCTCGTTATATCCGGGCCCCCAGTGACTCCGAAGCCAAGCCTGCTGGGCCCCTATATAAAGGTGAACGTCAGCATCTTTATCACTATATAGATCGGACTGACTGTGGCCTTTTGCGTTGTTATTTGATTTGGTGACCGCAAAAGAAACTCAGGAGCCTCCATTTTAAAGGCTGTAGTGCCTAAAATTAACCGAAGTTGTAACATTATTTTTTGTCTTTGCAGATGAAAACACGATGTTCAACATAACCGTGACCTTGAAGCGAGCTCAGAATATCTCAGATCAGATCCAGGAGTGGTGGATCGTCAACCAGACGGAGCTGGGCCCGATAGAAAAGAGGAATCCAAAATACAAGTATGAGGCAGGCCTGGAGGTCTACATCTTCAGCGACCAAGTTAGCCCGCCCAGTTTGGGCTTTCTGGCTGGATATGGGTACGTGGCGAGATTGGTGTTTCAGTGAAGTGTCCACGTTTATAGATTTTAGTCATTATCTGATGCTGTAATCCCAAACTGTACAACCAGTGATGTCAGTGTTTGGTGGTTATTCACCCTTTTCCCATGGTGATTTGAATCCCAACCAAGGGATCACAAGGTGATTACCAGGATAGGAAAGCAGTAAAAGAAAATTATGCTTTATTTAGTTTTCTTTTGGGCGGTACGGTGGTGCAGTGGGTGGGTTCTCTCTGGGTGCTCCGGCTTCCTCCCAACATCCAAAGACTTGCAGGCTAAGTTGATTGGTGTCTCCAAAGTTGTCCTTAGGTGCGAATGTGAGTGTGAGTGGTTGTTTGTCTATGTGTGGCCCTGCGATGGACTGGAGACCTGTCCAGGGTGTAACCAGCCTTTTGCCCGATGTCAGCTGGGATTGGCTCCAGCCCCCCGCGACCCTGTACACAGGATAAGCAGTTGATGATGGATGGATGGATGATCTTTATTCCTCTTCCTCCTCTTCAGGCCTTGCATAGTATTGAAATAAAACAATTTTAAGTACACAAAGCTTAGTTTTAAGTGATCACAAGTTAAAAAGTTTGGGAGCCACTCATTGGAAAGATTGGCCTGTATGCAGACTTCACCAAAGAATCTGTAACCCAATTATCAGCCTCTTGCACTTTTACACTTTCTATCCTGTTGTTCTTTCAGCACATGTGAACCACATGTAGTGACAACCCAGCATGCTGAGTTGCTAAGCAGATGAGTTGAAGGTCAGCAGAGTTGAAAAAAAAGGGTTCGATGAGGAGTGATGACCTTACAGACGTTTTCATCCACGTTTAAAACCGTGGTGTGGCGGGAAGATTGTGCCTCATGATCCCACATAGACACAGACAAAAAACAAAGGACCAGTTATTAAGTTGGACTGTTGAGTGTGATCGGGGTATAAAATGAACTGGAAGCAGATGTGGAAGATTTAGTGAGCACAAAATAATCTAGATAGTAACACTTCACAGAATAACCTTATGTTATGTGCTGAGAACTATAATAAAGAACAGTCAAAGAGTATCTGATGGTGGAGATTTCCTTTAACACTTACTAGCAATGCCTGCAGGGGTCTCATGTTGGATCTCCTACAGTTGCAAATCTCACAGCCTTTGTATGCCATCTACTAGCTAGAGAAGGAGTAGTTTTAAGAAATCCAGACTCTATATGCTGTCTGATTTCCTTTCTCTCTTTCTTGTCTAGGATCATGGGCTTGTATGCCTCTGTGGTTCTGGTCATCGGCAAGTTTGTGCGCGAGTTTTTCAGCGGGATCTCCCACACCATCATGTTCGAGGAGCTGCCCAACGTGGACCGCATTCTCAAGCTGTGCACAGACATCTTCCTGGTCCGAGAGACAGGAGAGCTGGACCTGGAGGAGGACATGTACGCCAAACTCATCTTCCTCTACCGCTCGCCAGAGACTATGATCAAGTGGACACGAGAGAAAACTCAGTGAAACTCAGAAAGGGGACTTTAACTAATGAAGGCGAGTTTTTTGGACGGGAGCGCTCATGCGGAATAACTGGGTTGTCTCTGTTGGTGTGAGCAGCTATTTCAGCCCATTCACCTGCTGAGGGAGCACAAAGCAGCTGAGGACCAACCCTGTCCTCTTAAACTGAGCTCTGCTGGCAGTGAAACATTGTTAGCTTTACACTAAAACACTTTTTTTCCAGTTATAAACTGATATTTTCTACTATTTACCGATTAAAAGTAACAATAATTGCAGTCATATTACAAACAATTGAGGACAAACATTTGCCGGTGCTGTATTTCTCTCATGAAACCTGGCTCAGTTTGGCATCGAGTGGATAAAATAGCAGCAGCTGGCGTTCCATCGGAGACGGAAAAATGTAAACTGAAATGCAAAAGAGCCCTCATTGCTCGTTACGCCTGCATCCAACATTTTCACCATAAAGAGAAGCTCAAACTGAATGCAACATTAATCTTCAAGGGCTTCCCACCATCAAATAAAGTGCACAATAATGAGCACAATTTAATATTCTCTCAAACTGGAACACTTGGATTGTGGGACTGTGCAATACTGAGCTCTCATTTTCTCCAAGTTTTCGAAGGATGTGGACTGATGGAAGAGGCCAGTTCTGACCAAGATACATGAACCACTTTTTTTTTGTTTGTTTTTTTACGTCAGAGGCCACATGGGAGCCTCTCCAGAGACAAATCTTTTCTTGCCTTATTTTGTTTGTATGAGAAGAACTCTCAACTATCTTTCTCAGGAAGAGCAGTTTTCACAGATATTCATCGTGTGAGTTTTATGTTACAATATGTAGGCTTTGATGGATCTAAAAGTACGAGATTGTAGAAAAGATGAAAACTATTTAAATGGCATGAAATTTTACGTGGATATTGCTCAGACGGACAGGGAAACAGTTTAAGGCCGTCTGAAAAATAAATAAATGGATCGCCGTGTACTGTTTCCCTCACAGATTAATTGCCAAGCGTCCGTGTTCTGAATCAGCTACAGGTTGGCTAGAGTCGAGACCAGCAGAGGGCTGTTTCTGAATCAGGAAAACGTGCATTGGGTGGCAGACTCTTGCACATCACTTGTGAACCTCTCGCTGTTTTTAACATTCATACTGATGAACACTGAGTAACCACGGCTGTGCATTCAGTTGTCAAGGAAGAAACAAGCAGACACAAAAAAAAGATTCCTCACATGAAGGGCTGAAACACGAAGCCCTTAGGTTCAAACTATGCATTAGAGGACATTGTAGCATGATAGAAAAACTTCATTATTGTCATGACTAATTTTAATTACATGTACATACAAGTTTAAGGGGACAGGTCAGGGTGGAATGAAATGTGAAATTTTGCCTGTATGCTAAGGCTAATGCGGTATGATAGAGGTTCAGAGATCTGCAAATAAAACGTCTGGAAAGGTGTTGAGTTTTGCTTTCAGCTGCTGTTTGCCTGTGGAGAATCAATGTGTTGGTTCACGAGTGTTTCAACAGGATTTTGAAAACAGCTGCAGCTGACTGACCCTGTGATCCTCTGGTTTAAAGATGGCCGCCACCACTAACCACACCTACCGTATCAACCTTACTTTCTTACCTTGGATTTTATTTAATACAATGCATAAACAAATTTTAACATCAGTTTTCTCTCTCTTTTTATTTGCTAACACTTTCATTCTTATATTGTTATTGCATTTCATAACTATAATACAATGTGACAGCACCCTAATATGTGGTGTCAGCGGGTGATAAAGGAGAACAATAGAAGGAAAACCATTAGGAAAAACAAATATATGGAATAAAAAGGGGATATAAGTAAGAAAAAACTTAGTAGTGGACTAATCGCATAAATTGTGTTGGAGGTACACTAAATCAATGTCTATCCATCATCAACCACAGGAGGCTGACAATGGGTGAAAGGCAGGGTACACGCTGGACAGGTCTCCAGTCCATCCAACTCCACGCAGAAAGGCCAGGGATGACGAGGGTTCGAACTCATGACCTTCTTGCTGTGAGGTGACAGTGCTGACCACTGCACCACCATGCAACCCGTGAGCTGCAAACCGTAATCATCAAGAATAAAACAAAAAACGCTTGAAATGTTTCACTTCATGTGTAATGAATCTAGAACATATGAAAGTTTCAATGAACCTTTCGACTATATTAAATATTTTTGATATGCACCTGTTTATGGTATGTTATACATATAAGTTTAAGAGAGTGTAGAATAGGTTGCATTGCACTGACAGGACAATTGCAGGACTCGTCTTTTTAAATTTGGGCTTTTGGATCTGTTGTGCATACGCTTTGGTTCCATCTCATTAACTTCACATACTTTGTGAATCCATATGTTGTACGAGTGAGTTTTAAGTTTCTAACACCTAATTGTGATACAATAAATAGGGGCCAAAAGTAGGAGTGTGATCCTTCTCTCAAAACTTTTCAATGTCAGCTCACATGTAATGAAGTCTTTCTTAAGTTAATAACCCACACAAGGAACAGTTTAGCCTTTTTATTTTCACCAGTGGCAACACTTGTGTCCAGTTCTGAGCTTGCTAATGCACAGATGCAGTCATTTGGGAAGGGAGGGCATCACAACAGCAGCATGAATGTATGTGCATTAAATATCGCTTAACTGGGAGAGAGCATTAGCTTCATCAAAGATAAATAGGTTTTAGGAAGCAGTCATTACATGACTGTCGGGCCATTTTGGTGCAGACGTCTGCAGCTGTAGAAAATCTTTCCACAAATTCATTTAAGAAAATGTACAGAGACCATAAAATGCCACACAATGGAAATGTTTATTAATGCATGTGCAACGTTTGAAGATATGCTTTTTAGGAATATACAAGAAGTGGGCAACAGCACAAATAAAAAATGTAAACAGTCCCTTTATTATCTTTAGTTATGTGCTGTCTGAATAATTTTAATTGGCATGTAAATGATCTCGTCCTGATATCGAGAGCTTCTCACATTTACGGTATGAGCAATAAGCTAAATCACAAATACACAAATTCAGCATTAACAAGGCAATCGACTGGGGAAAATGCACAGAAAACTCTCACTGCATGGTCCCTTTATCATGTTTTAGTCGCTTTAATTTTAGGATTGTACTGTGGAAATTAGAAATAAAGCCATGACAAGTTTTTTTATGTGGAACCTCGAGGTAGACAAATGAAAACAGTCTACAGCGCCATTAGGAACGCTACTGTTCTTTAAAGTTAATAACTTGAATAAGTGCTAATGCCGAAAACAACCGTGCCAATTGTTTTTTTAGCATTCATATTCACAAACTCATAGATTTGATATTGATTTACCGTTGCATTATTCCAAACATGCATTGATTGCATATTGTTCCAGTAATATTTAACAGGCCTGAGCCATGAATACTGAATAAATTAACTCTGTACAAATACACACCTATACATTGATCAGCCCATTAGATATATTGAGAGTGTTTCGGATTTTAATATGTCTATAGCAATTGTAAGAGTCTACTCACAAACAATAACAGCAAAAATGTACAGCTCCACTGAGACAAGAAATAATAGAACATTTACATAAACAGGCTCTCATACATTACTGAACACTGAAGATTTTGCATTACACCGAGAATCAACCTCAAAGAAACCCAAATTAAAAGGCTGTTTAAACTCCGGTCGACTCTTCCTTCTCCACCTACTGTATGTGGGGTTTTATTTTTAAATCAGCCTTTTTCTTATGTTTTGCACAATAAAAACGTCAGCCGCACGTGTTGGCTTCAGAGCTGAAAGGGTTTGTCAAGGTTTATAACTGTTACACAGAGGGTGTAGTGGTGGAGCAGCAGAAGGGTAGAGTCGGCACTCCGGAGACTGAAGGCTAACACAGCCCTCCCTCATAATCATCGTCCTCTTCTGCAGCAGCTGGTGCCCCGCTAGCGCCGCCTTGTGGAGCAGCACCAGCCTTCTTCTTCTTTCCTCCTCCTCCAGGTACCCTCAGGGAAATGGCCAGCTTGGCGTACTGTGAGGCACCAGGGAATAAAATGTGACAGAGCTCAGATTTAGAAAGACCCTGAAAAGGTATTTTCTATATCAGCTTCTAAACTATGATCGATGGGGTTCCTGTATGAACACACTTTCTGCAGAAGCTAGAACACTTCTTGTTTTTTTCTACATGAGAGATTTCTGCATTTCTGTCAGTTTCTGCACTGTAAATAATAAACAATCAAGTGTTTGCTTTAAAAATGAAAAACAATAGCTTTACTTGTGGCTAGAAGTCAACTAACACGTCAAACTTTGGTGTCAAACTCAAGCCAGAAGGCTGAGATACTGTTAGCTAAATAAGAGGCAGAGTATGTGTGTATCTATCCACATATCGTTGTATGTGTCAATAGTACTCACATCATTGTCCATGTACTTCAGTAAAGGTGAGTTGCACACACGATAGACCTGGTCCTCGTCCTGCTCGTCGTAGCCCTGTAGTAGCGTCTCCATGGCAACGCAATCTTCACTTCCACTGTAGCCGGGCAGACTGTTGGAGGCCAAGCAGCACTTCATGTAATGGTCCTCAGTTTAAGTGTTACACCATGAACACGAGGCCACAGATTGCAGAAATGACAGAACGTGATAAAACACACCTGTAACTTTCTCTGACGCATTTATCAGCAGCTACGAAGTCCCCTCTGTGAAGATGAATCAGCACTTGAGCAGTTGTTTTCTAAAAAATGAAAAGCACAGACCAACATGTATGATTAATATGAACTCAATAAATAATATGTTTTCTTCTATTTTGATAAGTTTCCACTCCTAGGAGGACAGAGGTCAGGGTTAGCTCCAGAACAGTCCCCGACAGGACTTTTTGTTTCCTTGATGACATTTCAAACTGAAGGACTTGGAGCCATGTCCTCTTGCTGATGACAACATTGTACGTTGTCAAGTTTGATTAAGGTGCAGAGAGAATTTAACCACAAAAAAACAACAAAGTAACCCACCTTGAAGCACATGGGGAAGTTCTCAATCTCTTTGTACATGTTCTTCTCTTTCTGCACAGCGACTGCTGCTTCATCCAACCTGAGTGAGGAATGAGGAGGAGCAGGTACAGTCGTTTAATATTATTTAAAGAAACAGACAAACAGCTTCAGGGTTGTTGTGTCCATTCGTCACGGTTGCAGGTGAATCCAAACATGTGAGGGTGATATTACTGAAAGGAATAGAAACCTCTTCAAGTCAAGTGGCAATGACATGAACTCAGCTTTAACACCTTTATTTATGGGAGAGCTCTAAGTGGGTTTTCTTCTCTTTCAACTTGCTTCATAACTTTCTACACCAGCAAATACTAAAACAGCACAAAGGGGCAGCTACAACTAACCTTGTGGCTACAATTCCAACTTAACTTAATTTCCTTTACCTTCTTAACCTGACCAGAAGTCTGGAGGCTTTTCCCAGCAGTTCAACTGCCTGGCGTAGGCGGTCTTCATTCTACAGAAGGAAAACATGGATGTATATAAGTAAATAAACATCACTGAATGAGGATCAGTTGAATGATTCATTCAGTTTTTGTTGGACGCTCAGCTTCACCTCAAACACGCCAGCTGCCTTCTGATACAGGTCCACAGCTTTCTCTAGGTTTATTGGCTCTATCAGTCTGTGAAAAAAGTGACAGAAATGTTTTTTTAGATGAATGAAAAGTCCACCTTTTTAGTCCCTGAGCTAGACTTCTATTGCATCAGTATTTCCTTTTAGTATCAGGATTTTAATTTAAAGTGAAAGGTACTGTGCCAGATAGTAATAAGGCTCTTCTAAGTTGATTAATAAACACATTAATACACGATACATGGGTAACAACATTTGTAATAATTCTCAAAACGGAATATGCAAATAAAATACACACTTATGCATAATGTACAAAAAGTAACCTCTATCCTGTCTGTACCAATTGTACCGCCTAGCATTTGAGGAATTTAAATTTAATACAAGGTCAAACAGGAATATAAGTGATTTTTTTTTACTTTCCAGCCCGGTCCAAAGCCATGGCAGCGGTGTCAGGAGTCCCATTCTCCATGTACATCATGCAAGCTTTCTCTATGTACTGGATGGCCTCTGGCATCTTCTTTTGTTCCTGTTGCAGTGCAAAAACAGCAAAATTATCTCTCTGTTACAAACACTTTACCTAAATCTACCGGTCAAGGAGTACAATGTTTACGCTTTGGCTGTACTCGCCTTCATCATCATGCCCGCCTGTTCAATAGCCCTGAGGAATAGAGACGAGAGCTTGAATAAAATATGTGGGTTTTAATATTTGCTACTGACTGATTGCTGGGGTTGTAACACAAGATACTTACTTTGCAGCATGGAATAGCCTGTAGGACAAGTTAAGGAAATTACAAAATAGGGTCAAAACACAGCAGTGTCGTGTCATACAACTCTGGACAGAACACAGAGAGGATACGTCTTGTTTTCTGTGTGATATTCAGCTTCCTTCAGATAAGCATCCTTTGCTTGATCATACTGCTTCGCATTCTTGAAGCACACAGCTGAAAACAGGTCACAAACACTTAGCTATCATTAAAACGTGGTATGTGTTAAAGGACTGCGTCATATAAAGATACAATATATATTTTAAGTTACCTGCTTTGGCGTATTCTGATGCCGCACTGTCATAATCAGGCTTCCACTTTGTCAGACTTGTCTTTAAGCTACAAAAACATAATGACGAGCAAATCATAAACGGCCAAGGCGAGCACAATCCGCTACATGAGCAGTCTGCGGACAATTATGGCACAAGACAAAATTGTGGCTCACTTATTTATTATTTATTTATTAAATCCGACTATAATGAACTGACAACCCAAACATACTGCCCATGAATGTCATATAACCCCTGTTGAAAATGCCACAGTGGCCTCTATAGCTAGCTAACACAGCGGTAGCAAAACAAACTGACAGGAAAGAAGAGAGATTTTTTTTTATCGTAACTCACCATTTTTCAGCTTTCGCTATGTGCTCATGAGCTTCGTTTATCTTCTGAGCAGCCATGCTGTTAACTAACTCGACGAGGTATGGCGAATTTGTTATCGATAAACTGCGATGGATGTTGTTCCGTCGATGTTTGGATTAACAGGAACTCCTCTCGGCCACAGCGTCATCCGTGTCGCAGACTACGGGTGCCGCTAGGGACAAAATACACCGGCTGCAGTGCAATGCAGTGGGAGTCTGCGCCTTTGTAAATAACAGTGATTTGTGATTTTAGGGTCTATAAATAAAACGTACTTTGTCAAACTTAATTATTGTACTATTGAGACAAAATTATGCTTGTCCACCTGTCAAGTGGTTTAAAATAATTTGATCGATAATATTTGTTTGGGGATTTACAGCACTAAAATCACACAATAGCAACTGACATGAGAAGGGCCTTAATGTCCTGAGTTTGGTTTGAACTTGACAAGAAGTGAGTCCCTGTGTCAAAATCTTCTTTTAAAAACATTAGTATTTCAGTTTTATCCTTACATGCTGTATAGTCCTAAATAAATGACCACAAAAGAACCACACCACAAACCCCTGGGGTCAGGTATTCCAGCTAAGAAACACTGCACACATTGCACAGAATGAGATGAACAGCAGGTTAAAAGAGCCCCAGCAGCTCATTTTTTGCCTCCTTAAGGTAAAGCAATAGCTGTGCTCCAATTTCATATTAATTCTAAGTAGGTTGTGTGTAGTTGTAGTTGTTGTTGTAGTTGTTGTTGTTTATAAGCACCTGTTGAATATATCATTTGAGTTGGGGCTTGGGTGGACTTCAGCTGGACATGGCCTCTGCACTTAAGGCCAAACATCTGTGAGTGGTCTATTATTGAAGTTAATTTAATTTATATAAATAAGTAATAATAACTACCTACCTGATTAATCAGTACAGTGAAAGTATAGTGAGGAGGGTGGAGGGGGAGTGGTGCGATGAGTTTTACAATAGCACACTTAATGTGCTTGATAGCTCCTTCCAGCTCATTTGTTTTAAAATCACTGTTTTAGAAATCTTAGAAATCTTTGTTTTAGGAAAAAAAAAAGTTAAGTTAGAAAACGATAGCGGGGGGGACGGAACCGGAAACGTGGTGTTGTGTGGTTAATGACGTCATCGCGGTTCTGGTCTCTAATGGCTGGACAACAACAACTGTCGGCGAGTGACAAACTTTCCCAAACTTCTACAGAGACAAAAGAAAGTTGGAAGTAGCTAAGTGTTTCGGTTGTATATCAGTTTAGGCGCGTTCGTCTGTTATCTTGTAATCACAAATGTGGAATTACTGATGGATCTGAGATATGACGTGCCGCGGAGGGCCGCCGGTGGCGGCGGGGGCTCCGCGAACTCGTCCCCCGCTTTGGGGGCTCAGTCGCGCCGCAGGAAGATGCCTCCGAGACCCGCTGATTTCAAACTTCAAATTATCATTATTGGCTCCCGTGGTGTTGGTAAAACGAGCATCATGGAGAGATTTACCGACGACACTTTCTGCGAAGCTTGCAAGTCGACCGTAGGTGAGGACAGGAGGCGTTTACGGGACTTGTTTTTGTCAACTTTTTATTGACAGCATTTAGCAGGGCTCTGTCTACTTACTGGAGCAAAGATACTTAAACTACCATGGACTGGACGTTATAAACATCATGTCTCCTGCCCTACTGTGCAGTGGGACTGAACAGAGGTTACACTACTGGCTCTAACTAGCTAACTGAAGCTAACTGTATCAACAGCACTGTTGTAGCTAACGAAACAGTCATAGCTTTTAGACTCTGTTGCTAGGAAGAAACTAGACAAACACACGTTTGGCTCTTGGGTCGTTGTTGCGACAGGGATTTTATTGCCCAACACAGAAAGGAAGAGGCTTGATAACCTATTACCTGGATAGCATGGATCTGCAGCAATCGACTAATTAATTAAACAAATTTCCTACTGGTGGGCCTCTTTTGTTTATTTAGTTGAAGGCATAAGGTAATCTTGCCTTGTCGATTTCAAACTCAGTGGCTGAACAGACATTTTTCATATTTCTACACGAAGGAACATGCTATATATCTCCATAAAGAAACAATCACTTTAACTGGGTGATCACTGGTCTTATGTTAAAAGTACCTTGTGACACAATTCTCTGCCATGGGTATTTAAAATACTTCAAACACTATATATATGTGGAATTGGGTAAACAGTCCTGTGACCATTACAACAGTCCGTCATAGTGTCCAATCCCAAAATAGTCACACACAAGCAGCTGCTATGGTACAGCTCCATTTTGTGCCCTGTCATTCCTGTGACACAGCTCCTCACTAATATTGTTTTTCTCTGATCACAGAGACCACGGTGGGAACAGTTTGATAGTCACTCAAGTCTGAAAATGTTTTCTGATCTCATAATTTTCCTGTTATCATAGAAGATTGCTACAATCGTGCTCAGCTTTTAAAAGTATAACAGATAGAACGGCTTTACTCATTGTTTTGCAGCTATCATCCAAGGAAACCTACCGTTAAATAAAGATATAATTCAAACACAAATAACCCTGTCAATTCAAAGAAGTGAAGTCAGTTTTTTCATGCAGCTTGTTCTAAAACCAAACAACCAACTAACTAACTGAAATTACACCTATGTAAAGCCAAACCAGCACGGAAAATGCTGGTACTTGAACGTGTCCACATGTGTATTTTTGATTCCCCTCATAGGAGTTGACTTCAAAATCAAGACAGTGGAGCTGAGAGGGAAGAAGATCAGACTACAGATATGGTGAGTAACTGGACAGACGTTTCCAGTTCCTTTACTCCTCTGCATGGTGCGTTTCCTGTGTCTGTGCTGTAAACCCTTCTGCAGGCTGCTCTAACAAAAACCTCTGGTGGCTTACTGGGTGCGTCTCAGCTTTGTGCGGTAGGGTAATGCATGTGCAAATAAGATTTCACCACTGCATGTTTTGGATTGCCAAAACATGCCATGAGATTTTTTTTATCGAAAGTCCCATATTAAAAACCTGTGGCTTCAGTGGAAATATAACTTTTAACTCCATGTGGAACAGCACGTGATCATACTCACCACGATGCAGTCTGTCACATTATTATTGGTTACTTCAGGTACTATTGTTGTTACCTTTTATGTTTAGTATTTTCCCCTAATTTGTATTTATGACTTGCATCGCGGAAACCTCGTTCACGCACCGTCAGTAGCACTTGCGACTTAGTTGCACTTTTCAGTCACTGCCGTTATTAGTGGCATTTGCGAGTGGGACGTCAGTGAGAGCTCTTGTCGTTGGACTAGCAACTGCTGCTTGTTTGTCAGGACAGGTTCTCTGTATGCAATATGGCCTCCTGATGAAGCTCCTTGCTGGGGGAGTTATTAGAGGGAGATCACCAGCACCACATGTATAAGTGTACACCCAAATTTGACTAATATTTTTGGAAACTACTCTGTAGTACTGTACATGGAAGCCAACCCCATTTTTGACCAACCACCCTGCAGAATTTATTACCATGGAACAAAATTAGCGTCAACACCCTGTACATTTGATTTCTCTTTGTTATCAGTTACTCTGAAAACAGTATGTTATAACACTAATAAGAAGACACCTTTTGTCACAATACACTCATCTATCAGCTAGTGATACTTTGATACTTTAAAATGCCTGTGAATAGTCAGCTGTTGTAGCAGCTGGTCACTGGAGACATGCAGCGTTATTGTAGCTTGATAATCGCACTGAGCTGCCTTTTTGTTTGACTTCATTCTGTTAATATACTATTTGAATTGTAAATATCAGAGATGTGGGCAGAGATTCAGAGCGTCTTGAACCACCAGTATTACTGCTCAAATAGACTACTAGTGACGGGGAGTATGTTATGCCTCTGCTTGTGTCTTGTGACTTTAACTAGGCCTTAATTACGTTTTGAAAGCATCTAGTGTTTCTTTCCAGTAATTGAAAAACTGAGTAACATGCCACAACTTACAGTTAGGAAAGCTTTTGCACTTACTGAGTACATGACTGCAGTTATTTTGTGGGGCTAAAATGTGGGAACTCCCATCGCTTATTTCATTAAACGCATCTGTCCTGTTCACTAACACCCCACCCATGCTCCCACCTCCACCTCACATCCTCTCTTTTACCGCTCCCTGTTTTATCCCCGTTCCTCTGCCCGTCCTCGACCTGTCCGTTCAGGATGGCCGTCCTCACTGTGTCTCGTCTCTCATGTTGAACTGCTCACATCAAGCTCCATCATTGCAGCGCCCGGCCTTACCTAACCCTGCCATTGTGCTGCTGTGTCTCTGTCCGCTCTTCTGCTCATAAGCCTGACTGTGACTCACATGGGGAGACTAGCTGTGGCTGAAGGTACAGTAACACTGCACTGTGAGTGGAGCTCAGACCGCTTCTCATGCTGCCAACCCACACTCATATGATCAGCTGAATCATAACATAACCTAAAATGAATCCACACATGCCTTTTTATATTTTTAAAATCAAGAGCTAATTTCCAAAATGCATAATAATCAGTTTGGTTGAATACATGTAATTTCAAGTGTCTGCTTATTGACTGACCTATAAAAGCTGCATTTGCTTTAAAACTAGTATATAAACATAATGAACAGTTTATAACACACTAAATCATAGTTGTAAGCTGATATAAGGACATTTATAACTCTTTATCAACGTGCAGTATTTTAACAATTATAACCTCTCCTCTGAAGGCATATTTTACGTTATTAGTTATTATTATTATTATTATTATTATTATAGTAGTTGACAAATGCATCAATAAACACTTCTGCTTCATATCTGTGTACAACTACATTATAGTACTTTTATAAACCATTAATTAAATGTTTTTATGCTGCTTATAAATAATATAATAAGGGGGTTTAAAGTAAAGTGTTAACATTTATTTTCCAGCAGTACTTGGGATGTTATGTTCCCTCAAATTGTAGATGGCTATTTTGTTGCTAAGCAGAATAACATACAGCTATACAAATATTTTATAGCTAGATACCAGATGATATTGTGGACAAAGAGTAATTCAGTGTTATGAAAAGAATGATGCACACACTAACTTAAAAAAATTTTTAATTCTTTAAATGTATTGTTATTATAGATGAATGACATTGAATTGTTTACAGCTTGCCAAAAAACGGATTCTTCCTCAT